CCCCCCACACACACATCTTATCCCCATATCATCTACTTTTTTCCCTTAGGGCCCTTCTCAGGGCCCGCAATTATCTCAATACGTGGGAAACGCATTACGAATGTTCACAATACGTCTACAAGACAAATCTGTCCTTTTCAGGACAAAATTTCTGAACACATGTTTGGTATATGAAAAAAAAAACTGTCCTTATCAGGACAATTTGAGTGATTCTTTTTATATAGATACATTTAGTCGCAATGGATTACGGGCACTGATACGACTACAAGAATCATTGCTGTTATCAGTGGTCTTCCTAAATGGACTAGTAAGATGAATGTCTGTATGGATGTCTGTATGGACTAGCTCTTGCACAATGCTCTGGCTGTGAATATCAAGTAAGTTTTGTAGTTTATGGTATAGTTAAATTGTTGACGTGTTTTGCTTCTGGAATAATTTGAAAGGCCTTCGCCATCCGCTAATGTCTTCAAGACGCGTGAACGTCCTTGGCGAAGTCGAGATCATTCGAGAACAAAGTGACGGCGCGTACTGGTCTCAGTCGTGAAATATACGCGAGGTCAGATTGAACGATTCTTTTTAAAGTTGACATTAAGGAATTCGGTCGGCTGTTGATTTAATAGTATGGAATGGCGTTAGCTTATCACTTTCTCGCGATTCTTGACTGGCTGCGTACAAACTGTGGGTGCCTTATCGGCAGCAGTGCTACCAGACGTCAGGTTTTATCTTATCGTGACGTAAATATTTTGTCAATAGTGCGTACCAGGCAAAAATTTTAGGTAGTACGATTTTTTAACAGTATCGCTTGAACTTTTTCGCCAAATCAGACAAAATATTCACTTCTTTGATGACTAAGAGAAATCAAGACTTTTTAACGTTGCGGAAAATGATGAAACTTCTAAATGATTCTGAGATAGTTACGCTGTTTGACGTTCTCTTCCAATCTTGGACGTCACTGAAACGAACGTCATTGATGACTCAGCGAAAGTCGTTCTGGTAAAGTAATTCGTACCTTGAGGTTTTTGTATACGTCAAAAGTTTCATGAATCACGATACAGTTAGTATACCAACCAAAAAGGAAATGTCCAGTGATCATAATTTTCTTATTCTTTCACAATTTTTGCAGTTTTATTAGTTTCTATGGATACATGCTTTTATGTCCAATGGTATAAGTTTATTTTGATGCAGCGTATACGGATTATTTGTTTGAGTTAATGATTTGTATTGAAAAATAGGAGACGATCAATGTAACTACCAGAGCGTCCCACATAATTCGCCATGATAGTCTACTAGACGGTATAAATGGCGTCCAAATGGAAACCAGTTTCCTTCGTGGATTCAATTCGTTTTACCATGTGAACGTGGATGTCGATAAGGTTGACTTTTTATTATACGATTCAGTATTACCGACCGAGTATAAATTAGATTTAGGGATAGACGAGATTTTTCTAATTAATATATACGTTAATATTTTTTTATATGTAGAATGTTTTATTAATTAAAAATAGTAAGAAGTGCGTTAATAAGTGTTTCCGTATCATGTGTACAATACTATTTCCATTTATTTTTTGACTTTTGTAACCATGTATCTCAAATTAGTTTGTCGCGTTCAGTCAGCCCATGAGTCAGCCTTTATTATGCTACGCCATATTAATGTTACAGGTTTAGCTGAGAAACGTCGACTTTCACTTCCAGGTTGGTACATACCTAATACACCGTAACTAGTACTGTACGAATATGAAACCTGACTGTATACGTAAGTAGAATTCTATATGTAAATAGAAATTGAGTATTAAGCTCTTGTAAGTTGAAATATAAAACCATATTTACTTAAGATAATTGTCCCAGGTTAATTAAAAGCTCAGTACATGTAAAGAGCTTACAAGAAATATGGTATTAGCACTTTGAGAAATAGAAGTAACAAGAGGAAAAGGTAATGGAGATAAATGTATGAAAATTAATGACGTATAGAAATTGTCGACTTTTTACTAGTATCAATTTTTTCTTTACAGCAGAGAATAGGCTGTTTGGCTACTGTGGTCGATAACGTAACCAACGAATTGTATGAAAATGCCGAAAATAGCAGAAAAGGCGGGTTAATAACAGACGTAGAAAATTTGTCAATGTTCCAAGTTCCCAGGGAGTTTAAAATCTTGTATAATAATGACAAGCTACCCAATGACGTGTTTCAAGGCGTTAACAGTCACAATTGGCGTTTCTTAAAAATATTCAATATTTTTGTCTATTATTAATCCAGCAGGCGCCCAGATGCCGACGTCGTCATACACGTTGTTCGACGTAACGTTAACTGGTTCCTTGGCTTTTCCGGCCTGAGTGCGCCTGCACGTTACGAAGACGAAGTTTGATTACGTTCCAAGTTCTGAAACTCGAGGTTGGACAACAAACTTTGGGTTTGACACGAGGCCAAGATGCCAGGATGTTTGTAGTTGCTTCTTTTCCTTGGGACGCTACGTGACTTTCCCGGGCGAAGAAATGAGTAGGAAAAGAGTCGAAGCTTTGACAGAGTAAAGAAAAAGTAAGCATGAAATTGTTTCATGTTGTTGGTTTATTTTTCTGTCACGCTGCCAAAGTATTTATATGCAACCGAGTGAATCTCGTGCTTCTTAATTTGGACCAGAGTTATTCTTGGGGTCGGCGTGGACTTCACGTGGGATTTAATACCTCTGTCTTCGAGTCACCCGCTATAAGCCGTGACGCATTTACCTCACGTAGTAGCTGGAGAGTTTTACGGCTATTACGGGAGTGACTAAGCTGAGATCCGTTCTAGTTACTCATGAGATACTCAGAGAAGTTTTGAAAACTTTGACTTGTGCGACAGAACGCTGCTCAAGAGATTAGAGAGTGAAAATATAGAAACTTAACCGATACTTTCTAAAAGGCAAGATTTTTCACGATATTGTATAAACATAAGTATCACTCGAAAATACCAAGTAAAATTGTTTCTAACGTAATTTTATATTGGTCGTTATTAAATAAAATTTTACAGACAATTATTTCATAGCTATTCTTATTGATAGTCTATCAATTTTAATATTGATGGAATTAAAGAAAACATTAAAGCGATCTTAATTGTGTCATTAATTGACATATGTGTATATGATTATGAACTTAAGTACAGTGTCTATCTTAGTACTATTCAGTTCCTATGGGAGAACTATCTTCAGATAGTGCAGTAGTACTGAATAAACTTGTATAGAGAGCGTATGAAAGCAATGCACGGTATCGCTATATTAAACGTAAGCTGCTAAACATATGAACGACTAGACTGTATCAAAAAGTGCCATGCGTATTGTAGTGTCTATGTAAATGGCTGTCTTGGTATTTTCCAAATTTCCAAGTTTCCCTTGGTGTCTCCAATGGCCACGAGATCTCTGAAAGATATAAGATATTTAAATGATGACAAAAGCATAAAGCATTATAGGTGTATGTAAATGTAAGTGATATTCAATAGCTAGGTACATTATTGACAAATTCAGTCATCAAACCGATATCCATCGGTTATCAACGTTTTTAGTTCATGCCAGTGAATATGGCACGCCAGGTTCCATTCGATTTATTATAGGTTGAATAATAATTCTTCACAATAATGATTTAATTAATGACAGCGAATAAATTTCATGTCAAGTTTTACATTTCTAGTCGATTAATATGGATAAGATCGAAAAACATACCTAATAAGCTTTGATACTTGAGATACGTATACGAAGTCACTCAGAAATTTCGGTAAGATATATAGATCATATGAATATTTATTAAATTGAGAGACAAAGTGATACGAAGTACGAGTAAATATTGTCTCAGCTGTGACTGTTTATCTTAAATAATTGTCAATTGGCACATGTCATTATTTAAATCACGTACTATTTGGTATTCAATTGCTATCGTTGATCTGTACAATAACGTTTTAGTTCATAAACGAATATTTAATTGCAGAACATAAATACGTGACAGTTTTGGACTTGTTTTGAACTGGGTAACTTGTAAAAGTGCTGATGCGATGTAAACATTCGTAGCGAATATGTACGAGCGGTTTATTTTTGTATCCCGTGTAAACCTGGCTACTTTTGAACGGTTGCCAAACACGCATTCTTTTCGATGTGTTTCATTCACGATATTTTAATCCCTTAGAATTAATCCAAAAATGAGGCAGTCTGATATAAAGGATTTACAAGTTAAAACAGTCTGCTGTTTCGATATTAGTCCAAAAGAAACATTACAAATTACAACAACTTAGAACTGCAGTATACAACTGAGCACTGTTATTCTCCTGCAATAATATATGAATACCTGATTTTGAAAGATACCCTTTTAACTGCGTATTACGTAGAACAAATTAATGGCATGATTGAGGTAAGAACTTTTGAAAAAGGTCAAAGACCTGCAATTGGAAGAAGATAAATGAAAAATAACAAACCTTTTTCCATTAAATTGAAGACAACTGGTACCCTGTTTTTCCGACATTTCCAGCTTGAGATTCGTGACAGGCTTTCCATTTGTTACGTTGTAAAAGTGTATTGAGGCTCCTGCGCCGTAAGCTGTGAATACGTCGATTATTCCAGGTAACCACGTAAGCCCCACAATTGTGTCGTCAACAGATATCGTTTGATGAATCACAGACTGGAATTATAAATAACAGCATATTGCGATTAACGGTATTCAATTATAAAGAGAGGATTTCGAACAAAAGTTATTGCATTTTAGATTATTCGAATGATCAGCTATTCAGTGGTATCCTAAGAATAATTAGTTTTATTACAGTATTTTAATAACGGTACTTCAACCTTTGTTAAAGATATAAATAAAACCATTAATATCCTTGTATACATATAGTACATAATATTAAAGTTATGTATAAAACGTAAGCGAATTCGGCATACAGAAAAATATTTGTTGTTTCCCTTCATTGAAATGCACACGATTCCTGCATAATAATGAATTCGTATACGACAGCAAACTTTAGATTTTGTCATGAATGTGTTTCCTTTGTCTTTGGTATGACGGTGAATTATGCGCGATGAATTTAGAATCTACCAAAGGTCGACTGAAAGGCTTTCACCTCTCCGCCTTGGCCATTTTATATCATCTTCCCTTTTGTAATGGAACATAACAATCTAATTATTTGAAATATTACTGTATCGAACTTTACATTACATCAAGGGACACCAAGTCATGTTTAGCAAGAGACGGAAGCTTATAATAATATATTTACCTCTGCAAAATCATAGATTCGAATTTCTTTATCTGTGCCACTTGTAACAAATAGGTTGCGCGTGGGTGAACTGCGTACGCAAGTAACACTGCCTTCGTGTCTTTCATACTCATCCACAACAGGATCAAGAATATTTTCATTTCCTAAAAGAGCAAGTAGTATTGCATATTTAAAAACTCTTCTCGACTGAATCGACATTTGAATTTGAATGTAAAATATACACCAAGACCTTCCACTGGAGTAGCACGATCCACGCTGCACTTGTACAAGCCGCCACACAGAGTGCCGACAACAAAAAGCATAGGATCCTTAGTAGAGAAGTCGAAAGTCGTAACTGATAATCCAGCCTCTGTAGCACGTTCTCGACTTCCGCCTGCGCTACGTGGTCTTGTGCTTTCCGATGGATTGTGCTCCTTTGCGATTTTAAATCTACAATGTATTCCTTGTGATAAGTCGTGACGTCAATCGACATAAAGCTACTCGTCATGTATACCGATGTAGATGGTAGAAAAATATTTAGAGGATAATCATGCATCGCATGTATTTTGTAATTGACTAGTTAGTACCGTTTATGTTGAGTGATGGTGGTAAAGTTGGCTGTCAATTTGTGAACCAAAATATATCCATCCCTACTAGCTGTTACTAGCAATGAAACATCATTGATGGATCTGGGTCGCCAATGAATTAGGGACACGGTATCACCATGTGTGCAAACTTGAGTTGGAGTTACCGCAGTCTCATCTCTTAGATTCCATAAAACGATATCTCCTAAAGTAAAAATAAAGGCATGTAAATGGCTGTATAAATGTTTAATGTACCTTATAATATTTGAGAAAATTTAATGTAAGTACTTTATACCATTAAACAAGCCTGCTGCAATAATAGATGGTTCAGTAGGATGATACGAGAGTGATGTTACACAGGAATTTAGATTTAATACTTTTTTGGGCTCTATGGGAAGCTGATAATCCTTTGTTAGGTCATAAAATTTGATTTTTGATAAATGGTCGCAATATGTTTCATGATATACTACACTGTGCGATACAGAAAGAGTTCCCCCGCCACTACTCCATGTTATGTCACTGATCTTTATCTGAAATAAAGTAGATAACATAAGAATCATAGTATAGTTATCTCAACCATGTTTAGGCTTAAAGACTACTAGAAAGCCAGTTGATTAGAAAGCATTCATACTTCATTATTAGATTCTTCCAATGTGTTCAACTTTGCTAATAACTTTACTGTAGTCGATGGTTCACCACTAGCTCCAGGATCATAGTTCTCGAAAGCATTGCTACCATATGCTTCATCTAAGTCCTCTAGGATGCCTGGTGTTACACGCTTTAAAAATGCTGCCAGTTTTTGATAGTCTACTTGAGGTTTCTTTCTTTGTTCGATTATAGTTTGCGTCTGAAATTATACACTCTATATTATACAAAATCAAAGAAAATTTGCTCAGAATTTGGATGTAGAACTCAACGTTGCCACTGTTGGATTACTTCTTACATGAACATCTTTTGTCTCAATAGCTTGAGTTTCGTTCTCCTTATATACTACTTCATCAGTCTGAATATTACTTGATTTTTCTGGTCTGAAATAAAAAATAATAGGAATCATATACATATTGTTGCATCAAATATTGAGTATTCTTATTATATCTAACCTAAACAGGCATACTTATAATGAAATAATTTCAGAAATGTGTTAATAGTATATATTACTAAAGTAAAATATTAAATATTAACAGTGCTAGAATAATAAACGAATTTTGATTAGAGAATGTGTGAAAGAGTGATTTTGGTCGTGTCATATACTTAATTATGCATGTATTTATATGCTATCAAATATTATGAATTTTACTTGTTACTGCAAAGTTGAGAACGGAAGCCTACAGGCTCGGAAGATGCATCAGTAAACATTGTTTAATTAATATTATAATAGTCCTCAATGAACAAATGCCTTGTTTACAAGATTTAACTTGCACACCACGATGTGACAGCTGCAAACAGCTGACAGCTGACTGAATGAACCAGACTAAATTCTGATAAATTCAGAGCTTTATTTCATGTTCTTACATTATACTTAATAAAAGAAAATATATTGTCTAATGTAAAAATGTCTATTTCAATATATGAATCAACAATCAATTGTTAAAAAAGACTACAAATTAATAAATATGTATTACGAACGGAGTAATATTTGATAGGAGATGAAATTCCTTTGTTGGAAATGGCCCGATTGATGGACATTGTTATTGCGTCTAATGAGTAGTGTCAATTGCTGCTATTCGTAGCGTAAGTGTGAATTTTTTTTCTTTGCAAACTTAAGTTCGAGCGCACAGTGTAAGTTCGATAAGATTTACTATGACAAAAGCCAGCACCGCATGCCTGTCTGCATTGAGGAATGCAGCGGTGCGGTGCTAGCTTCCAGCATTATTTAAATAATAGTTCCGAGCGGAACTATGGTCTCAGCATTGAGCACCAGAGAGAACTATCACGGAACTGTTTGGAACACATCGGAAAACAAAATTGAAAACTGAATATTTTTTTATCCACTGTATAACAGCAGCGGAGTAATTAGGAAAACATGAGGAACTAAAGGAGCATTTTGTAGGCATTATAAACATATACATTTTTATCCTTTGACGCTAACTTCCGGGCAATCGGCAACTGACACCACTAAGTTTCGCTTACATTTTACTCGGATGGTAAATAAGAGCTATCTAATTTTTCTCAATGTATACATCACTCACTTTGAATTAATCATTTAATAATTTCCATGTTGTTTTTCATCTTCTAGTCTTGAGTATTTATTATTCCATACGATTTAATGGTACATACAATAAATTCTGCCAGCATTTTTCGAACAGTATCTTACTTATTTCCCTAGATGGAGCCATGCGACAACTTCTTGAAGAATGTTACAATATCAAAAAATTCGCAAATTTCTTCCGTCCACACCTAATTTTATTTTCTTCAATTCCATTTATTTCACTTTTATAAATGGAAAACTTCGTTTCAATGAATCGTGCACTTTCAAATACGTGCTTCATTAGCGAAGTGTGTGAAGTTATCATTACAATTCAGGAGCGAACCAACTCTACCAAGTAATAAAATCGTTCACTTTATATCACAAAACCGGTACGAATATAGTCTGTTGTCCAATATTACTTCACGGAATTCACAACCAATCGAAAGAAAGTAAAGATCAATTGATAGAAATCGAAGGCCAGACTATAACCACAAAATAATAAACGATGGAGCCACAAATCGATAAGTGACAATTCTTTATACATATTATTAGAGACAAACTCTACGTATTACAAAGCATATTAAGAATTTAGGACAACAAATAGCATAACAAAAGTACAAATATCAAATTAATAAATAAATATGTATTTCACTGCTCGAGGAGTGTGTACAGAAATGTAGATATGTGTACAAATTATTGTTGCGATTTATTCATTACATATAATTACTATATATAATATAACCTACTACTTCTTTGTCATGCACAGTTAAGATCTGCTGCGATAATGATAGTATCAATTCACTAGATCTACTAATACCACGTATTACGATTATCAATGACATCCCAAGCAACACATAAATCCCAAAGTCATCTCTAACAAGTCTCAAGATTCATTTTTAGATACTATGTATGTGGCTGGTATCAGGATGAACCTCCAGCTCTCAGAATTATATATCATTTTGACAAATAGTAACGCTCCTATAATAATAAGTAAAAGTACATAATTCTAACGTAAAGTAGTCATGAAGGTATCTAATAACTAAAAGTTGCAAATATTTGGTGTGAACGCCACTGACATAAATCCTCCCGGAATACTTGTGTCCCTGCAATGATTCTAGCGCGCGATTATAACTTTTGTACAGTCAAGACCAAAAAAAGAACAAGTCGTCTTCATCCGTCTTACCAAGAGAAAACAAACAAAAAGTAAAAAAATCAGTCCACGTATTAGGCCTTCCGATAGAACAATGAAGTAAAAAAAATAGCAGAAGACACAATTCTTCTCTTTTGACAGAGCGCAGCTTTCCAATCTCTACTTCTGAGAATATATATATATATATAATACATACGATTACATTTTCAAAGTTATCTTCATAGAGTTATGGCGCATTATAAACGTGTACGTTTTCTCTCGTGTAAACAATAATGGCGTGATGATCGTTACTGGCTCGCGATTGGCGCTAAATCGTTATAATTGTAAGAAGGAAATAATAAATAACAAGATAACTAGTCAACATATCGAACATAACTCTTAATCTTGCGCAGTCGATTTGTATATAAAGTTATAATATACGTATGTGCGCAGGGAGCTCCAAAAGAAGGCGACTTGGGTGGGTGAGATCTTTTTTCTTTTTTTTTTCCATATCTCTTTTGCGTCTCTCTCTCTCGTGGGGGAGATGACAAATGAGAAATAATAAGGGAAAAAAATGGTAAAAAGATACAAGCGCGCTCACCCTGACTTTCTCATTTATTCTTTATGAATTTCCTGAGAGACCAGTTTCGTGAAGACGATTTCAATAGCTTTTCAGTCAGTTCTACATATCGTTAAATGTTTGTTCAGTGTTCTTTACGAATTCGAGAAGCGCATACGAAATATCGAGAAACAGTTGTACATAGTTTCCCATTAAGCATTTGTCCCATTTGTGCAACAACAGACGTTTCTATCTTCGTTCGGTTCCCTCTCGCTGAATTTCCATGAATGGAACTTTTAGTTCAACGGGAACAACGCTCGATTGGGTATTTATGATGAACTACGTCAATGAAATTATCTCTTATCGGTATACGTGTTTCTCTTATCTGCTTTTTTTCTCTTTTTATCGTTCACTTGTTACTCTCCATTTCCCTTCGTGTATTGATTATTTATCTAGTCACCACCACGCCACGTTTATTCCTTTCGTGTGTTTTCTGCCATTTTCTAGGAGATTCTGTTCTTATATATATATTCTTCGTTGGCAAGACTATGACTGATCTTCTTTAGATTATGATAACAGTCATTGAACCATTATATGATTTTAATTTTCCATCTGGGATACGGAATTTTAAGTAAAATTTACTTTGACATTGTTTCTCAGAACAAAGGCCAATTCTCATTCAATCTACTGTTGAATTATCTGACCGAGACCTTCAAGTTTTCTTCAACGCTTACATATATTAGTCTTGATCATCTGTATAGTATATGTAATAATATTTAATCATCCTGTATGCTTGCTTCTTCCATCAGATGATTAAATCCTCGCTTCTGACTTGGATCTCTGCAGATGCCATCGTCACAAGTCATTCCATAGCTGCAAGGACATAACATAATATGAACGTCAGTAAGCTCCACTTGGGTTCCATCAGGATAGACCAGGGTGGTATTCAAAGTGGCGTGTCCACTTGGTCTGCATACATCTCCTTCTTCTTGCAACGGCTGACACTGTGGTATGCTAAACCGTACTTCACCTAGAGATCATTTTATATTTTCTAATTAATAAAAGCTCATAAAATTGTTACAGATTAATTTATCGACCGATACCGACCGATGGTACAGCAGTTTCCTGGCATACACTCCAAGCTGCTCTGACACTGAACGTAACGTGGTCTCTTCATGACACCAGCGTAGAGCGGACAGGTCATCCCGATGACCATGACTGCCACTGCGAAAATTAGTCTCTGCGTCATGATTCGAGTTTCGAAACTTGACTCCACGATCCCTGAAACACAATGGAAATATTAAAAACGTCTTGGTCTCTCGCAGCAGACTGTTTCGTTGGTTCGGTAGTTATTCTCGGAGACAATGCGTTTTGTTATGAAGGCTCCTTGTCTCCTTTAGAGAATCATCAATCGAACGAATCACGATTTAGGTTGTCAGTCGATGACTGTGGTGTAGGGAGCTAACACAAAAAACAAAAAGACAATGAAATACCTTGGCATTTCATTGCCCAATCAAAAGAACTCATTACAAGGTCTCATCTGACTTTCTCTGTATAGGGATCTTAAGATTCTTCCCTTTAGTCAATACTAATAATTTTATTATAATTTTTCCGCCCATTTTGGAGCACGCCATATGCATTGTACATATATACTGTATCTAACAGGAGGAAATAGCCATTTTTGGAAAAACGAGGTCGCTATTCTAACAATAAGATTGTCTCGATATCTGCTTTTACCTTAATCGTCGTTGTGTTAATCACACTACTGTTAGGATCACTCATGTTTCCCTTGCAAAGTTTTTTCTTAGTAAATCATCAGTACATTGATGATGTTAATGATGACGTTGATGGTCAAAGAAGATGTTTACACGTATATATTATCAATGCAATTGATATATTCGCATGGATTAAAGGAATGAATTGCTGCTGAACGAAAGTCGAAAGTAGGTTTGGAAACGTTAATGATTTCTAAGCTGTGTTAGGTCGATTATTAATACTTATTCTAAGTCCTTAACATTAATTGTTCTGATGAGCGCGCATCATTGCCGAAAATTTAGTGCGATGTTAAGACGCAAACGAGATTGGCCTTGTTGCTTTCAAAATAGACCAGAATATCATTACGCATGGTCATCAGTGGTAGTGATGTGAGTAAGTATTATCGGATGACCAATTAACACTGAATTCCGTGAATTCTAGCGTGACGATAATTAATTCGCTAATTAACACGCGATACCCACCAATGATTTCTCCTCGATGACCTTACCCGCGACACGAAGTCATCGAATAGTAACGAAGAGGCTCTGCTGGCTACAGTGATATGGTATTATGCCATTTATTTAGTCTTTCAATCGACCCAAAGTTCATGATTCAATATCGCTGATATGCAGATATACTAATTCAACGGGTTTTTTTTCCTCCAAATTTCTTATCGTAAAACGATAAGTTAGTGAAGATGGGTTATATCACATAAATTGGAAAGCGATTAGATATACTTTAAAATAGGAGTATTTTTATTATTCAAAAAATGTTAATTGCGAAAGTCAACGTTCCTGGTAGATTTGTTGGGATCAGATGAATTAAAAAAAAAATAATTTTATATGATCTCGTCTGAGGCGTCTCGATTCGTGATCTCTATCTGTGACGTGTGATATTGAAAAGTCGAAAACTTCACTTGAGATTTTCAAAATCAGCGAAAATTTCCGTAACAAGATTAGGAAACGTGTCTAAAACAGGGTGAACGGGATAAAACAAATTTATAAGAATTCACCGTTACAACCTTCATCGTCCCCGTCGTAGCTGATATACATGTATACAAGATACAAAGCGAGAATACAAAATGAAAAAGACTAATGACCCCAGATATCATCACGCAGAATAAAAGAATCTTTAAACGCTCGCTGATTAATATTCATTTGACTCTTGCAGTGTCACCATAAGATAATTTTGTGTAAATCATTGATAATTCATTTATGACTTCGCTCCGATTACTGTTTTCGTATGCTAATCATCATCAGGCCTGATTAGCATTATCCAACCTTCACCTTGTCGTGGCAATGTCGATGTGGATCTAGTCGAATAAGGATTCTTTAGTCATCGCTAATGCGAATACAAAAAGAACAATAAAGAATGACGAAGAACTCGAAGAAAAATGACAATAACAGGAAATTAAGAAGCAAGTACATTTATAGGCTCTGCGCATTATGCATACGTGTAAATCATCGATGTGACTGATTGTGATTTTACATATTACCTTTTTTAGCTGCTGCATATACTACGTAGACAATGTATAAATATATATTGCGTTAATTTACGCATCTCAAATGCAACAGTAAATGCGTTACAGTGCATAACTAACGTAACTTAACACATGATCCATATTGAATATATATTTGTAGATATTTAGCGTGATATGTACTTTCGCATTAAGGTGGGTCCACGCGTGGGCGATGATTTATCAACACACGAGATTTCGAATTGTATATATTTGGCTATTGTGTTTTTTAAGCATTATGATTTATTAAATGCTTCATCATTTTGCATCATGTGATACCGTTCGTGTCCTTTTATATAATTTCATTGTAATTATGTAAAAAGTATGTTGATTTTTCGCACAAATTTTTTATTCGCGATAGCATTTACTATACGCGTGTCTAAATTTTCGACTGTAACTCCTCTGTGACTTGTCGACGGTTCACATTAAGGCGAGTCCGCACGTGGGTCTGTGATGTATTAATGCCAGTGGAATTCGAAAGAGTGTTCGCTTGTTATTCAATATAATGCAGGGTGGGTTTGAGAATTGTACATGCTGTAAGAAAGTCGATGTATTCATCCTCATTAGAATTTAACATTTCACCGATTTCATGAGAACCGAGATCAAGGCATAATCATCCAGAATTTTATAATTATCTCAAAATCCATAATCGCAGTAAAATGACAATCGATTAAGAAAATCTACAGACTTACCGAGAAAAAAATATAATAAAAATACGTTTTTTCTTTAGAGAATCCGAAATACACCGGTCTTCAAAGTAAAGTTGCACAAACAGTCAATAAACGGTGCACTGAACGTAGACGTAACGGGTTTTGAAAATAAATGAAATTTTTAACCTCGAAAAAAATGTTTAACTTGTCCAATTGTTTAGATGCTTTTGTAGCAACTTCAATCGAGATGATTATAAATAAATTTTTGCTCGCGATCCTCACTTGGCAAATACTCCGCGGTATGTGATTGTTCGTACCGATGGACTTCTTGTTTTATAGCGGTTCGAGTATTCTCACGAACATACGTTCAGTGAATATGTATTAGTCTGTCTCTGATGCGCGTTGCGTATATCTTTATATGATACTTACGTATCCACAAATGTATTTCCATTTCTCCTTCTTCCTCTTCGCCAGCGTACTCGTCCCCATCCTCTTCCTTATCCTTTATTTTTCTTGTCTTTCTTTTTTTGTTACAGAAAATGAAAAACGCCTCATCGCAGATGCTACAACGATTAACGATGCAGGTGGGTCGAATGATTAGCTGCATTGAAATAATGATGAGTGATTTCTTCTGTACATATGTGAACGTTCTTCAGAGATATAAGGGGAATTATATCATACGTTTCATTCTGTTGATACTATATATATACATATATATGCAATTAATCGTATACATATTTATTGATTTAATTGGATCTTTTATTAATTGAATTATACATTGTATGTGAGAATCGTTGTAGCGTAGGATAAAACGTGAACCGCAAAGGGATACGACAAGTAGAGAGACCATGTAGTCACCATAAGGGAGACGTAAGAATAATTTTGAGGTTAATCACAAAGAAAATTTGAAACAGAGGATCTTCGTGGTTAGGTTGTTTGATAAGTAATTGTTGGGTGAGAAATTTGTTTTTTTTTATTGATATAGATTAACGATTGTATGTTTTTTGTGGGATTATTTATCTATAATACCTTTTTAATGTGACAATTGAAATTATTTGCGCTTTTATTCCGTCGTCGGATGTTCTACTGTAATGATACTTGATGTACTTTATGACGTCGTACCGGTTTATTGACGTACAATGTCAATTCGTCATAAATCATAATTTATTTCTGATTGTAAAGGCCGTCTCAGTGATTTTGGTGTTTTCGAATGCCGTGGACATTCGACGTTATAATATCTTGACGGTTAAGCATATGGAAATTGTTAAATCGTGTTAATCTCTTTGATAAAAATCGTGCGGTGTTTTAATGAATAGAATACGGAATTTCCGACGATTAAGCATAACCTGCTGTTTAGTGGTAAACAATAGATTGGCAATCTAATCGCGCAGAAATAAATGCCACATAAGGATATTAGACAGAAATAAATACTTTACAAGTTGTAAGAATTTCGAGAAAAAGATTTCAATAATAAGATTGTCTATTTATTTTTTTAATTTGTCAAAATACTAAACGTACTATGGCAAAGTCAGTGAAAGTTTCGCGAATTCTATTATTACTATTGATAATATCATATCCTATGCTCGAGTATAATAACCCGCTTATACATATACGTTACCCGCATCATAGTACTTGGGGAAATCCATTAATTGCTTATTTTCAATGGTCAATCTGTTCGATGATCACAAAAAATTTCTTGTATCCAGTTTTCCTTCATCGATCAAGAAATGATGCCTTTAGCAGTCACTGATGTTTCTATAAACATCAAAATAGACATAACTGTAGGAGGTTATGTTTCAATTATCGAAGCTTATAGTTTTCGTAACAAATTTGCTAGACTATCTAATACGGGTAGGTAAGAATTGCGTAAATATCATAACACTAACTTTCTCTATAATTTCTTCACCATTTTTTCATTTTCCTAGTTCCAAATATTTATTCATATTATACATGCTCATGCGGGGATAATCGTATTGCTCTTATATTTTATATGATGGTATAGTTTCTTTAAACTCGTGTATTGACGGAAGAGTGTTCAGTGTATCGATAAAGTGAGAAAATTTTCTACATATACATATATATTCGTTTTGGATCGTACTAAATAGTTGTCCGTCCCTATGTAACGTTCAAGTTATTAAAAAGCGTAAACAGTGCTGATATATGTGGTCCACTAAGAATACTGATTAAACAATTATGATTAAAAAAGTTGCTCACTTCGATAACTTTGTAATACTGGCGTAAATAATTTGTACTTTCATGAATTCTATTGGAATGACTTTTATCGTTTATAGCTCCGAAATAATTGCAGGAACATTTAGTAACTGCAATATATCAGTTTAATTATATATGAAAAGTTTATCAATCCATTTGGTTATCCACTTATTCATTCCTGGTAAGCATACTGATTAAACAGTACCACAGAAACGATTTAATTACTATCTCGTGAGCCTTTTAATGGAACTGTAGATAGATTCACGATATTCTACGACTTTCTGTATCTTGACCTTCAAACATGGATGAGCAAGGTTAAAGGTCACAGCGTGTAATACGTCAAGTCCAATTTCGAATGCCTCTAAAGAGGGTCTGTAGTTACGATTCATTCTTATTTGTTTCGATTGCAAATCAGACTCGTTGTATTCTTATAGATTGGAGCCATTTTACGTCATATATTTGCCTCTTCTTCTTAACATTCTTATTATTCTTCTTGTATCCCCATGCAAGATTCGAATCACGAGCTATAATCTTTAGTACGATAGTACTACGTATGCTCGGTTCAGAAAACTAATAATACAATTATCCACGAATTAACGTCGATAAATCCAAGTCATTGTATCAAATGAATTTTCCTTGAAATCCTATCATCCGTTTGTCAGGGTCAATGAAATGCATAGGAACTAAATCATATTCGTGAAGATCCAGTAATCCTAAGTAAAGAAATAATAATTAATTACTAATCAATGAAAAATGAGAGGCCAATATTAGTTATGAAAAAAATTATAAATCTTATGCTCACTGAGACATTTTTTTATATCAGAAGACCAAATGTAGAAGTGAATGCCGATTGTATTCAGATCAGAACAGACCATCAAGGGTCAGCTCATCGAAAGCTGTGTCGTTAATAGCCATAGAATAGTGAAAGGCTTATATACCTATAGAAACAAGGTGAAATTCTCTCGGCGGATTATACGAATTAGACCACCCAATTATCCTGGCAGTGCCATCATTATTTTTTTCTCCTGACCGTTCAGTAGATCGTACTTCCATGTGAGTGGGCGAGTGAGGAACGTTTCGACAAAAAATGAGTCAACTGGACAATGTCGAATCTTTGACTAGCGCCTCTTTTAGATTCTGATAAAAGCAAGACAGGCACGTGTCTCTATGTGTGTTCACGCCTGTGATGTATTCATAAGATGGGAAGTGAAAGAGAATTCAGGGCGATCCGGAACCTGGAGAGATCAATCCTGGGATTCAGGTATTTCCAAGTAAGCGTATCCTCCTACGAATGATAATTAAGTATGAACGTCAGTATTAACATTGTGTGAATATTATGTATATAAGTGAGAATCCACATTAAAAAAAATTACTCATGCGCCTTTACGTAAGTATCACTCTGTCAGACATGTACGTATTTATCATCTGGTATGGTTTTTACCTGTCATTGTTGGTTTCATGTAATTTGTCCGTTTCATGAATCCTCAACGATCAAATCCTCGTGCAGGATTAAGATCGTGATATTCGTGATTCCTATATGAGAAGCCTGGGATACGAGTAAGGAGCACCAAAGCTATTACTTCACTATGATAATCAGATATTTCATCCGATTTCCTTGGCGTGGTTCACTCGACATCCATGTGAATTCCAAGAGCGATCGACAACAAAGACCTGACATTTGTCTTTATTCCCAAGCAAAATCGCACCTCGAGTGAAAGGTTATGTGAATTGAATAGTATCAAAGGGCAGAAGCACGTGCATTTACAATGCCTTTTAATAAATTGGGGCCTGCCCGTGGTATATAAATGGGTAGCCATTTCATATCTGGATAGAGAAATAAAAATTCCCATAAGAAAATATGACAAGTCACATATTAATGTATTTTCGATTCATTCTTCTTCATACAAATGTCCTGGCGTTGTTTCTGTGGATTAATTATTACCTTCCAAGATGATCGTCTACGAGGTAAACATATAAATGTTGTCGGTGATGCTTCAAGATACAAGGAAGCCACGGTGTAACGTGCGTTAATCATGATGAGTGGTATTTTTAGAGTTTAACTCATAATCGATTTAGGAACTCGCACTCGATCCTCACATAGAGAGTATCGTTGTGTACATACACTTCCAAAAGTGAGTTTACAGGAACGGATAGAACTCGTACGAATAGTATTTATATATATTTACGGTGTCAAACACCTCGACCACTGGACGTTATTACGTACAACAAGAAGAGCGAATAGTGTCGATGAGTCAATTCACGTGAGTGTAATAAATATAACGCTTTAGGATATCCAGTCAAATTCGAATTCCGAACGAGAAATTATACCCGATACTGACGAATTTAATAACATTAATTTGAAAATACATATCTCAATAGTTGTGAAGTGTTGGATATACGTATATACGCATTTGTAGAATATAATAATTAATTGACGATGAGCGTCCTGTTTTTTTAAATTTTCATCAGTCGCTTCCTGGGTCATGAACTTCGTCATCCCTCGGAATAAACGATGCGACACGAAGTTAGATAATTCTACGTAATATCTAATATACAAGTAATGACAAGAGCGGATATCTTTTTTCTTTTAAAAGGATTTCGTAATGGACGTAAACAAATTGAAACTATGATTTCTTGTCTCGATTGGGTGATGCTGACTGTTGGTAAGTGTTTTTGAATAATGTTGGAGAAGTTTCACTAATGTTTGAAGCATTGAACTTTGAAGTTCATGAAACTTAAAAAAAAGTAGCTACGATCTATTTATATTTCATACGCAGATAACTTCCTACTTCCTTTCTCTGGCGTATTTATCTCAGTGTTCATCGGTCAAAAAGGAATTTATGAAGTGGTCACACCTCTCATGAGATATCGACCTTTAACCTTACTCTTCGTAGATTTCTTGGTGCCATTAGGTTCCTGACCTCCAGTATACATTTTAACAGTTAACCACAGTTAAGTTCGTACAGTCGACTTCGACTCATACACCGTTATCCCCCCGGAATAACCAGCCTCTTGACTTTCAGTAGATCCACGAAAAAGACACAAGGAAACCGGTTAAGAATGGTCGCGGAACCAGAGAGTACCATTAAATATTGCTTTGATACGGACTGTATATTCATTTCTGTTGGAACAACGGCTTGCCGCATACGGAAATTTAGATAATACTTAAATATTGTATATCGAGTGAGGAAGCGTTACTCGAAGTGGAAGAACATGGCGAAAGATTATGAAGGAATTAAATGTAAAATTTATAATGCTCATAGAAATCCGATGTAACCATGTAACTCATTATTTTTTTTTATTAGAAGAAAAAAAGAGCGAAAAGAAATGTAAACATTGATTGACATATTACGATTAAAATAATCTTTATTTACATAATTGTTATCGAGAAATAACGTCACGCTTGGATATCTTTAAATTTTCTTGGCCTATAATCGTTTCGTGCAGTTAATTATGAAAGAAGACAAAATATGGGGGTAAACAAGGTTAACGTTACACACGTATTGAATAGCGCGCGGTTACATATTATGCATTTATCTTGATGGAAAGAGAATTTCGCGGATATATCATTTTAATACTTGAAGTATCGAAAATACTGTTTCCTTCATGATTGGAATTTAAAACCTTCCTGTAAGCTTCAATTTTATTGGGTGATCGTAATAGTCATTTTTGGAATAACAAATGTATAAGACTCACGTGCCGCGTATGGTCGTGTAAAATGTACTTCATCATGATTTATTATTTTAAGTATATTTCTTTTTTTACCACTGAAAATATTCTTATTATCTTAAGCGACACATTCGTTGCATTTTCAAGTCCAGTACGAGTTATCTAAATATTCCTATAAACTTATAACATCCCATCAAATATGCTATTGGGATGTAATGTGTTTAATTTATTTGCAGAAAAATTTATCAGAAAAAAAGAACTAGATAATTTACCAGTGCTATAGAACATGCTCACACTGGATTATAAAGAATCAATGAAAATGTACAATTTTTATGAACATTCGTCATCCTCGATATCAACTAGTATCCAGATCTCCGAGTAAATTGATTGGGGAATGTGAGACGCACCGATTCTCAGGATGTCAATTACATAAATAAGGGAACCCTAATGTTTTTATAGTTTGGACCGTGTACCCTTTCTAGGCACGTTAATAAACGGCTTGAGCAACGGATAAAGAGACTGACTGGCTTTGAAGGATAAAACATCATCAATTTTACAAGGAGTGTTGATCACAGCCTCAGGTCCTGGTGGAAGAGCGTCTTCGGGGATTTTGTTCTCGGATAATCCTGCACCTCCTTCAGCAGTTGATATAACGTGGACCGAAACCTTATGTCTAGTCGATGACTGATTATGTATAGAAGTCTGTAAATAAATAGTGATTATCATTTTGTGGATAGTGGAATTCTGTAAAAATTGAATAAGATCACGTACCTTGAAGAACTCTAATATTTGTTCGCGATTAATTGTCATCAAATGGGCCACCTCAATATTTGCTCTATCGAAATTGTACTGTTGTTTTGAGATTTCAATCCAGAAAACAGCAGACAATGTACTCATCTTCTTAGGTTTTTCTAAACGTTGAACAGCTACAGATTCCTTGTGTCGATTAAACTCTTCGTCAGACATTGTTTTTATGTGATCTAACATAGAGTCGATAAATGCCTCAATCCTTTGCTCTACGTATTCTGGATGTTTATCACTTTGAATGATGATTCGTAATCCCTGAGCCCCATTAGTTCTTCTTACGCCACTAAACACAATATAGCCAAGTTGTTCCTTTGTTCTTAGAACATTGAAACAAGGCTCTGAAATTATTTGTACCAGCAGTTCTAGAAGCATATTTGATTCAGTGGATTGTAAACTGCATTGATAATAAACTTCGGTGCAGGAACTCTTGTGCAGTTTATTTTCTACCTCGTAAAGGAAGTAGCAACCTGTAATGCGACCATGAGAATGTCATTCTTATAAATAAATAAAAATATCTAATACTCACCATCATCGAGTGCCACTTCACGGTTTAATACCAATTGTCTTGGTAGGAGAGGCGTTATGTGCGGTACTGTACTTGTCAACTTCGTTTCAATAACTTTGACGGTTTCCAAGGCCTCTGATTTTGTCATATTTCCGTGTACCAGACACTCTATATGCATCTTACCCAACAGCTGCGGTATGAACTGCTGCACTCTCTCGATAGTTAACTCTGGAAAGACAACACAATTTTAACATTATGAAATCTTGGGATAATATTGTTTAAGTTGTTAGACTTACGAGAACTTGCATCATAGAGTTCGTCTTTAACCCAAACATGCTCGGCTAATAAAACAGCAAGATAATAGACAGCATGCTGATAGGGCTGCTCGGCTTCAAAGTTCTTTAAGCCTCTGATATACTAAAATCAATAATTATTCAGTAAAAAATTACTCTGAGGTTTTAATTTTTCCTCGTTCATGGTACGCACGTTTTCTTTTAGAATCTCAAATCTCTTGGGATCAACTTTAAAGTTGACCATTCGATCCAAAATCTTTTCCAAGAGAACATGTTGCTTGTCATCGTAGCCTCCTATTCCTAACTAAAATAACATTACGACTTTACGACAGACACGAAGCTTTTGTATGTCGCATCCTTTTTCTTTCATATTATTCTTTTACTTACAGACATTCCATATTTGCTATTATTTAATTCCCACTTTAATCCTGCTAGGTCTGCTGCATAAGCGTACTCGTTTAGGGAGTCTCGGAATAGTTGAACGAACATGTAAGTCAAATTGCAATTTACTGGATCCAAGTAAGCTAGGGGGCTGTAAGAAAGGGATAAATATTGATAAATAACAATTCGTAACACCAGAAAGTATATAGTATATTCGAAGGATTCAATTACCTAACGAAATCAAACGTTAAATTAGCTTTTGGTACAAGAAATTCATCATCTTGTTTAAACCAAACTCGCATTAATGGAGTATCTTCCACGATAACAGGAAATTTCTCTACCTGAAACAGAAGATGATAAAGAATAAATCACAGAAATGGTATTATTTAGCAATTCAATGAATTAATCTTTCTTACTTCTGATTCGTGAGCTTTAATATCAAATCTTGTTGGAATAAATTCATTTTTCATTGGCAATCGTAGATCCTTATTTAAACCGGCGTTGCTCCACTTACTTATAATATCTTCAGAAATCTTTTCCTTTTTATATTTTGTCCCGTACCAGTACTCACTCTCCGTAGCAATATTCTCAAATTGTTTACCAACTACTTGGACTCTTATATTTTGAGGAGTCAAGTGGTCCACAACCAAATTTATTAATTCTGGATTCCACTCGGTATAGAGTTGCGGTGCACTCAGGACTTCCTCCATAGGATACTCCTGAAGTGTTTGCACCGTCGCATACACGTAACTACGCGGCGATGACTTCTCCTTAAATCGGAAATTCATTTCCGCAATATCCCTGTATTCCTGTACACAACGATGAAATTAGATATGCTCCTTAAATCCGTGCACCTTCAGCAACTTTTCTATTATTATTCACACCTCGAATATCCACTTGACAGGACCTTCCTTTTTCAGCATATTTATATACTGAAACATCAATGTAATAATGTCGTCTACGTGTTCAATACCCTCTTCCGTGAGGTCAACGTAGACACTGAAGAAATTGAAACCCCTAGCGGCAGTTCGTTTTCCTGACATTAACGAATTGCACCAGCCCTTTGCTTTTAATGCTGATAGTAAAGAACCTTCACCTTCGTGACCGAGTAAATGCGATACGTAATGCGCTGGCTATAATATAAGAAATAATTCAATGAATTTGAATTGATCTATTAAAATTTATTAATGTGTAATCAAGTGAGTATGTCAAGTTTAAAGACACTTACCGCCGCACGGAAATGTTCTTGTAAATCAGGAATAGGGAAAGTAATATTCAGATGGCGTACATCCTTTATGGGGACAATGTACCACTTATGCTGGAAATGTTCTTCGTTGAATGGATGATCTGGCCACCTTGGAGCTTCAACATCTATGTTCTTTACTTCAGAGAATTTATCAGTGATCATTCTTTCAAGTTCATCGAGACTCTCTATAAACAATAAGAAATGGCTTCTACACAACTATTTAAAAGTTGTATTGGAATGTAATTTTTTATTCACAAACCTTTTCCAAGCACACTTAATGACATCATGTTAGCGGAATACCAACTATTATGGAACTTTAGAAGTTCTTCTCTGACATTGATATTGTTCTGCTTAGGAATGATATCAAGAGTGTTCTTATTTCCTGTGCCAAATTTTGAATATGGATGACTTGGATCAGCGGATGATTTGTCCAATTGATCAAGACGCCATGTATCAGCTACTACATTCTTTTGATGTTCAGAATCTACTGCATTGAGTTCACGCTCTGTTGCTGATTCCGTAAATAATGGCTTCAAGAAAAATTGAGAAAAACGATCTAGGGCGCCTTCCAATTTGTCTGGTGTTATGTCAAAGTAGTAATTGGTATGGTCTAAGTATGTTGCTGCATTGCTTGCGCCACCATTCTGGGACAAGTATACTGTGTATTCATTTTCCATAGGATATTTTTCTGTTCCAAGGAATAGCATGTGTTCACAGAAGTGTGCCAGACCAGGCAACTCTGGAGGATCATTTAGGAATCCAATATTAACATCTAGGGATGCTGCACTCTTATCAGTTGTTGGATCACTGATCAGTAACACTTTCATTCTATTACTCAGAATTAATCCCCTGTAAACTCTCTTGTCATTTTGAGATTTTGTAATATCATCGTAGCGCTTATGCACACGTTCTTGTATCGCAGTTGTTGTTATCGAGGCTGTCATATCCGGAGAAGTGTGTCTGAAACAATGAATCTTTAACTATATGGAAACTACACTATTTACTTTTTTTTCTACTAATGTTTTTGTTTAAGTCATACAATTGGATTACTCATTTCTTAAAATGATTTATATAAAACAATTAAATGTAAGTCATATAGAGCAGGATGCTGGCAAATTCTGAATAATGCATGACAGGTGAAAAGAATATTTTCAAATATGGTTGTGAACTTTATAATGGAGTGACACATCATACATATATATGGAACTAGGCAACCAAAAGTAGATAAAGCATGAAAAGTATGAACATTCATCATAAGGAAAATATTCACATTGAGTCATATATATTATGTATGACTAAAAAAATGTTACAAAAAAATTGCGCTGATATATCGTAAAAATTATAGCACGTTAACTATGAATGAATTAGCTAAGTGAACAATTATTTTCAGTTTAATATCCACTTCCTTACTTTGTACTGGATTTGTCAGCTCGGGAAACCTTTGCATTTTGACAGAGCGATGCCATTCTTTCAGGATTACAGTAGAATTTTAATGAATGGAAAAAGTACGTATCGTTGTTAATAAAGGAATTAATACAAAAAGTGCACTGTTGGTTTTTTTTTTAAATGAGAAAGCCCTGGTGATATAATAAATCGTCCTTCTTTGAATTAAGAATGGGACATCGATTTCATAGATATGCCCTAATGAATTTACAGATAGTGTTATCGATCGGAGCAATAAGTAATTCCTAGTTATGGTACAAAATGACTACAAAAAACATAGTTCTTTAAACCGTAATACGATACGTCATTGAAACAGCTGCTAAAACATAACGTGTCAAATGGGACTCGTAGATCTGCAGTTATGGCGTCCTTTAACGGTTATGTTAGGTCAAGGTTAGAAACACGCAACACCTCGTTTTTTACTGAGAAAAAATTATTCTCAAAACTTTGTTCACAGTATCTGATAATACTAATCCCGATGATAATCGATGCACCCACAAATTTTACGTTCAATTCGAGTTCCAAATAATAGCAGACTACTTTTCCGATCTTATGTTGCGTGAGATATAAAGGGAACTTTAACTATGTTCAGGTCGCTTACATTCTCTTAACCTTGTTTCTCATTCGTTACAGTTCAATGTTATCCATACCAATCCATACCTCATTAGCAGCAGCGACTGAACTGGAACGTAAAGGACACGGCATTTAAACATACGCAGGGAAAACATTTGATCAGAATGAAATTACAAGGAATTTATCTTTAGAGTATAACTCATAGACTCGTATAATCCCTGAGGTTGACTGTTTAATGAGACATTTTGTTGAATTCGATCTAGAAGAAAGTCTTAAAACTATCCACCTGAAGTTAGTCACTAAAAGAATAAAGAGTGAAGAGGGATAACATTGTTTTTGTATCACATATTTTGGATAAAAAGGAAGTTCAGTAGAAAATTAGGAACCAATTCATTGTATCAATTCAAATATTTTTTCATGTGAATCTTTATTAATTTAATAATACAAATGAAACGATACAAATTGCGAGTGAAAAGCTTGTGATTATAAAATGCTGTTATGAAAGAGTGACTAAGAACGTTTTATGCAAGTATAACTTTCGAAGCAACCAGTATTTTTTTGTAGTGTAATCACTTAAGTTAATACACAATTAAATCAAAAAACTCCGATCAAACCGTTTTGTGATTATACATTTTGTATGACTATGGATAAAAAACATTCATGAATGTTTCAGAAGTCGAATCTTTCATGACGCCCTTTGCTAACAAAGCACTTCGACGGACATATCATCGGTTCACATTAGCTGTTTATATAAATTGTTAATTATAGAGCCTGTTGTCCGTAATTACATGGGCCTGCCAATACCACGGCCCACCGGCATTTGTGGTGCATCACCACCGCCACTCCTTGGATTCTTTACTGTTTCATCCACTGAAAGAATAAGACAAGCAGCCTCACTCGCTGCAGTAAGAGCATTGATCTTAACCACAGCTGGTTCCCAGACGCAGGCTTCCATGTTGTCAGCAATATCCTCGGAGTTGATATCGACGCCATACCAGCATTTGCCTTGATGATGTTTCTGACGCAGCTTATTTAAAATATTCGTTGCATCAAATCCAGCATTGTCACAGAGTTGCCTATAACCAAACGAAATTGTTAATGAAATACGAGGAGCTAATTTAAAATAAAAACGAAAATGCAACAATTAAGAATACATTACCTTGGAATTATTTCCAAAGCGCGAGCAATTGCTCCAATCAAAAGCTGTTCCTTTCCAGCAATTGTACGAGAGTAGTCACGTAAAGTTCGCGAGAGCTCCATCTCGATAGCTCCACCACCGGCTACCACAGCATCATTCTTTATCATCCTCCTGACGATCATGATCGAGTCGTGTAAAGACCGTTCAGTCTCTTCCAAGAACTGTTCCGCTCCACCACGTAAAATAAGGGTACAAGTTTTCGCATTTGGACAACCGGCGAAGATGTTAAACCTTTCGCCACCGATTTGCTTCTCATCAAACGATTCGCATTTACCCAAGACGGCATCACTAATGTCATTAACGGTAGTCATGACAGCACCACCGCAAGCTTTCATGGTCCTTTTGAGATCCTCCTCCGGAACTCTGCCGGCGCAGAACATGTCCCTGTCGGCAAAGTATTGGGTGGCCACATCTCCGATCGGAAGTTTTGACAGAACTACGTTAGCTCCACTCTTATGAATTTTTTCAAGCTTTTGATAAAGGATCTGCCATTCGGCATCCACTATGTTCTGGTACTCTTTTACATTGTCTACGCGGACTTCTGCATTGTCACGTTCTGCTTTCAATTCAAGTTCAATGTTAAGCATTGCAATCTTGCATGGGGAGTACTTTTTCGGTTGCATTTCGAAACCGGCGTATGAGAAGGTCTTTTTGAATGCTACACCGGCGATCAACAAGGAATCCTCAAGGGCTCCACCAGAGACCTAGAAATATATCCAATGTAATTATTATATCATTGATAGTTTGGTAGTAATCATTAAAAAAAATTAATCTTATTACCTTTTTAATGCCAATCATATTAAGAGGTAAAAGCTCGTCAAGTATCAAGACTGCGTCAACCACCATCTTACTGAAGAAGTCCTTCTGATGGTGAATAAGTTTGGAGCTCATCGCAGTGGAAGCACATTTTTCTAGGAGTCCACGTTGTTCCTGAATGTTTGATTTCTCGATCTTCACACATAGAGCGTGGATTTTCTCGATCGCGAGTTGAACTGCACGGCGGAAGGATTTGATGATGATACGAGGATGCACTCCCTCTTCAACAAATGGTTTCATCTGCTTCAAGAACTCTCCTGCAAGGAGTACCACACTGGTTGTACCATCTCCAACCTGTGATAGCGTGGAATATGAGAATAATATTATATTATTGCAAGGATTGCATGATTGTGCGATATTGGATGTCTGAATATAAATGAAGCAATGACAATACTTGAAGAAATTGCCAGTCTAGTTGTTCAAATTTTTTATGTATCTGCTAGAATATCGGTAAGGTTGACTTTTACATTACCGCTGATACTTTGCAGAGTTTCTGATTCTTTTTATTTTAATATTTGTTGAGTCAAGCTGGATGATTCACATACCTCAGCATCTTGAGACTTTGCAATATCGACTAATGTCTTAGCAGCAGGGTGAATGATGTCCAGAAGTTTCAGAATTGTTGCACCATCGTTGGATATGGTACTTTTACCATGTTGATCGACAATCAGTTTGTCCATACCACGAGGACCTAAGGTGGTCCTCACAGCATCCACAACCATTTGACACGCATTTATGTTAGAGATCAGCTGTGGTTTACCTTGAGCTGTATCCGTCCCTTCTTTCAACAAGATTATTTGTGGTTGCTATAAAAAGAATTAAACAAATTAATCACTATATGTAACATTTCAAAAGGAATATTGATAACAATGTACCGTCATATATTTCCCCATACTTCACAAATAATACAGGCCTTTATACAATATATTTTATAGCTTTTGATAAGTATCTACACCTATAGAAGTAACAGGATGAATGGTCACTAAGGAGATCGATTTTAGTTCTTTTGTTTCAATGTAAACAGAAGAGTATTGCAGAGTGGAAAAAAAACGAATATGCAACGTCATGCATATTAGAATAAAGTAGTAAAAATGTGATTTATGTGGTATATCATAAAAATATCATTAAAACATTTAATACATAAGAAAATGGAAAACGTTGTAATATTAATTATTAACATTGTCAATACATACAAGATAAATACAATTATTATATTTTATTGTTCATCTTCTGGAGTACTTTCTGGAATCTGAACCATTTTCAACGCTATTTACGTGGGACGGGTGTGGACGAAAATTCATGTCCTTATAAGGTTACAAAAATGCAAAAATATAATTATGACTACTATATCAAACAAAAAAACTCAAATTCAGAGAATTCATTTTTTTTCTAACAATTTTCACAATATATTCAATTTCACGTGACATATCAGAAAGAGAGGAAGGTCTTACGAAAAAGTTACTGATCTACCGGTTTGACAAATCAGCTTCTAGCAGCAGCATTTTCTCAACACATGAAATATAATAAAACTTTTAGATTTTTCGATCTCCACTGAACAAATTTATAATCTTGTCAATCCCAATTATCATAGGATTGACAAGTAATTTACGGATTTCTAGAGTGCGTACCATTTTGAAAAAGTCTTGAAGAAACAACACCGCCCAAATATGATTATCGTTTTAGTCACTCTAGGTATAACTTAACCTGTAGGGGGCCAAAACCTTCGAGATACTTCCATTTTGTTAATCTAGGGAATTAATAGTTGGTAGTGCTATCAGGATTTCACAAATTACAAAAAGTAACTAGAATATTACTAACCGCACTTGGGGGGGGGGGGGGGGTTTTTTCTTCCATTTTGTTAATCTAGGGAATTAATAGTTGGTAGTGCTATCAGGATTTCACAAATTACAAAAAGTAACTAGAATATTACTAACCGCACTTGGGGGGGGGGGGTATTGTTTTTCCACGTAAACATCTTGCATATTATGTCATAATTAATCACAGTCAAATTCAAATCGTAGACATGGCAGCACCGTTGGTCGAACTTAGCAACGGGGAGAAGATACCAGCTCTTGGATTGGGTACATGGCAAGGCGTTGTAAGTTTTAATAATAAAATTAGTATATTGTGTAAAGAAATGGCGCTGCACCGTTTCTGGGCGATTTTTCTAATAAGGGCCTATTCGATATTCGAATAAAGTTTCTCTGAATTCGAGTTATACGGTATTTTCAATTTTCTCATCCAATGTGTATCTTGTAGGGTATAGTCAATGGTCTATATTTTATAACGTAGTGGCGTAATGCCGGGTAAAACAAGATATCTCTGGCACATCTCATTTAAGGAGAAAGCCAATAAGGAAAAGGAAAAAAAGAAGGAATCTCATATTGCAAGACCTACTCATGAGATTATTATCAATTTTAAAACATTTATTTTTCAAATTTATAATGTTTTCGAGATTCATGTTAAAGAATTTTTAGTTTTTATGAGAGATTTTGTACGTTTTTTGGAAATCGAATTGTGTAGTAAGGGTAGTGATACGCAGTGAAAAGAAAAATGTAAATAAAAAATATTACAATTTCATAAGTTACCATTTTAGATTCCTAATCAGTAATCTAACAATTTCTTTATATTTAGTTTCATCGAGACATTTCGTCTAGAGGATAGAAAACTTCATGGTTAAAGTAAACAAATGATATTGAATGCGAAATTAATGAATGTGCGTTGCTCGTGTTTCATTGATGTATATTTTTTTAATTTCGGAATGTGAACAAATTTCAAATATCCCACTAACATCGCAGAACTGCTATTAATTGAAACTTCTTTGCAAGTGGTTTATTCTAATCACGACCGATATTTTTTGCTCTTTGTCGTACATACATTGGGTTTTTACAAATTGTAACTTTTTCTAATATCGCAAGTGTCCCAGCGAAGTCACAAGTTTTCTGGTTACATGTAATTCATAGTTTTATTATTTCAAAGGTATATTTTGTGATGATGACTAATAAAATTGGGATAGGTTTCTGAAATTTTTAATCATGAAAGTCATTTGCAAAAAAAAAATACCTGAGATAAAATTGAGATCATCCGAGTTTTGAGATATCGGGTTGGATCTAATTTTAAATATATATGTGATAACGATACGAATGTTTATGAAATGAAGTAGACGTTTAATTCTGATAAAAATAAATCTACAAAAAATTATGTATCGTTTTCGTCACAGTAAGTAGAGATTATATTCAATGAAAACACTTAAATTAATGTTTTAGGGATAATACATTTGGCGGGTGATTTGAAATGGTCTCTGTAAGAGACAAGAAACTCAAAGCAGCGATGGGTGCAAATTCTGCGCTATAATCGCGCCAACAGTCAAATACTTTATTTGATTCATTAAATAACATATAATTGATATTATTCTTTATTAATAATTAATTTAAACGTACACGAGTCATTAATTATCCGCTTCCTGTCTTCTACCACTCGGATCTTGCGACTTTTATTTGCTATCCGAACAATCATCGTTAGATATACAATTATAGCTTCCGAAGATTGGACAATTTTTATATATCTGATAATATTGATATGCAATAGTTTATTGACGATGTGGATCTAATTTTAATTATCCTAAAAAAGACCTTTTCTTATTTAGGACAATCCCAATGTCGTTGGACAGGCTGTTAAACATGCAATTGATGCTGGTTATCGGCACTTTGATTGTGCGTTCGTTTATAGGAACGAGAAGGAAATTGGGAATGCCCTTAAAGAAAAGATAGCAGAAGGCGTTGTCAAAAGGGAGGATCTTTACATTGTAACTAAGGTAAACATAATGAAACATTAATATTTAAATTTTTATATATTATGTAATATTACATTTCCTATTGTTACAGCTATGGAATGACAAGCATAAGCTGGAACAAGTTGTTCCTGCATGCAAAGAATCTTTGAAAAACTTTGGTTTTGATTATATTGACTTATATTTAATTCACTGGCCTATGTCTGTTGCTGTAAGTGTATATAAAACTATGAAGTACTACAGTTTGTTTAATAATCAATATCATTATAATCAGTTGATAAGTTTATTTATCAAATGCCAATTTCTCCTATGTAAAATGTTGAATGATTTGTTAAAGTGCTGGTTCTATATAAAAAATGTGTTCGCTGAGTATTCTTCCATATCTACAGAAGGAAACAGGGGGGTTTTTCTCTTTGGATGAAAACAACAAACCCCATCCTTCGATTGTGGATTACTTGGAAACTTGGAAGGGAATGGAAGAGTGTGTCAAGTTGGGTCTAACAAAGAGTATAGGCTTGAGCAATTTTAATTCAGTACAAATAGATCGTGTCTTGTCCATTGCTAAGATCAAGCCAATGATGAATCAGGTGGAATGTAATCCAAATTTGAATCAGAAAAAACTTATAGAGTTCTGTAGCAAGCGTGGAATTGCTATTACAGCTTACAGTCCTTTTGGCGCTCCTCTTCGTTACTGGGCTAAACCTACTGATACAGAAGTTGTAATAGAACGACCAGAAACACTGGCATTAGCTAAAAAGTATGGAAAGACAGCAGCTCAAGTGCTGCTTAGATATTTGGTCAGTTGCTTTTTCTATCACAGAAGAATATAAAAATCTGTCAAAAAAAATTAAAATGACTTTGTTATAGGTTGATATTGGCACAATTCCTATTCCAAAGTCTAGTTCAAAGGAGCGTATTCAACAGAATATTGATATCTTTGATTTTAAGCTAACTCCAGAGGAGATTGCTATAATTGATACATTTAATACTGGTACACGTACTTGTGCTTCCTTTGGGTAAGTTTTCATATTTTATGATTAAATGCATGATTTTATGTCATAAACTAATGGAGAAATATGTTACTTTTACAGTTATGACACACACAAAGATTATCCTTTCCATTTGGAGTTTTAAAAAATCTAGGGGCTATTAACTTCATTATGTTTTTTAATGCTTGGTATTTATATAATTATGTGTAATATAATTACAATAATTTACTTAGTTTTTACACATACATATTTTTAAATTATACTTGTTCTAATTCCATATAATTTAAATTTTTTATAATGCAGTTTACGTACATTGAAATATTCAAGTTCATTTATTCTGCAACTGACTCTGAATGGCTCATTGTTGTCTCATCAAATGGTGGCATATGTTTGAACAAGCAGTTATTTTCAACAAACAAAGCCTGTCTGAATTCAATTCATAAATTGTTGGAAAATTTAAGACAATGGATACGTTCAGGAAATATTTTTCCAGGATATGTATATATTCCTGTACCATTGTGAATTAGATCACTATTACGCAAAATAAACAGCAATGAATAATAATAGCTAACAAATATAATGGAATAAGTAGGTGTTTCATATAACAAATGTTTCTATAAAAGAATATGTAGAATTCTTTTTTTTTTATTAAATGCAAGTAGGAGAAATACTAAGGGGAATATAAAAGGTTGATTAAGTCAGACGATGAAACTAAACTATATACTACTGTAATTAAATAAGTAAGTATATAAGTACAAAATAAAGTGATAACTCAAAAAAATAAATAAAAATATCAATTATTTTGCTCTACCTAGAGTGTACTTTGATAAATTAAGGGCACACCTAAAATATTTATAGATTAAGGATTTCACTGGAATGGAATTTAACAATAATTTTAAAGATATGATTCTGATTCAGTTTAGATTTAATGATACAGGAAGTTGTTGAGGTTAGAAATTATAGGAACACGTGTCGTTATCAACTACCACAATTACAATATTCTGTAAATATGTCCCCTTCAATGGAAATAAATTGTTCATGTACGTGAAATGTTATATAATTATCTCATGAGTGATTTTTTAATATTCAATTATATAAGTATATTGCAACTGCCAATCGACATGTAAGTTACATAATGACTATACGCTGCAAGTAGAGTGTCTTATTGACTTTGTTGATTTCTCAACTACACCAACTTTTGTCTTATCCGCGAAGTAACCTAATTATTTAATCATGGTTGCTGATTAAAAACTACCAGGAGTATAAAATATATTCAATATTAATTTTGTTAGCTGAAGAAACCAGTTACAGGACGCTTCAACAATGACAGATCCGTCGACGGTACCCAGCATCAAATTCTACAATGGATATTCTATGCCTATGTTTGGTTTGGGCACTTATTTGGTAAATAAATATTCATCAAATTATAATTATTTTTTTTGTTACGCGAGCTTTACATAATAAAAATATATACAATAGACTTTTTTTATCAATAGGAGTTTATATCTATAGTTTATGTAGTATATATGCTCCAATCATTGTTATCAATATACGATAATACTTGCGTACTAATTATAGATATATATAGTATCGTGGTTCTCAATATTGTTAGACAGCAAAAATGTATATTATGAATAGAGTGCTATATCGTCTTATTACCTACTATGTAGGACAATATTTTTGATGCATTCAGGGAAATGAAGAAGAACTAGAACAAGCCATCAAAGATGCGATTGACGCAGGATATCGGCATATCGACACTGCTTTCTTCTACGGGAATGAAAAAGCTGCAGGCAGAGGAATTCGTGCTAAGATTGAAGATGGTACTATCAAACGGGAGGATATATTTGTTACCACGAAGGTAAAACGGTAATAATTCTTAAACAGCTTTATCTCTTATAAGTTATATTTTTCGTAGCTGTGGAACAATTTTCATAAGGAGGAACGAGTTGTACCCGCCTGTCGCAAATCAGTCGAAAATCTAGGACTAGATTATGTGGATCTTTATTTGATGCATTGGCCATTTGCTTATCAGGTAACTATAATCAAATATTCATAGCAGATATATTACAATTTATTGATCATTTGATTGACTGGGTGTCACTTCTCAGGATGGGGATGATTTGACGCCGACTGATGAAACCGGTAAATTGATATTAGCAGACATAGATTATCTGGAAACTTGGAGAGGAATGGAAGAATGTCAGCGTTTAGGTTTAACGAAAAGTATTGGAATTAGTAATTTTAATTCGGAGCAGATAACACGATTACTATCCGTGGCTAAAATCAAACCTGTTAATAATCAGGTGAGAGTATATTGATCTATTTGCAAGTAAATAATGCTATTATTAATGCCATTATTAATTTCATATTTAAAAAATTTAGATTGAGGTCAACTTAAATCTGCCGCAAAAGAGGCTCATTGAATTTTGTAAAAAACATGACATTACAGTTACTGGTTTTTCACCATTGGCAAGACCAGGTAACAGAAGTGGAGTGAAGATTGATTTGGGAAATGAAAAAGTTTTGGGACTCGCTAAGAAATACAATAAAACGCCTCAACAGATTGCCTTGAGATTTGTTGTAAGTTTAAGAAATTTAACAAGTCACTGATTACTATTATTATGGTTTGATCCTTCTGCCATATTATATGACGTTATTGCAGTTTCAATGTGGTGCCGCTGTAATTCCAAAATCCGTCACGAAATCTCGTATAGTGCAGAATATTCAAATTTTTGATTTCGAGCTGACTGCCGAAGAAATGTCTGACCTCGATAGCAAAGCTACTGGCGAACGTGTTTCACCAATGAAACAGTAAGTCATTATGAAAAAAATGACTATATAATCAATCATAAAATACGGTTTTACAATAACTATTTAAATTTAATATTTTTAGAACGGAAGGAGCCAAATACTACCCATTCTCTATTCCATTCTAAAACACGTGAGGAATGTAACTAAATATAATAATTAATTGAGCGAAAAAGGAAGTTATATTAATACAGGCGAAAATATAAGATGTTATTTATCATAGAATAAATTGTAAATAAATACATAACTTGAGGCTTTACTTTTGGAATATTCTAGATATATTGAAATATAATAAAAATATTCACGCTTGAATCAAATATCAAATAGTAGGTCATAGCTATTAAATTGTAGCAATGGTCAAGAATTTCTGGACCAGATCTCACTAGTCAATAGTAAACCGCATCCTCTTTGAACAAATGCCGTCCCACGCCAGCACCCGGGGCGTGCTGGTCCCTTAACTACTCAATTATGCGTTGATTTAACGAATGGAAAATTTTAAAACTTCTCTTCAAATACCATTGACACATACCGGGTGGTCATAAATTTGGTTTACTTAAAAATGCAAAATTTATTCTAAGACTTTTTTAAGATAATATGTGATACAGTAACATTAAGCTTTCTATTGTATTGTCATTGATTAAATGTAATTAGAATTGATCTGAAACTTGATGTAAGTTGTTAAAAATATTATATACATTATTATAAAATCCTAATTAGGCCTAATTTCATTTTCATGTAGAATATAAGTTCTGATGATAGAAGGTTTTGAATTTCTATGCAATTTTGTAAGTTTTTGTAATTTTAATCATTTCTTTGGTTCACCATATATATATGGCTATATAAGCTGAGGACCATGAGCACCCTTCAGGCATGATTCATCCAATCAAAGTCACCAATCAAGCCACAATATTAGCTTGCTCTCTCTTACTAACGATATTATTCGTTGGTCATCGCACTCTACGTCCGGATGATATTTTATTAGGCACATTGCATGTGGAATCTTTTACTCTCCTGGTACTTTCCATTGTTTATTTGACTACTTGGTTAAGATCGATGAGAATCTTTGATAATGTAATTGAGCAAGTTTTATTGCTAGACAAAATTAATACAGGAAGTAAGAGAACTGGATGTTTTAAATACTTTTCGGCGATGGAATAACTTTATATTTCTATTTGGATAGCGCGGGTTTACAGTACTTACGGAATTCCTGAAGGATTTGTTTAGAGGTCGTATGTACGAAGACGTTGTATATCACGAATGTCGGCTAATCGACAATGCGTTGAGAATTACGTTAATTTTTACAAATTTAGAGCCATTGTAGCAGTTTATTGTGTTTTTACAGTTTTGTGGATTTCCTCCTTTTCGTGATGAATCACTTGTTTAAATTGTAAGTAGTAATAATCGGTTATTTTGTTTCCTGTTCAGAAGTTTGTATGTAATCCAAACCGTTTCACCAAATTTCACGTTAGTCATTTTTCGAAAACATTTAGAAAATTTTCTTTTTTCAGGCTAGATCAGAGTCCAAGAGAAAGATGCTCATCACCACCATCAAATGAAATCGAATCTCCACGATTGGATACGTTGGGTGCAAAAGCCAAAAAATTCTTTTCGAGGATGAACATGTTCACAAAGGTCAGAGAATTTCGTGATAGCACTCCTGATACGCGTACTGATACGTGTTCAAAAACTACGAAATCTCCATCAAGAAAGCTTCGTAATGAAATCAAAGTATCGAAAAGCTGGAGCAGCGATGTTTTTCAGGATAGTATTTTCGGTTCCACCTCGTACCATTCGGCCACTTGCAAAAGTTATAATTGTAATGAGAGATCATGGCAAATAGAAACAGAAAATCATAATCCGCCTAAAAGTGCTGGTACGTACAAGACGGATACTGATTTGTCTTGGTCAATTAGCGAAAAAGAATGGAACTTGACATCGTCGTTTTTATCTTTAGAAGAATTTTATCCTAACGAAGATGAGAATTCAAGAGAAATGTCTACAGGCAATGATGAACCAAGGGTTAAAAAAATGCCTTTAAAAAATACTGAGCAGGAGTCCGAATCCGATGCTTCTTTCAAATCATTGAAAATCAGTTTTATTGGGGAATTTAAAGATGAAAACGAAGTACGATCAAAAATCCCTTACGAGGATGTGGACCTATCTTTTATGCCTTTAGAGAATGTCACCCAGGACGGAATTGATAACACTAAAGACAAAGTGAAAGAAGGAAATGATTGTTGGTTAGGGGAAGATAATCTTGAAATATTGGATATGGACCTAACATTAGATATACCTAAATCCCAGTGTATGATGAACCATGTAGAACCTTGTGAAAATGAAAGCAAGAATAATGATAGTGATAATGCAAATAACATTAAATTGTCTATGTCATCTTATAAGTCATGCGACAGTGAAAATATGTCTGAGGATTTGGCAACTCTCACAAGTATCAATGAATTGAATCCATTGGACGTTGGTATACTTATGAATGATTCATCAGAAAAAATAGAAAATGCAGATATTAAAGAAGAGTGTCTAATGAATAACGACATGCATGAAGTATCAGTAGAGAAGCCAAGAACACCATTGCTGGACAATGCAGATAATCTGGAAGTCATAGAATCCTCCAATCGAAAATTATATGATAATAATATGGAGAATATACAAGAAATGGAAATTTCATTAAAGCGATCGTTGACGCTTGAAAATCAATCAGAAAATTCAAGTTCCTTTTATGATTTTTTGAATGTATCCAATATCGAATCACCTGGAGATAAACATCTTTTGGAAACGGATGAGATGATTCATACGGAGGAAAACAATGAAACTCCTGGTCATAAAAGATTTCAGAAGACTTCTTCACCAAAATCTATCTCAAATGATTCAGGATATCAGAATCATTCATCAGCATCAAGTACTGAAAGGTCATCGCTCAGCGCTGTAACAAGCGACTCCAGAGACGTAAGCTATGAACCAAAAATAGTGACAGATTTAGCAAACATTTCAGACTTGTATGTAACTGCGATGGAAGATTCGGTGAAAAATGAAAACGATTGTCTGATGATGAAAACCTCCGACTTGTTGAAACAATAAGTGTGAACTTCAATAGTTAATTGCTTCGTATTTTAATTTGTTTAATTAATAGTCATTCTAAATAACTGTTAAACTTTGTATAAATGTCATGTTAAAGGAAAATAAAAATATTTCAATGTTCCTTGTAAAGCTAATTCGTGTTACATTTTTTCTAATCTATTAGCTATACTTAGAATACCTACTGAACTAATTGTTCGATAAGATTTAACAATATGATAGGTAAAGTCTAATATGAAAACAACAAGATGTATGTATTAAGTATCACAATTTTTGACTGCGCTCGTTTGTAAGAGCAATTCATAAATGTTACTAGTCATATTTAAAAATAATTTGTCACGTGAAAACTCAATAGTAACTGTCAAATGGTAAGAATTGTAGGCCGGAGGTTAGAATTGATTTTCAAAATTTCGGCCGATCCAACCAAAATGTAACTTTCAAAAATAAATATAAACATACATACACGGAATGAAACTATCATCGCATCAACCTTGTCTCTTTCTAAATCAATAAATTGACAATATCAGCATTATACTCAGTCTTGAATTATTACCCGTAACAAGACATCGAGAAACCTGAAGAGAAAATAAATTTTCATAATTTTGGTAAGTCAATTAAAATAATAATCGTATCGATAATATAATTACCCAAATTTATCATATAGATTACAGAGAATGACCGTGTTCTCGGATCCTTCCCGCATACAAAGCGATCTATGTACCCTCTCCGAAGATTTGACATCCCATACCGACGATATAAATATCTTAGGATTGGTAGCGGATCTAATCCTTACTCTGCTTGGTTGCATCGTCCTGAAAATCGATCACATACCAAATACAACACGATACAAAGAATTGCTCTCTGATTCAGCATTAAATTTTTTACGAAACGATCTAGAGAATTTACTTCGTTTCGAAACGAAAGACCTGAACTCTCTTCTCCTAGATATATCAAGGATTCGTAATACGAAGAAAAACAGAGACGCTCATGGTTCAACTTTTAAAATTTGCGACAAAGATCAGACATCGGGAGAAGAAGGAAAGTGTTTACTGAGACGTACAGTTCTTAGCGTGATGGGATTTTTAATTTTTCGAAGATCAAAAAAGAGTTTTGTCGTCATGAAAAATTCCTCAATGAATTCATCCAATGTGGACCTTATGAGTTTTCATTCTAATGAAACGGTTACCAAAAAGGTTATGTCAACGGATACTTACGTTTGTCAAAATTCTTTTGAAGAAAGTAACAATGTCAAAGATATGTGCAAAATAGAACCAACTTTCACGGCAAATGATACTTACATGGTGGAATCTTCTTTTGGACAAACATATTTGAATGATTTTTCATTGGAAAGGATCTTTATCAATCATGATAATCATAGTACAATGAGAAATGATTATATCACAACTGAAACGTTTAATAACTGCAAATCGCCAAGGTCATCAACCGGAAGTAACACGAGAAGACAAAGATCGCGTAAGGGAAGATTTTTTGGTACTTATAAGAAAATAAAAAAAATTCATGCAGCAGGAATCTGCAAGAAGTGCTCAATGCCGTTAGTTCCCTTAAAAGGGACAAAGTTGTGCAATAAAAAGTACAAGACCTGGAAAAAACTTGCAAACGCATCGATAATTAGTAATTTGGAAATATGCGAAAGTGAAAATGACGATAATTGTAAATCAAAGGATACGAACCATGTTTGTTCCAAAATTTACTGTCCACTTTGTTATGGCTGGTTATGGATGCCAATTTATTATTCCTTTCTCCTTATTTATCCAGCTATTATTGATATTACGTATAACAGCTTAACCAGATATCAGAATTTAATTACATTTGCCAATTTTTCAAAATATTGATCTTTGAGTTGTTATTCAATTGGTGGACGAACAGGGACTTCCTGATGTGTCGCTACAATTTAATAAATTCAAAGAATTATTATACATAAAATATAAAATGAGAAGCAACCAGCGATGCTTCCAAGAGACTTTGCAATTTCGAATGAACGATTAGAGTATACTAAGGCGATTGTAAACGTCCTAGGGAATATTCATCATTCGTTTGATTTTAAAGATGACCAGCGACATCTTACACATGAGGTAAAAAATCCAGCATTTTTCATTTAATTATATTAAGACTAACCAGTGATAACTATAAACACGTTAAAACCCAACGATTTAAGATTACTTCTTTTTGCAAAACGATGTTTTTTTTTTCAAGCTATCTAACAAAATATATACCACTGCCATAATTTACAATAATTATATTTTTGTTATTGTCCTTGTAGTCAATATATAAAATATATTAGTTTGATTAATTTTGTTTTTCGAAAATACTAGCGTTACCAATTTTTTATTCGTTGATACGAAATAATCATCCATCTTATAAAAATGTGATATGCTATAACAGTGCCATATTTCTATTACTGGTAAAACAAGCGATAGGTATGATAACCAAGATATAGTATATAAATTCAAACTGATATTGATTTTATAAGATTAACGGGAATATAATCTTTTCATTGGAAATTATTGTAGTTGTATAAAATCTTAAGCTACGCATTGTTTTCTCATCCCATCAATATATTCATGAAAATGTATTGTAATATATATAAGTAGCCTAAAACAAATATATGTAACACCGAAATATATTAGAAACATAGAAACTCACATGAAACAATAAAGAGAATCCATGTTGTATTTTCATTTTTAAAACTATATTATCATACATTTTTTCACAGTTAATTCCAATGACGAAGCAAATAATCTAAAAATCATTAAATGTCATAATATGACGCAACCTGTGCATTATGAAATCTTGCGATAAAAGTAAATTCTATTAAAATTATTTATTTATGGGTTAAAATATTCTCAATAATAATCACATAGTAATTAAGAATTATCTTAAACTAAAAATCAGAAGTACGCCCAAGAACTACACGTCATTTGAATACGGCGCCCTTACTAATATTTTTAATATGAAGTAACAATAATTGTTTAATCACAGAATATTTTCTGTAGGATCTATTATAAAATAACTTTGTATATAGCATACTATTATGTACATTGTACAACGTCCGACTGATAACGTTGTAATAACGCAATGAATGTCAGAGATAAATCTTAAAAATGAAATTCCAAGGAATGACATTGAATTTATTATAAAAACTATAACCCGGATGGTAAAATGTGATCAAAACATCGTCTACATCTTACGAACGGTCCTGTTGTATCATCTGAATATCATGCAACATGTAAACTTGAATTTTTTAGCAACATGCACAGATACATTGATACACAACACTTTCTGATACATTGTTGACAAAGAGTGAACAGCTGCTATTCCCCAAACGTTTACATCATCACCGTAAGCGGAAATAGTAAGAAAGTATTGCCGTAAACGTGGTTGCATATATGATCGTGTGTTGCTGCGATCATAAGAACAAATAAGGACACACATTTTTATGCTTTGTCCAGAATATTGAACGATAATCACGCAAGACGTACATGTATCTCAATAGTATATTATTCAAATATTATAACCTCATGAAATTAACCACTATATATGTATACCGAAAGTATTGATCAAAATGTAATATTCTTAATATAGGTATAAAGTTTGTTTAATCTAATAAGAAAACGATAACGAACGAGCATCTCATAAAAAATCATTAAAAATATCTATGTAATATTTTACAAGATAGAAAATAATTCAAACATACATTTATTTCCCAAAGGGCTTTGTATTGTGACGCGCAACATATATGGACTCTTCCGCTCCACCATGGAAACCATTAATTCCATTAGTCTATGACGCTTGACGACGCTGTAACTTTCCATATGGTAAAACAAGAGAACTTTGATTCTCTCCATGTGATTCATGGCTGCCGGTTACGGTTGGCTATTCAACACAATCATGATATTATTTCGCACAATCTAACGGAATGGTTATGTAATGATTAGCCGGTTAGTTCTGCTACTTCAGCGCATGCGCCGTGTAACTTATTCATCGAGATAGGCATTGTTTATAAAAGGGTTGTAGCTGAGTATCGTCCAGCCCAGTCAATAGTTTCTTATTGAAGAAGTTGTGCGTTGGCAGTGTCGAGAAAGTTCTTTCCGCGTATAAAAATGGTGCTGAACGTACCGAATATCAAGTTCTACAATGGAAACACTATTCCAAGCTTTGGTTTGGGAACATGGAAGGTGAGCATGGACTTTATGCCGGCAGAGTGTGATTTCTTGAATTTTTTATTGGTTCAGACATCATTTTTTTAATCCTTAAAGAAAAAACCTTTAGACCGCCGGAAAGCCACTATAGTAGCTTACACTCTGACAGAGACCTGGACAGGATATCAGCTGTCCTGAAAGGGTGGATGTGTAGATGATATCAACTCAATCTTTGAAAAAACTCCCCCCGCCTTTTATAGTTGGCAATGAAAAAGTACACTTCGCAGATGTTTCATCGTACACTCATCTATTCTCTGATAATCAGCCAAGTTGCGAGGATGTGTATTGTGTGCAATGACTAAAACAAGACGTCGAATTGCATCTATGACAACACTTGTAACACTTCATTGTGCATAACACCTTGCTTTGAGAATTACTACAAGAAAGAAGTACTAAAGAAGTACCCTAAATAATAGTTTCTGAATAAACTATTTACAACTTCATGAAATAAATAGATCTCAAATAATAAAAATAACACCAATGAAGTAATGAAGAAATTATAATCAAAAACAAATAAAAAACCAATAAAAATCCAAAAGAAAATGCTGCAAATATACTTTTTACGTCCACACGTCGTTAGTTATGGGTAACGCTAAAGGAAAGTTACAAAATTTTCCACATTTTCTCAAGTTTGGTCTTCAATACTGGTTCAACCGTTGATAATTTTCAAAATCTGAATTCATAATCGTAATGAGCGACCTCAAATACCTTTAGAAACACTTTATTTGCGAAAGTGATAAATCATTTCTACCTAACCTTCCTTGCCGCAAAGCCATTATAGTGGCTCGGACGTTATCAAGAACTTTGTATAAGATATACTTGATATGTACTTATGTATAATTTTTTTGCGGCAAATTTACTGATGTTTTTTAATTCATTTTACCGGCAGTCTAATGGTTAACGGTCACACTGGAGTAGAGTATCTAAAGACCTGTAAACAGGACTTTTATGCATCACATATTCCACATATATATACTAAAAATTGTGTATAGTATATAATAAAACTAGATATAATTTAGAGAACTTTTCACAGAATTGATATTAATACTGTTATATAGCTAAGAAGCTAGAAGTTTCTTGTAAATCTACATAAACATATGATATATTATTGTTTGAATGTGTTTCTCAGTTACAAGAAAAAAATTAGTGACTGCCATTAGAGATTACAGAGTCTTATTAAGCAGTGATTGCTAATTATAATTACAGTCCAAGCCTGGTGAGGTGACTCAAGCAGTCAAGGATGCCATCGACATTGGTTATCGTCACATTGATTGTGCTCATGTTTACGGAAATGAGAAAGAAGTTGGTGCAGCCATCAAGAGTAAAATTGCAGAAGGTGTTGTAAAGAGGGAAGATCTCTTTATTACCAGCAAACTTTGGAACACTTTCCACAGACCAGATCTTGTCGAGCCAGCAATTAAAAAATCTCTAGAGGACCTTGGTCTTGCATACCTAGATCTTTACTTGATTCATTGGCCTTTTGCTTACAAGGAAGGTGCTGACCTTTTTCCCACAAATCCTGATGGTAGTATCCAGCTCAGTGACGTTGACTACATCGACACTTGGAAGGCTATGGAAGCTATCAACAAGAAAGGACTTGCTAAAAACATAGGAGTCAGTAATTTTAATTCAGAACAGATTGAGAGGGTATTGAAGAATGCAAGCATCAAACCTGTAACGAATCAAGTAATGACTAATACTAAATTTTAAAATGATATTTATTAGTAGTCAGATGACAATCTCCTATTGATTTAATTTTTTAATTACAGATTGAATGCCACCCTTACTTGACTCAGAAAGAACTCTCTGATTTATGCAAAGCAAGGGATATTGTTGTTACTGCTTACAGTCCATTGGGATCTCCTGATAGACCATGGGCTAAACCTGATGATCCCAAACTTCTAGAGGATGTTAAATTAGTGGAACTTGGGAAGAAATATAATAAGACTGGTGCTCAAATCCTTATCCGTTATCAGGTAATAAAAATGGATATCATTATGGTAGTTGCATTATACATATCAGTAGGGATGTTTAAGAGTAAAATTCTTTTCTACTTTTCAGCTTGATCGTGGCCATGTTGTTATACCTAAATCAGTGACTAAGTCCCGCATTGCAGAGAATGCTCAAGTATTCGACTTCAAACTTGATCCTCAAGACATTGCATATATTGATAGCTTCAATGTAAATGGCAGAATTTGTCCCATGACTGCGTATGTACAATATTTTTCTGTTACGATATGGAAAGTTTGCAAATTAATAATGACTTTTTGAATACTTTTTTTTTACAGAGCTGAGAGTAGCCCTCACCATCCCTTCAAGATTCCGTTTTAAAGATCAAATAAACTTGAAGTTTCGTTGACACGCATATCTTGTTTTCGAATTAAAGTCATAATAGTAAGAACATCAAATATCAAATGATCTACCATACGTACATCATTCTATGTATATTTATAAACACATTTATAGATTTCTGAGAAATTTATAATAAAATATCAATACTCACACAGATTGCTTTATTAACATATTAAAGAGTTCATTATACATTTTTGAGTCTGTATATTACAAAATGACATGTAGAATACACGGAACAAGTCGTCAGGTTCAGATTTTGTAGAATGTTTAGAACACGTGTTGTTAAAATATATCGAATCAAAGTAGTAGTTTCATACGTTTGTATCATCCGTGCTGTTCTTTTGACTGGATTTATTATGGGAGTTTTATGATTATACTACCAGTAGTACAAATGGATTTGATATCTTCTAATTGAATATTATTGACATGCTTTTTGCACAGTTAAAAGATCACATTCCAGTAAACAAGAGATTATGTATCACGTGTATGCAGTTGTAATTTCCCATTTATTTATTATTAAGGTCAAGATGTTAGCACTGTTAAATTCACGTTAGTTACTGAGACTATTATTCAACAATTTATCTTAATTTAACATATCAATTCGGATAATCGTAATTAGTTTTAACGTGAACGCTGATATGAAAATTATTGATCGAATGATTGCGATGTCCTTGAAGTATGTGATAGGCTTAAAAGTATTTGTATATGTAGCTATCAAACAGCCTTGTTCAAACAATATATCATAAGCACACTTTAGAGCAAGGTGTATTGATTACAAATTTTATGAATTATAGAAAATGAATTTATAAGTACTTGATATTTTATTTACATTCACAATGTTCAGAATCCTGACTGTCATTGCAGCCGCAGTCACAGCATGCACAAAACTCATCGCTGTCACTATTTCCTTGTTGTAAATATTTATTACAATGATTCTCAACAGTCTTCCCATATCCTCTGGGTTGATAACCTTTATCATTGGGACTATTAGATCCCATACTGCAATTACATGGAACATCCGATTCTCCTCTGGCACATCTACCTTTACAAGAACATCGGCAACCTCCAAATTCTCTAATAGGCAGACACTCCTTGCAAGGTGTCGGAGCCTGACATTTTGGATATGTTGGATCAAGAATGCAAGGAGCTTGGATACATGGAGTACGTTTTTTTGAGGATACTGATTTCCCAGGTGGACAGTAGTTAATATCCTTTGCACAGGGTAAAGACTCACAAAGAGGGTTACTTTCACAATTCATAGTTGATGTGTTTGTGATTTTTTTTGGTGGACAGAAATTTGTGCTTTTTGTATCTACTGGAGACTCAGGCTGTATATTATATGTACAACAACCTCCACCTGATGTTCTTCTTAAGGATGAGGTGAATTTTGATGTCCCAGGAATACGAGATGACTTTGATATGCAAGGTTTGCAATGAGATCTTCCCTGGATTGTTGAATGAAGTGGAATGCAGCAGGATCTAGGAGCACACTGGTACGGAGTCATGGTTATTGTGCAAGGACTTGAATTATTTGGTGATAATTTTCCACATTTTGGTATTCGATTTGATAGAGGATCACAATCATATATAGCAGATGATTTTGGAGCATTTAAACAATTTGGGTTTTGATTGCAAGGAATTGATAGTGGGGTAGGACATATGCAAGATTTAAATGGGATCTGGAATAAATAATACATCATTATTATTGGTCCTGTATTGTTACTTATAATTTATTTGGTTCCATACGTCATTGTTTGCTCTGCTTTGATGATTTAATTTCATTGCAGAATTTGTGAGATTCTCGTGTTTTTTCGAATTCCAACGCCCCGACAAGATTCTTGATTCATTTCCAATTTTTATAGTTTCTTTGTTATCGTATTTGGAAGTAACATACGTATTTGGCAGATGTACACCGTTCGAAACATCAGTAAGATCTGTAATATCACTTTTCCCATGCGAAGTTCCTGCCGTTGCAGCGGTCTGTATCGTGCCTGTACCTTCTTTCTCCTGAGAGAATAAAAATCGTCAAATATAAGCATACTTGTCCAAAATGTATTTTATATATTAAATACAAATTCTCAATCCACAATATTCTTCACCCTTTGCAGTAACTTCTTTTTCAACTGATGCATATTATACTTGTGGGTCTGGAGAGCACAGTTCATCTTCTTCTCATTCGTCTCTAACTCGCGGATTCTCTTTGCCATTTTTTTACCTCCTGCAGCCTGTTGAAATTCTCTAGAGCTAAGTAGCCGATCCATTTGTTCTCTAAAGAGGATTTCCTTCTCTTCTAATTCCTTGATACAACACTTCCGATCAAGTTCCTCTTGTCCCAGTTGTATAATTTTTGTAAGGCTCACAAGGTCCTCTGAGTGGATAGAATGTAAACTGGGCACACAGTTCTTCCTGATTTCATGTTCTAAATTATCAGCCTTCTCTTTAAGTTCCTTATTCGTCATTTCCAAGGATTCTAATTCCATCCCGCCTTCCTCGAGCTGAACATCAGCCGCTATGATTTTTTCCTAAAACAAAATGTTTCTGTAAATGACTCGTCAATTAGTCTTAATTATATATTAGGTATCGAATAGCGTGATGTTGGATCAGTTTTTTGAAGCATGTTCAAAAAGGACATTGCACTTCATAGAAGATTTACCAAAAGAAGCACCGTCGTATGGCGAATTCAATCGAGTCGTACGTGCAACTCCTCGGTCTCCTTGTCGAGTTTCTTCACTGTTGACTCCAGATCGCTGACCAGCTTCTCCGTAGGGTCGGGAAGAGGAGAGAATCTTGACATGATTTCCCTGACCTTGCAGAGCGGTGCATCCTCGCATTTTTGACCTGCCATCCACATATTGTACGCCATTAGAGCTGGGATTGATCTCTCCATCGTGGTAATCTTATCCTGAAGAAATCGTTGACGTAGAACAAGATCTCCACGACGTTCTTCAATCTTGTTAGCAGCACCCTCGAGATAGGAGTCCGCCATTTTTTCATCCACTTTTTTATCAGATTTAATATCTAAAAATGATATGAAAGTGTATAATGCTTATTGAAAAAGTTTCGCATTGGTAATGTGTGAACAAAAAATATAGATAACCGTTATTACGTGAAAGAGACATGATTTTACATTCAAATGATTACTATATTGTAATAACGTGATAAATATTCCTATTGTTATTCTGATTCTACGGTAAATTTAAACGTGGCGACATATTTGCCGAGATAATTAATGCGTCAGCGTTTTATTTGACACTTTCAACGGATCCCGTACTTGTCAATTTTATTGACAGCTGTTTTTCTAGATGGCAGCGAAACTGTTAAACGCTGTCCACTGTCTTTTTGATACAAAAAAGAAAAGAGAAATCTAGTAAGCATATGATAAGGCTAGGGACTGCTGAGAGAGATTGGGATATGTCATCGCCTCAGCATCTTCATTTTCGAGTTGAATGGATAAAGTACACAAAAGAATAAAGACAGATTTGGTATTGGAGTTAATTAAAATCTGGAGCACAAGGTATTCTGGAATAATGCAGTTCGAGGAATTAAACGAAAGTAAGGAATTGACTATTGTATTTATCGATTTTAAAAACCACGTCGTAATCCTGTTTGTAAATCTAGAGAAATTCCGGTAATCCTGCTGACAGCCGATGAAGATAAAATATCCCTAGTGACAGCGACGAGTACAACACCACAGGAAAGTTTGAAAACTTTGGAAAGCACAGGCATAGAATCTTTTCTTGGGCCTTCAGAAAATGTCGAGCGACAGCCACAGCAGAAATTGAATGGTGGTCGGACGTTTTGTTATCACAAAAGGAAATCGTGCAATAGCAATGGGATTTTCAGTGCACCGCCAGGTGTTAATTCGCACCATGTTAAGTTCTCGAGTATTCGACGTCATACAGGTGCTTATCATTTCTTTATGGTATCAGTTTCATTCATCCGGTACATCCTTTGAATATTTATTTTAGGTGGACCGAGACTCATTTTTGTGTGGCCACAGAAAATACGGAGAGGAGGCAGATTTTTAAGTTTGCTTGCACCATTCATGCATGGCGTTCTTATAGGATTGATATGTCTGGATATGATTCACTTTTGGCCTGGAGAATTATTACCGAATTCTTTACCATCGACTAGTTTACCACCTCAGCCACCAATTAAATGCAACGTTATTGAACCACTTTGGTCTGATAACAATTAGAGCACTGATAAACAATATGCACATAGAAACAGATGGTCTATTAAAGGAATGGATACAACACGGCTTCGATAACCTTCGTCCAATTTCACTTGTAGGATAGAATATTTCTTATGACAGTAACTATATTTTAGAATTATGCTTATATGCATAGAAAAACGACATTGAAAAATTCATATATTCACGTGAAATCCTGCATCACTTTTTTGCAATATTGGAGATTACCATATTTAAATAACATTATTTTTAAAAATATTAAATCATTGGCAAACAGTTGTTTGCGGAAAATTATTTGAACTTATCTGGGTTCAATGGCTGACACTTTTCCAACTCCGTTACTATATAAAACCTACCGTATCAATGGCAAATTGTAATATCAACGGTCGGTTTCATAGATTTTACTTATCGTCGTTTGAATTCATCAAAATTTCAGGTTGGAAACATTTCGTATTAGAAATGTCATAAAGAGTTCCAAGTTTATCTCATATGTAAAAAATTCCATCCTTTTGTATTAACATTCGACTATTGCTAATCTTCAGGGAGTAACGAAAGTGTTTCGTTTTATTACCTTTTTCGATATTCCACCGAGAGTGGAACCCAGTTCTACACGGTACTTAGTAATAAAATACCAACACTACACGTAAAACTCTACAGGACCAAACTTTACACGGAATAAGGGCAGATTACGATTTCTCCGGCCCCTTGATTTGAGAATTGCTTATGATTGTATTTTTTACAAGGAACTGATTCTCCCAGCACTACGTCGATGAACTGCAGGACTCCGAATACTACGAAAATTAACTGGTCCAGAATCGAGAGATAATGTGACAAAAATATGGGAGAATGTACGATCAAGAGCAATGTTATTGCGAGGTTTTCTAAAGTTATAACGACTAGGATGAGGAACTCGAAGTAAAGTAATTTGTATCTTAAATATTGTATTTCGAACTGAAGTAGATCTTCATGGGTTACTATGTTATGCAACATACGCTTCTCACATGTTCGTCAGGCTTGTCATGACCCGACATGACATTTCTACTTGAATGAATGTGTTCACAGAGTGAAACTTCCGCCAATGCCCCAAACTGCTTTTAGCGAAACGGTTTTGCCAGGCGAAATTTTTGGCCTTAATTATGAATCATAACCGTCGATTATGAGGTAAAAGAAACTGAAAGAAAGAAAATTCTATCATCATCATGACTCGACAGGTTTTAATCTATGAGTAACTGTAGTACTAAGGACCGTTTAAAATAAGCGTTTTTTCGCTGATTTAACTTTCATTTTACCTTCGTCACTGTGCCTTCGTCTTTCGTGAGATTGGCTATACATATGTATATGTAACAAGAGGAAGAAGAGAATCAGAATGAGTATACTCGAAAGATGATACTTGAACTTTTTATCATAGCGTCAAATAAACGAAAATTTATTATCTCGAATAATACGGAAACTGCGTACACGTGTAAATTTCCACATTAACATACAATATCCTTTTCGTGATCCACTACACTTTATACGTCCCATCCTTTAATAGATCCAAAAGATATCCAAACGGGACAAATATGCAATCAAAGGTTGGGGGCTCATACGTAAGTAACACGATATTTATTAAAGTCAAAACCGAGCACTTTTTTTAATGTCTATAGATAGACTATTAGAAATGATATTTGAGATATATAAATAACTTTTACAAGAGACATTCTAACCACGTCCTCGTATGTTTCTAAGATATCCCGCAGATCTTTGTGGAACGTTATCTTCCGGAAAAGATCGTGCTATGATTACCGATCGATGCAGATAAAGCGTATTAGTCATAACATATTACCATACCATATTGTTGTAAATATGAATAAAGGGAACGCTGAACATTTTTTTCCGGAGATTATGTTCGTCGAAAGATACTTATTACAGGAGAAGGAAGTTCAAAAGACGAAAGCAGGAAATATTATAAACTCGCATGTAGTATGTATATATACTTAATGTGGTACACATTCTAGTATCCTACGATGACGTTGAGTACTTAGGAATAATTTGTATTGTGCTGTTCGCATGTAGCCATCACTCTACACGACGCCGATTCACGTTGCGCATGCGCGGACTAAACTAAACAGCAGAAAGTAACATCCAGTACCGCAGTTATGACTGGTTATGACATACAGACTCTAGACATACATGCTCACGTAAATGATTAATATTGTCCCCTTCCATCTTTTCTACGATTAGCCATGACATTGCATTTTATCTTGGTCACACTTATACTTCTAGCATAATATCGTTAGTTATATAAATTATTCAGTGGAATGAAGGTAAAATTAAACACTGGAGGTATATTCACAATCTGACAATACTGGCGAGTCGTTAGGCGGTATATAAGCTGTGGGGCTTTTTACTGGCATTTACTTGTAGAATAACATTGTAATATGAAAGTAATAAGAAATGGGATTCGTTATTAACGTTTGCTAGTGGAATATTATATCTTATCAATGCGTATTTATTGACGCCACTGTACTGCATGCTCCACTTCTATTGTCAGTAGCTACAGTGAGGGTATAAAAGGTGCAAACTATGTTACTGGCGATGAGCAGTTCCTATTCGTAGATTGCGGCGTAGTTGCGGACTGGATAATTTAAATTGTTGCTTGAAACAATTGCGTGGAGAATCTTGAGAGTTATGAGTTAATATTATACAACTGGTGGAACACAATAATGTAATTATTCAAGCAGTATTGAAACAGTATAGGTATAATTGAAATTGCTATTAGTCTCTTATTGCTTCACAGTAATTCTGATATCGTTTAAAAGAAATCGCGAAGATGCACCTAAGTGAATTATTATTGATGACTGTGGGGGTCGTGATTTTTTTGTGGATTCTAAATTTATTGTATGAGAGATATAAATTTCGGAAGAGAATCGATAAAATACCGGGGCCAGTAGGGAATCCGATATGTGGATTATTGCTGGATGTTTATAGAATTAAAAAGGAAGGTATGTGTGAATAATTATATATCGTTTATTTTTAGTGTAAACGTAATGGAGTAATGTAACATAATCATACGTCAATATTTTATTTTCTTGTTTTCATCGCCTAGATCTTGAAGTTTGGTTCGACGACTTATGTTTTAAACATAAGGAAGGAATTGTCAGAGTATGGCTTGGACCGGCAGTAATAGTTCATATCCGTAGACCAGAATACATGGAGGTAAATAGAATATTTTTTTTTTAAATTAACTATGACTGAATATAACGCCATTATAGATCATTATGCGGAGTACATCGCTGATCTCTAAATCCACGGCATATGATTTTATGAAACCGTGGCTGGGTGAAGGAATTTTAATTTCGACAGGTAAAGTAAGAAGAATATTTTCTTAAACATTTTGTGTTTATTTATAAAGAACAAGTTATTATTTTTCCTAGGTCAAAAATGGTTCAATCATAGAAAGCTGATGACACCAGCATTTCATTTCAGCATACTCGGTGAATTTTCTGAGGTCATGACGAGAAATGCGGAAATACTCAACGAGCAGATTGGAAAAGTATATAATGAAAATCCTGATAAACCCATTGACATATTTCCTTTGGCTCTGAGATGTACATTAGATGTTATTTGTGGTAACTATTACGGATTCGATTTTATTGTTTTAATAGCTACTACAGCGGAGCTGTATTATTGAATATATTTTCCTTTTAGAGACAGCCATGGGGATAACAGTAAATGCACAGTATGGCGAAGGAAAGGAATATACAGACGCTTTAAATGAGTAAGTTTTATTTAAGCGTATTTAAAGATTTTAGAAATTAACGATGGACCAAAATTTGTGGACGAACTGAGGAAGGACTGATTTTTCGTGACGAAATAATGATAAAGCGGAAAATCAATTTTTTTAAGTGAGGCCAAGTTTTTTAGAAAATTTACTTTGAAAATTAATTGAGTACCAGTATCTTTACCAATGATCGCTTGTATTTTTAATAATATAATTTCTTTAGGGTACCAAATATGATACTGGACAGATTTATGTATCCATGGCTTCAATGGGATTTTATTTATTATCAACTTCCAGTAGGAAAAAAGTTCCAATCTATTATTGACAAATTACACAACTTTACTAACGAGGTAAATAACCGATTGGAACATTCACAAATAGTATGAATGTAGGGATTAATTTATATATTTCTTGAATAAATACAATACTTGCAGATAATAGCAAAGAAAATAGAACAGCGTAAAAACAAGATAAATGACAGAGGCAAGGACGAGGACAATGATATTGGTAAAATATTTCTTCCTCTTGAAAAGATGGTGGAAAAGTGCAAAAAGCAACAATCATTGTGCTTGGTATTGTAATTATTGGCTAAAAAGATTTTTTGCTCTCAGGAAAACGCAAGAAAAAGGCATTATTGGATCTTTTACTGGATGAGAATGATAAGGCCGAGAATCCAATGAACGAATCGGAGCTGAGAGAGCAAATCGACACATTTACGTTCGCAGTATGTCATTTGTTAAGAATCGGTATTACTTAAAACTGGTCAGTGAATAATTACATGGATTGTATCAATTGTATAATTATTTTCAGGGTCACGATACAACGTCTGTCAATCGGAGTTGAGAGAGCAAATCGACACATTTACGTTTGCAGTATGTCATTTGTTAAGAATCAGTATTACTTAAAACTGGTCAGTGAATAATTACATGGATTGTATCAATCGTATAATTATTTTCAGGGTCACGATACAACGTCTGCTACTGTATCCTGGTGTCTCTTTTGCGTTGGAAATGAACCTGCGGTGCAAGAAAATATTGACAAGGAACTAAGGGAAGTTTTTGGCGATTCTAAGGAAATAATTACATGGATTGTATCAATTGTATAATTATTTTCAGGGTCACGATACAACGTCTGCTACTGTATCCTGGTGTCTCTTTTGCGTTGGAAATGAACCTGCGGTGCAAGAAAATATTGACAAGGAACTAAGGGAAGTTTTTGGCGATTCTAAGGAACCAGTAACTCAAAAAGACGTTGCTAAGTTGCATTATCTCGAAAGGGTTATTAAAGAAACTCTCCGACGATATCCAACTGTACCTAATGTATCAAGACAATTAGTTGAGGACATTAAAATCGGTATGGGCGAACAAAGATGGCTATTGTAGCTGTTATGTTATAAGATTATAACTATGCATATAAGTAACATTTCAGGGAATTTGGTAATTTATGACAAACACAAGTGAACCTGATTTTTAGGTAACTATTTAATACCTAAGGGCTGTATGGCGAGTCTCAGAATTGCTCAGACGCATCTAGATGCAGAAGTATGGAAAGATCCTCTGATATTTGACCCTGATCGTTTTCTACCGGAGAACTTAAAGAAGCAACATCCATATGCCTTCGTTCCATTCAGCGCAGGGCCGCGAAATTGTATTGGACAGAAATTCGCCATGTTAGAAGCGAAAATTATCCTCGCAACTATTTTACGAAAATGGAGAGTCAAGAGTCTACTGAAGCATAGTGACATGAAGGTGGTCTACAAGTTCATAATGAAACCGTATTACGGAATTAATTTGTACTTCACACCAAAATAAGCTGTATGTAATTATATTACTACAATGCTTCATTATACTGTTATTATGCTTTTAAGCAACAATTGATTATATACTTACAATGGATAATGAAGTAATTTTTGTCCTAGTCGTAACACCTTAAAACTATGAAATATTATCTCTGATTATGCGAATGTTGTACTAATAACCCATGTGGAAAGTATGAAAATATGAATAAAATCATAACTTCGGTGGTGGAAAATATCCGTACGTTTACTGATGTCACTACTGTGTTTTTTATTGGTGGCGCTCTATCCCATCGCGATACTGCATATCCAGTAATCGGCATGTCGACAAATAAATCGTTATTTTTAAAAGCGGCTTTTCCCAGGGCACCATTAAATAATGGCATTGGCCGTTATGTTTGTCAATTGCAACGAGTGACATTAAAATTTTGCAAAAATAATGGTTCAAGTCGTGGCATGAGGTAAGTAAGCTGTACATCTTAACCTCTGTAAAGCAATACTTTATTAATATTATTGCACAGAGATTTTTTGGAGAACGATCTATTAAATTTTGCCAATGAAAACCCTGGAGTGGTCGTTTATGTCAAGCCTAGAAGACACAAGACCCCTGTTATTGTTGCAGAATATCGTAAGTAATTATTTTGTTTCAATATAAAAACAATGCAAGTTCTCATTAAAAAATAACTATTTTAATGAATAAATTTGTTAGTTAATGGAGATAGGTTTTGGCACTCCTGTAGAAATTACTCACGAGAAGAGCTGTTGAAGTGGATGGAACATATTCGTACACAAGCTGGAGATATGACAAATGTAAGGCTACGTAAAATGTGGCATACCAGCTTTCCCTCTATTCAGGGACCCTGGACTCCATGGACTTTCAAAAATCCTGAACACATTTTTGCTCAGTATCCCAACGTATGTACACTTATTATTCAATTATTCTTTTACTTAACACTCACTTAAAAATGTGATAAACATTTGTAGAAGGAATTTGGGCAAGCGGTACAATACAAACCCACAGCTACAGAAGAACTGAAAAGGCTCTTCAAAGAGCAACAAGAAGCCAAAGCAGTGCAGAATCTAACCTCATCCTAAACAAAATGTAATTGCTTTAGTTTGATCGTTAGCTATCATTGTAACATTAAAAATCAATATTCATGAAGTACAATCAGCATTCTGTTTCTATCCTTCTACTATGTAAAGAAGGTTTCGGCATAAAAGTTCAGGAAATAATTCACATAATTTAATCATTTCAATGATATAAAACAAATAATTTTGTTCCATCATGCTTAGATTACAAGAAACACATTGTACCGTTTTACAGTATACAAATACAATTTAAATATATCAAAATTTCTATACAGAATTTACCTACTGACAACACAGGCTGATCTGAATGATAATTCACCAATTTCCAGTATCTTTCTTCAATCAATCGTCAGAAATTGTACCAAACACCCAACTATGTAATAATTGATTGCAAAATGAAAAATTTTATAAATTAAAATCTACACACTCCCACAATTATGGATTGACTAGAATACATTCATTACGTACAGATAGAATAATTCTAACATATTATTTGTTCACGGGTAAAATGTGCTTTTTTTATAAATCTAATAACATAAGTCTCTAGTAAGCCACATACTCTGCATACAAGTTTTGTTAATAATTATGCATCTATAGGAATTCACATTAAAATATATTGGAAAGCCATGAGTGAATTGCTAAGGATTATATTGTTTGCAATATTTAAAAAAAAAACACATTTTACTCATTGCAGAGGAAACTCTCAAGAATACTAAAACAGAATATTGAACGCTTTTGTGTGAAGCAAAAAACATTTTTAAAAATGGCATAGAACCAGTTTAGCATCAGACTGTATATGTGTCCTTGTGTTCTACTTCTATCATAGAAAAATATACTCATTATATACGCGTAATAACTCTCGGCAATCCCATTGGTTTTTCAACTCATAAGCGGCAAGTACAGTTATTTGGGTATGAGAAAGAGAAAGAAAGAGAGAGAGCAGTCCGGCAATGTCTAGGGATATAAATAAGGTGAAATTACATTTCCATTTTAATGACTACAACGATTTCGCTAGCTTAGTCTATTTTATATCCGCGCGAGACAACGGCTGAAATGACAAATTCCGTTTTCACTCAACAATGAACTCTAAAGGTAATTCGTCGACGAACGAAAATCATTCTTAGAACATTATCGCACCCAAGACTACATTTATAAATTACTTAAAAATGTTCCTAAGACGTTGCTTGAATTGATTTTCTAAAGGAAAGTGTCTCTGTAAGTGCACGGTGAAGAATAAAAAATGGCAAAAGGAAAAATTTGCTATTTTATATAAATTACAACAAATTTTATGTAAACATGAGTTAAATTTTCTATTATGTTTATATAGTTTTTCTCTATAATACCTTTTTTCTAAAACCACAATCTTGTACGACATATTTACAAACTCGAAAGAGTCGTTACAATAAACGTAACAAGGACATCAATTCTGATGCCTAGGAAATATATAAAAATAGTAAAATACGCTCAGGTAATATTTGGCTTAATGATAACGAAATCTAAAGGCCTAAAACCTAATCTGACCTTACAAATTCGAACGTTATCGTAACCGTACTTCACTCTTGTCGAACTCAGTGAGCCATATTTGCGAAGTAATAAATAATCAATATTAATAACACGCCAAAAATAAGATATAATTGAGTGATATATTGCGGTACCATTGATACGAGAAAATCTTGATCCCATTCTCGACAACTTGTGTTATTCGTCTCGGGCGCTCATGGGACATGCAAAACAATATATATCACACGCCTTAGATTATTACTACGTTTTAGTATAACACATATATCTATATACATATATGTATATATATAAATAGTGAATTTTCATAATCTCGACTAAGAGAGAACCGAATTGTTCGTGTTGACAATCGTAGCATGAAACCATTTAACTCTGATTTTATGAAGAAACTAGTAAGAAGATATCATTCAGAATCAGCGTTGTATGAAAGAGTAATACGTAATTTTTCATAAAAACACATCTCTCCCAAGTCCGTGTTTTGATGCACCAGGATTTTTGAAGTCAGAGTCTCTAGACGACTGTTTCTCAAGTATGGGAATGTGGCGAGCGGTTATATTCATCTAAGAAACTCACATCTCGCATTGCATTTACTTTAAGCAATGTAGTTCGGACTTAAGTTCATCACTACTTATGAATTCACGAGAATTCGAGTCCTGCGACTCAACATTCGCGAATATTAATACACATTAATGGATTGAGTGACCAATGGAATTAACCAATCGTCGCACACATTGCGGCATCATTATAAATAAGTATGAGACTAGATATGATGTGTCTGTCTATTCGATTTTTAGTCGTTTACTGAACTCTTCTTGTTGCTTTTCCCTCCATTCCTTCTTCGGTTTTATTCGCTTTAGCTGACCATCCCTAAAATGTACAAGATTTACGTATAATGATTCAATAATAGGTAATTTAATAGTTTGATTTCCTTAAAATCATTATGAGCCTTGTAGCTTCGCGTTCCTTACCATTGAAGATCAACAAGACCACCTTGTCTGGCTATGACGGACTTTACTCTATTAGCAAAGTCAATCGCACTTTCGCCGTCTTGTATATACATTGGAGGCAAGTACCAGACGTCACAGACTATCGCCCAGCTGGACATCATCATGTATAGATATTGGAGCATTGAGTATCGACTGCTGTTCCAGAAAGCATCACCGAATCTGGGATCATACTGTGAATTCAAAAAGGAGAAATTAGAACAGAGTGTAATACAGGTTAAAAGATAATGTACTCGCGATTCAATATGAAAAACTTTACCTTTATCGCGACTGGATAGATAACACCGCCAACTTCGAAGCTGCCTTTCTTGAATTGCATTACGGATGTGTTATTGATGCAGGTTCCCTCTGGGAATATGAGTATTGGTGGATTTGTTGGATCCGAAACGTGCTTCTTTAATCTACTCGACGAAAGATTTTAATTAATGCACTTTACATATCAAAATTCCTCTTCAATATTCCATTGCTCACTTATTTTTAATTACCTTTTCGTTACCGCCTCCCTGTCCTTTACCTCGGAGCGCTCGAACCAAATATGAGGGGAAGCACGTGCCAGTGCTCGTTGCAAAATCCCTAAGAAACCTCCATGTCTCTGTCCTATCTATAAAGTAAGTTTAATTACTTCTATATAGTAACGAGCGATACGCAATTTGCCATTCAACACGATATCAAAACTACAATAAAAAGCCACACAAGCATAATAAAGTACAAAAAAAACACTAGGAAAGGAAAAGGATCCAATAAGTTCTGAAGATCGTGAAGTATTAGTCGGACATTGATAATTATGAGATATTAAATTAATAAGACGAAGAAACGATTAAGAAAAGAAAAACTTGTTAGTGGAAATAATACTTGAGCGTGTAAAAGATGAAATAAAATCCAGTCTCTCCAAGCAAAATCATTCGACCTCGTATCGTACGTGCTAACGACACTTTGGAGAGAATCTAGACCTGAGAATTTGTGTGAAAACATACCAGAGAATAGCAGTTATCGCACATAAGAATGAGCACGTCAATAGGAGATGTGTGATTAGCTACACAAATTCCTCTGAGTGGTCGATTTTCAGTATTGTGGTAGGTGATGACGGAGGAAAGAGCGCTGGATAATACAGCGAAACACATTATGGAGACCTTGTGATTCAGCCACCGTTTGAAGCTACCTTCTGGTATATAACCAACTACAGCTGTACAGGCCGTCAGCCACATCACCTGTAAACCATAAGCTTTTCACCTCAAACAATCATATCGTACCATCTTCATCATTGGGGCTACTGATATTACTTATTAGACCTTAAAAAAACATTACAAAATTAAATTTACTATGATACTATCGTTTGTGAAAACGTCATACTGGATAAAGCATTGGTATAAGATAATTGATACTTCGTAAATTGAATATGAATAACAAGGTCAAAGTTTACACGGAACACAGTAGTACATTGGTAAGGCATATGTCTTATTCATCTATGATTGAACGGGAGTAAACTGGCGACATTGAAAGTACAGTAGAAGGCATTCTGCATGATGATGACGCAACGAAAGATTCCTGCTTTGCAAATATGCAGATGCATCAGAGACACAGACGGAACAGTAATTGGTTAAAGTTGAATTGGTAGGATAATGAAACACGCAAGCAGGATAATCTTTTTTGTTCACAGAGAAACTTTCCGGGATCCTAACGAAGCATCCGATTGCGCGACAGGCACCATGTAGTTTGGACATTACCAAACAAAATGTCGTCTGTGTGGAAAGGATGCAGACGTCGATTGTGGAGGTGTGATTCGCGACGCACACCCCACCACCTTTCGGTTTGTACTTTGAATTGTGGACTGTGATAACGCTGGAAATCGATCTAGCCATTATCCTGAAGGCGCACTGGAAAGCTTGATTGTTCACCCATCGTTTGAGTTTGCCATTCGGCAGGAAACCAACGAAAAACGTAGCAAGTACGAGATAGAAGACCTAAACAACTTTTTTGTTAGTACAAATAATAAGCGATACGCACCGTATTGATAATAGATAGATAATTGTACTATGAATATAACATTCTCAAATCTTCTTTTGATGATTAAAACGTGTAAGCCTATATCAAAGAAATAAAGTACTTGCCGACTAATAACTAAAAGTAAATGTCAATAGGCTTAATAATTTTATCTAATATATTAATCTAATCTAATGATTAGATTAAAAGTTAATGGGCAATATACTGTTGGACCTTAAAATAACATTATTGGGCCTAACGAGTATTAATATATTGTGAATCTTATTCATCTATGAATTTGCCATTAATATTTCGCAACGTTAAAAGAAACTAGCTTGTTGTTGGATAAACAAGGTTTTTGTGCACAATATTACCTTAATACACAGTTCGAATGTCGATCTGAATTTACTAATGGCTAATCTGCTTACATAATATCATACTACGTAACATCATTAATTAGATACTTACCCCAATGAAACAAATGAGTATTCTTAGAGGCAGAAGAAAGCAGTATCTCATAACGAAACCAAACATCCATATAACTGTGAGTTTCCATGATATAAATTCGTACTGCCTGTTTGTCCTGGTTAACAGGTTCCAATTCTACAATAAAAAGATACAAGTAACAATGTTTGTTAACTAGTTGATTTACTGGAACAGATCTGACGTCAAAATAAGTGTATGAATGATTAATTTGAAAGAATTACTTAGATAAACAATTCAATTCTTCAAATATGACATCCAAGGACTGTACCTTTAGTTCTTCGGCTTCAAACCTTGATGTGACTTCATCTTCTATTATGGCTTCCACACCAGCTCGAATATAATCCAGACAGATAGCAGGATCGAATTCTGTTTTGAATGTTTCAAAGGAATCTGAACGTGGGAAGGTATTCTGGAATAGTGAAATTAATGCCATTGATTACTCTAGAAATGTTTAAATAAAATTGTAATATATTTAAATTTACAAAGACATTAACTATGTACCTCTTTCTTGTTATCGACGTCCAATGAATTTTCTTGATTATTTTCATTACTTCCTTTGTTCACGTGATTTTTATTACTCTGCGTTTCAGGCTCTGGCACCAGAATTAAGTCTTTCGATCTAGCGATCACAGAATTATTTCCACTGACCCCGTTCACTGTCTTCGTTTTTTTATGTGTGGATCCAAAGTGATTATGATTCTCAAGAATCGTAGGTGATCCACCGCCTTCATCCTCGCTCTCGTCCTGCTCTTTCTCCCAAGTACCATTTCTCTTTTTAACTTTTTCTATATTTTGTCTTCCATACTGTAACAAAAAGAAAGAAGTTAAGTTAAAGCCTGAAATACTTTTCAAAAGTTCAATGACTTCATTGACTTCAGTTATAATTTTTATGTGACAACACTTGGCCCTCGCATTTCTCATGCATTTTTTATTCACTTTGAATAAACATTAGTCTCATTCTGATTCTGTATAACAGAGTTCCATAGGTTTGGTGAACTTGAATTAAAAAATGTTATAAAATGTCACCTAAAACCCTGCACAATTATTATATACTAAAGACAATAGTTTAAACAATAAAATTCTATGATATCAATATAAATTAAATGTAAATCTTTAAGACAATCATTTATATGTTTAGCTGTTTTAAAATGACGCAGAGAAAGCAATGATATAGCATAGAATATTCAAGGTATGTATTTAAATAGACATGGTCTGGTTCGCAGGTATAAATAGCACTAATGAATATTTTGGTAGAAACACATGATTTTCGACTACAGGAACCTGTCAACAGTTAAGAAGTGAAACGAGGCAAAGGTCATATTAGTAAAGTATCCGTCATTATCATCACACATATGAATGCTAAAATTGAAAATATGTTCAGCATGATTTTTTTGAAATACTAGCCATTCGACCCGACTTCGTCTGGATAGATATTGGAGTGCTTTTAAGTCTACAGAAACCTCGTTATCAGAAACTAATAGAATTTGTAACTTAGTATTTAAAAAAAAAAGTCTCAAATTTAGATGCAATGAAGAGTAGTGGTGAATATGACCAGTTTTTTTTACAAATATTTGTATCGAAGATGCTGAATTATATAAATAAATCTCATCAAAATTCATGCAGTAATTTAATTCAAATACGTTCGTGTCATCACGTGGTCAGATGTTTTCCCTGTGACTATAAAAAAAAATCGGTCCCTTTTTACGGAAAATATTAGAGAACAGAAAATTATCATTTAATTGTATTATCATGCCTGTATCCGTTCACAGTATATAAATTGATTCATCAGATTACCCACATATCAAGTAATGTTGTAAATATATAATTCCTATTCCTAAGCAATTCACTTTTTTTTTCGAGTCACAACTCATTTACGTATCAAAATTATATGCAATTATCAGTAACATAATCTCAAGTAAGTAGTCTGTCAACCATTATGTCACCATAAATATAAATCCACGGGAAGTTAACAAAGTATAACACATTTGCAGAACAAAATTATCATTCAAATTGTGAAAAACTTTAATTAACAAATTCATGTCGATAAACCGAAAAGACAAGTAACAAATACACTAATCATACATCTAATACGCTTCTGGCAACAAATTGAAGCTGATTAAAGGAAACTTGTAGTACATTGGATTTATCACTGGGAGGTCAATGTCATGAAATTAAAAGCCTCATAAACTATATGAACCTGCAATCATTTTTAGATTACACTGCATGATTTTTATTTCATCTTCCTTTCATTTTTTTTCTACCCCTTCCGTGACTGATCATGACATATCATCAATTTCTCATTTATTTATCACGCGCAGATACCGTGCTTAATGACTATCTAATTAGAACACAGCCACGAAGATAATTTTATGCTAATTTTTGTCCACGTAATCATTTTTTGGCATACCTTTGTTTCCCTTATTTTTAAACAACATTTGTCATCGATCAACACCGCGTGAATGACACGTGTCTTGAATCACAACTATCACTTTCACTCATTTCGATTGACTCATCGCATTAGTTTTTCAGCATTCGTTAAGGAGAATAATAATAATACTAATGCACTCAGCAATTTCAACTTTCTACAGAAAGTGTCTGACATTAACAATAATAATAATTCGTTATTAATTTCCCCGAGTATCGACGGTCATTTCTTGTAACATTGCAAAATATTATCATCGAACCAGGTTATGCAATTCATGTAGAAAAATTTTCACCAGTGTTCGACACGTTAACTTTTAATTTTTCTCGATAAGAAAGGTTACTGATAAGCTTATTCGCAGGCGGTCATTGACTATGCACATGAGAATTGTCAGCGAACGAAATAAGTTATTGTAATTAGTCTTTTTTTCTTTCACTCCTCTAGTAACATCCCCGATAACCGGTTATGCACGTCTGTTTATCGGAAGTGTATTTAAATGTGGAAAATTCTTTACGATAACATATAATTTATAATTTCTTTATTTACTTGTAGCTATCAGGATATTGGACGATGCAATTTACATTTTTCATATACTATGACATGATGAATTTTATTTGAATGGGAAAAAAAATTTTTGACCTATAAATTCAATGCAATTCACTATTTTATTCCTAAGTGACATCAAAATTACATTGTGAATGACTCGATAACATTTGAATGTTTTTATTGAACAGTAAAAGCTATAATATAGTGATGTAAGTGAATCGATAAATAATTATGGCAATGAATATGACTGCGTTGATTCTTATTTAAATTATATTATCTACATCAGCTAATATTATGGAAACAATGATTGGGAAGACAAGTGTCTGAGCAGGAATAATTTTGATAATGCTAGACAGTTTCAATAGCAAAAATAAGGTCGCATCAAAATATTCACGTGCTTTGTAATGCTGATAGCTATTCGTGAATAATATTTGACTGAATGGTTATTATTATAGCTTGGATTAATTTAATATTTTACTTCAAATTGAATTAAATGACCGTGATTAACTGCTTTATTATCTAATGACTAAAAATAAATTCCACTTAGGAGTAATATTTTTGTGTCTGCAAAATTCAGCTTGACCTATGACTAGATGTCTACAAAAGGCGTATCAGAACATGAATATTCCTTGTGATATTATTTTGCAATTCCTTACAAGGTCGGTTAAGAAATATGCGACCGTCTGTGAAGTAGATTTTCGTCAAATGTCATATACGTTACGGTAAGCAAATGCGCCACATAACTTGTTGAAGTTCAAAGCAAATAAGAAAAAATTGTGAAAATAGCAAAAAATAACTCAAGAATTGCATAGTGCCTGTGGACAGAAAAGAAAAGTATAAAAATTGTCGATTGGATAAATAATAAATAAATATAGATGTTCATGATGTAAACTTTGAACTGACTTGTTGATCAGCAAGAATCTGCCCATTAATCATATCCGCATTGTTCTTGTTACAGATGAAAAAATTCGCAAGACCATCGGTTTTCACAGTAAAATATATTTAGCGAACAAAACATGCGACGCGAGACCCGATATTTCATAATTCATTAAACAAAGGTATTATTAGAAACACACTCGACTTTGGCCTCTCCTTACCTCAACAGCATATGGAGCCCCACGCTATCGGACAGAAAATTTATGATAATTATTAGATAAGAAAATATTCCTCTGATTAAACTCTTGTCAAATTGTGTATTATTTGTTAGGGATCGATTTGACTGGTAGTGATCGAAGGACCTGATCAATTTATATAAAATTATTTTTAAAGTCGATCTTATTGTATGTTCACTGTTCAGTGTATGTACAGTTTGATAGTGTAAATAAATTTTATCCAGAGCTATTAATATAAAAACAGTTCAAATGCCTGATAAATTCTGAATCAAAGTCTAAAGTCCTTGCTCTCAGTTTTTTTCTTTCTTTCTCTCCTTATCTCACTGTTTCCTCGTTATCTGATAGTCTGTATAATCGTGTAATGTACATACATTCATCACTGATAATATTACGAATCGATCATTGCTCGCCATTCGTCTTGATAAAATACAATTAATCTGAAAATGGTCGTACAAATTTGTTATTAATTTGAAAAGTCTTGAATTGGGATGCGTCAGATACCTCACGCGCTTACTCCCGGGTTAATTTGTCAAGTTTTCAAATTACTCAATGACTTTTGTGTTTGTACAACGCTAAGAGGATTTGTCAATGCTAAAATTTTATGTTAACATTTTACGATTCATGAAATTCTTCGAGGCGAACGTCGGCGATATTTTTAATTGTGCGTTATGAAATAGCATGTCACTTAAAACTGTGGTTTAAGTGAAAAGAAATGAAAAAAGGAACGGTGGACGCACCAAAGGTAACCTCGTTTCGGTGTATTACGAATGGCGAAATTATAATAAGCACTATATAAGCACGAAAATTTTCAAGAGGACTAAACGCTTCTGTAATAGATCTAACATCGCAGAATGTATCATTCTAAGAGTCCCTAGAAGTACATAACTATTATACATAGTTTTTATGAAGTAGACGTCATTTTGAAATTGACTGTAACAATTTTATAACTTTCTTGTTAAATGTTTCGTGGTTTTGCAAATTGTCTAATTAATTGTCAACTAATCCCGAACCCATTACCTGCTGCGAGAGTACATTTGCAACTGTATATGGCTCTGACAATAATTTTCTGATTACGATTGGCGATGGTTAACACTGAAGGTTAAACGTGGGATTAACGGTAATGAAATGCCGTGAGTTGGAAAAGTGAATGCAAATGTGAATTCAAAGAAAACAAAAGGTACTACTTACACAAATGCACTTTTATTGCGAAAGGGTTGAAAATTTGAGACTGAGGGGGAACAACAAGTAGTGCCAACTTTGAAAATGAGAAAACTGAACTCACTTTATTAAAGTCTGAGGAATCACGCCACACCGGCTGGTATATATATAAATACATCCTCCGAATGTACGTAAGTGATACGTAGATAGACTGACGTGTGACATTATATATACTTTTTATTTAAAAAATTAATAGGAAAAGGTTATGCAAAAACTTGGAACTAGATAAAAATCAATGGCGTCGAAAGCACTGCCTATGATGTATGAATATATGTAGGTACTGTGTGTTGTCTATATCCTGTCATCGACAAACAGTTGGATACTAATGACATGCAGTTTTTATGGTGCACATAGGTAAAACCAGGTAAAACAGTAGTATCCATTGGAATTAACGGCATTCTGGAATCTTCGAACGTTCAAGGTTTCAAGCTATTATACTATTAGGTTAGGTACTAGTAGAGGCTAGGTCAGGAATGATCACGATTTAATGAAAAATTCAAAACAAATAGCTTTGTGTCCTTTAATCTAATTTTTCATTTATCTCTTACTCAATTCTTCTTGTACAAGTTGCTGTCAGTTCAATTTTACATATTTGCAGGCAATATCAGTGTTTAATGCATTATATCAATATTGCAAAATACCGGATTTATTTTGGATATAGAATCGATTTATTTTCATCGTGACAGTTCGTAGGAAACGTTAGAGCAGGTCCTGAGATTACCGAGAAATTTAGTGCTTTAATTTTATCTTACTTTTATGGTCATGATTTTTATCCTTTTTCGTTACGTACCTCGAAAATTGTCAGCAGCATTTTTACATATAGGCGACGAACTCCGAGAGACTTGCCGATCGACGCGAGGAATACGATCGAGAGTAGGAACATGAGAAACGGTGTCAAGAGTAGCGAAAACGCAAAGGACACAACCGACCAGATCAACGCCATTTTGCTTACTGTTGAGAACTTTGCATTGAATTGCTTTGGACGAGTACTATAGAAATTTCTATAGAGTGGAATACTCATTACGACTTGAATCACTCAAAAACGAATCTTTTTTCATCCACGTTATCCACAGTATGTAAAGAAGATACCTGTAATATAATTTGACGGTAAGCCGTGGATTTATCTCTACTTATATATATTTTGCAGCTCAGCACAATTACGAACAAAAATATTACATTTAATAATAGGCTTCATATTAATTGAACTAATAATCCTATCCAGATTCAAATTCTGATTTCTGTTAATATGAAAAATTAAAGCTATTAATCGATTTTGAAAAGACGCGCGTTCACTTATCAGAGACTAATGTGCGCCTGATCAAAGTTCCGTGGAACAAGACAGTTGCTGTTGGTTGCCGTTTTCTCGGGAGCAAAATGTCGTCCGTTGAGCTGAATCCCAGACCCATCCGTGTTTCTCCCCTGATTAAGGTAATTCTAATTGAATTTAGTATAACAATAGAAGACAGCTTATTCTTCAAATGTCTCTTTAAATGTTTTCATTGTGACAAAGATAACAATTCAATAAGGCAGCTACATAAAACTAGGCACCGCCAAAGTTTAAGATCTCGGTTCTCATTACATAATTTCTTTAAATTAACTATCGAGTTATAGATATCTTATTAAAAATGTGGCAGTTTAAAGCTTAGAATGTCATAAAATGATATTTTATTGAGCAGAATTAATGATTGTACAGAAGTTATATGATTTTCATGAGGTCTACACTGACTGAATTGATATTCCAACCTAATTGGACAAGTAACTATCGTGATAGAATTTAAATGATTTTATTATTTTTCTGACTTAAATGATGATTTTATTTGGCTATTTATTATTTAAATATGTAAATCAATAATGGCTGTTTCTATTTTCATTGACAGTTCGGACGATGGAGTTTCCTTGGTGTTGGAATCCTCTATGGAGCATTCCATCACAACAGACTCAGCAAAAAGGAAGCAGCATACCGTGAAGTTGAATTGAAGCAGAAGGCAGTCCGTGATGCCAAGTTAGCTGAGGAGAAGCGAATTGCTGCGGAAGGTAAGCAGATTGCTCACATAATTGCTTAAAAAGTAAATTGATATTCTTCACATGTACGAATACTGTAATTGTTTCAATTTTCAGCTGAGTTAAGGGAATTAGAAAAGCTGTCCAAGTAGGAGGACTGTCAAACATCTCTAGCGTACATTAATGTTGTGAATAATTTTAAATGTAACATAATATTTGAGGGAAAAAACAAGTATTATGTTTGCTGAACTTTGCATTCTATCCATCTGTTCTCGTTTCCCTTGAAAAAATCTTCACTGGTTCAATAAACTGAATAAGATTCACATATGAACAATATGTTGATATACCTTACTCTCTCTCTGCTGCATACGAATATATTAATTTCAGTATTATTTCTAATTGTAAAACTTGTTTATGAGTAGAACATATTTTAGAGGGTCCATCTTTCTATAACTTTGAATGTAAGTTTGATCGATGGATACTTCTGGTATTAGTATAATTTGATTTTTGTTAGGTGAAATTAATATAATTGCTCAATCAGGAACTTGAATCATGGACCCACAGATTAAAAATTTGATGCTCTGCGAATTGAGATATTTTGGCTATAAAATAAAGTTATGGTAAGAATTTTATTATACTTTGACCATCGCATCGTGGTTTGATCACATTTTCTATAGTATTTTAAAAGTATAATAATGCGTGTTACGCTACAAGAATTTAGTACAATGATTAGGTAAGTAAACTGTGTATTACTTAACATAATTGTAAAGAATATTCATAATAATAATTGTTTATCCTATAAACAGAATCGAAAATTTATCTTTTTTAATGCTTCAAGTACGTGGGTCTTTCGCCGCGAGCGACTACGTTGGCCGGTGTCTGCGCTGTGTAAAAACTTGACATTCGGGCGTCAATAACTTCTGAACCCGAAATCAGAAAAATGCAGCCTAAGGCTTATCTTGATACGTAACATGTTCAATTAATTGCGAAGTATACAGTTTTGTCTTGCTCGATTCTTAAAGCGAATTTTATTCTCCCCCCCTCACCATCTTTACCGCCTGCGAAGATCTGAGGCTGTAATTTTATTTGAAAAAAAAGACCACATATTTCGAAATATTTCCAATACTGTTCGATATATAAAATTTTAAAGTACTTCCTTTCACGGAGTGAGAGCCTACGCGCTCGCCGGGTTATCTCCGAATACAGGAGTACGCATCAGTACGCATTCCAGTATGGTTAAAGTTCAGTGGTCGTAATCATTGTCTATCTTTCTCACATAATAGTGGACACATTTCGTCCGTTACTGACATAGAGAATGCGCAGTCCATTCTTTATGTCGATGTTAAAAAAAAATGCCTAAAATACCGAATCTATACATATGCTATGTATATACCAAATATCCACCCATACTATCTGATTCAATCTTAAAATAATTTCCTGATGCGTAAAGGCGTCTTACATAACTTGTTTCGGTTACTCTAATAAAGTGAAAAATCAGTTATTAAAAAGAAAAATGTACAGACAAATCAAAAATATATACACGTGCATTTTGTTATATATTTCTATAAAGTGTAAGTAAAAATTCAGTATTTGACACCTTTTACTGATTATTTGGCGTGACACTGGAGTTTCTTGATCTATCACCAGGTAGTGGTATCCATACAGCATTAGTCTGACATAATTTTCATCAAGAACTTTGATCAGATGTCTTTTGTTGCAACAATTTATTTTCCACAGAATATAAAATTTCTATAAGCGGTTGTAACTTTTACGACATGCATGGGGAGTTTGAAATCCTATAGACGCTTATGGAACAATTTGCTGTATGTATACGTGGTATTCTAATCAAAGAAATATGAGTTAAAATATTAACGGATATGGGTGTTCTTCTTAGTTCATTGATCAGTGCAGATAATATACAATATAAAGATATATGATTATTGACAAATCCCAGGTAACATATACAATTCAGTAATCTGACATTACCCAAGTTGATTCTGGATAAGCTTAATAATTGACTTTAACATAGTTTACTAGTACCCCTTTAGGTTACTCTTACTTTATCATCTTCTAACTTTATGTGTCTGACTTAAAGTGCTTTGTAAGATTGTACATGTTATGCGATAGTATACTTTTCCCCAAAAATATCTACTTAGATAGGTTAACATCGACAGTTAATCTTGGCTTCCTGCTCATTGGAGTCAAGTTGAGAGAAAAAATATGTGTGTTGTATATTGATATATAAGTAACAATAGATATCTATTCAATGTATTTTAACTCTCAAACGACATCAGTGGCGACAGCTTGTATTGAAACCAGTCTTCGGTCTTGATCGGTAAGCTTATGTGGGGTTTAACTGCACTGTAAATGCTTGAATGTGGTTGACATACATATAGTTCTAAATTTTTTAAAAATTTAGATTAAAAATATTTTATTCAACTTCTATTATAACAGGTTCAAATGGTCTTCTGTGCTACAGCTGCTATGGCAAAAACAATGCTCTAGACTGCGAAATAATCACCTGCAAATTATCGTTGTTTGGTGATCTTAGAACTGTATGTTACTATCAGGTGTTCGGTTAGTTATATGTTACTACCCTTTTGCAATATTTTATTTTCGATAAAACAGTTACGTGGAAATACTTTTTATTTCTATTTTCAGAAAGTGGCTACCAACGCCGTGGCTGTGAAAATGTGACATCTGTATTGTCTCAACTTACTGAGGGTAATATGACTTTATATTACTGTCGTGAAGATTACTGTAATGGATATTCTAATGTGTTCTTAAATGATACACGACGCCAATATAAATCGAGGGAAACACTAGTACCTGATCTGAAACCCTCTTGGGATTCTACTGTTCATGAGTACTCAAGCTTGACAGGGGATAATATCCAAGGAGATTCAACTTATAATGACATTTTTCTAATCATAATAATCATCTGTTTAATAGTTGCGATGATTTGTTTGTACTGTTGTATTATTAAGTCAAAATGCCAGGAAACATCCCATAGTTTTTTAAATACTAATACTGCCAGACATCGTAGTACAGACTTGGAATATTGTGGTAATAATAGCAATTATTATTCTGATATAAGTTATAATATTGGTAGAAGTAATCTTAACGATTATAGGGATTATCCTTACAGTTATGGTGAAACTAATTGTGGTAGCGTAAATGATCTCGGTAGCGGTGGTAATGACGATGATGGTGGCGGCGATTATGGTGGTGGCGACTGCGGTGGTGACGATTATGGTGGTGGCGATTGCGGTGGTGACGATTATGGTGGTGGCGATTGCGGTGGTGACGATTATGGTGGTGGCGATTGCGGTGGTGACGATTATGGTGGTGGCGATTGCGGTGGTGACGATGCGGTGGTGACGATTATGGTGGTGGCGATGGTAGAAGTAATCTTAACGATTATAGGGATTATCCTTACAGTTATGGTGAAACTAATTGTGGTAGCGTAAATGATCTCGGTAGCGGTGGTAATGACGATGATGGTGGCGGCGATTATGGTGGTGGCGACTGCGGTGGTGACGATTATGGTGGTGGCGATTGCGGTAGCGGCGATTCTGGTGGTGGTGACTGTGGTGGTGGCGATTGTGGTGGTGATGACTGATTCGCTAGTGAAAAAAATAGAGAGTTCATATTCCGAAGTTCAATGTTTACATAAGAATACACTTGCATTTGAAATATTGTATACTTTTATGAAAAAATCTTTTAGAGGTCTTTGCTACGTGTAATATTTCAGTGTTACATACCAATTTCACAAAGTGCCATAGGATATTGGATACTTAATTGTCAATTCAATTTTGACCAGAAGTTATAAAGAGTTTGTAATATGAATATTTTTATCAGAAATTATGCTATATAATAAATATCATTGAATATATAATGTACAGTAGATTCTCACTAATCCGGCACATATCAGACCAGAGGTGTGCCGCATTACCGACATCACCGGATTACTGGAAGGTTGTCAAAAAAGGCATTTGAACAGCATAATCTGATGTATTGTACTGTGTTTTTAGTATAAAACAACGTATAATGTAAAAAAGCGGGCGAAAAGAAATACAGAAAAGTATTACATTGTTTTTCTCCGCATTCAGAGACATGCAGTGACATTCATGGTCCTTCCCTCTACGCTTGCAAGAAGCTAGCCTCAACGCCGGATTACTGAGTGGGCTGGATTATAGAGTCTACTGTACATACTAATGTACTAGGAAATGCCAAAAATGAAATTCGAAGCGCGGATGCACACAAACGCACGATCAGAATGTCATCGTGACAGCTGATCGAAACTTTTGCATGTAAACGATTGCTCGTTCTGGTCTTTGGCTTGCAGCTATCTTCTAGTCGAGCATATCCGAGCGATTTCTCCATCACTTGCCATTTGTTGATATTACCTGTGCGTATGAGACAATGCATAGTAAATCCATCGCCTCTTCAGTGCATTTTACATTGTTGAGATAGGAAAAGTTTAACCCTCGATATTTCGGTAAATTTTGGTTGTATGAAGTTTTAAAAAAAAAAATCGTGCTCGGCTCGCGATGCCAAACATTCCATTAATCGTTGGTCATATCTTTAGTTTATACCCATAAACATAGTATGTTTTTGAGCTGTTTTTAAACTTTTTTAATACACTTTGTATGTTTCCAGTTTATTACGTTTTATGCAAGTAAAGTATAAATAAAGATGCAAGTTATTGCAGTGCAATGATGTTTTATATACCTGTTAGATTATTTATTATTAATTAAATTATATATTAATTATAGACTATCGTTAAGGAACCTAGGATACATTTACATATTCTCTTGAAATTAAATGGAATAGATGCTGAAAAATATTTAAATCATATTCATAAGATAAGATAAAGTGAGAGTAAGAACAGAAAGTTTAAATTATATTGTCTTGTACGAGAGTAATACCTACTATGAGATTACTTTCAAAGATTCATACGTTGCACATATTTATACATTAATCAGTTTCGTTTTATTAGCTTCCGTAACAAGTTGAATGAGACTACCATTTTCTGGACGTTCTTGTTTCTGTGCCCATTTCCAGAAGAGTCTATAATGAAAATGAACAATGTTGTAAATCTCGGGAGTGTACAATTTTTTCAAAGGTAAAGATTATTTACTCTGCAATAAATTCTAGAGGAGTCCATTTGCTTGTGTCTGCATCTGGCATCCACTTGCGGTTCATTGGGGTATCCAAACTGATAGGTAAAATTGATGCAACTAAAGAACCAGATGGAAGGCCACTTCCTTTCGCAGCCAAAGATTTGGTAAGTTGGTGAACCGCAGCCTTAGCCATACCATATCCAATCATTCCTTAAAAATAAAAAACATATGGTGAATAACTTTTTAATATACAATTTAATTTTCAATTCATCAAAGATGAATGTTTCCACCTGGAGTTGCTTCTAGAGCAGCCTTAGCACCAGTCAGTGAAAGAAAACCTTCCTCTTTAAGATGCTGAGCAGCAATACGGGCTGCAATAACTGAACTCCAAACACTCTGTTTCCACATTAAATCAGCATTTTTTACAAAATCCTTATTTGCTGCATTACCACCTGCCCATCCCCCAGCAACGCAAATAATTCCGTCGAGTTTATCGCCTTTAAGGATATCTTTAACTTTATTCAAGATATCCTGTTCCTGAATAACAAAAGATATTGCACAATAATATTCTATTGTTTCTATCCGTTAAATCAAAATAATATAATTATCTATTAATTTAATTTTATGACAATTATTTACCTGCTCGTTCCAACTGTGATCTGATTGAACAAGAATATTCGCATCAGCATTTTCATTCTCTTTCATATCGATAGATCCTACCCACTGAAAAATGTCAATTAAACATGATCATAGACAAGATGGTAAATTACATACGTAGATGTAACTAATAGTTTGAGACATTTTATTAATGGAATAGAAACAAGAGAATGAGATCCTCCACGGATGTGTACAAGGTAAAAGGAGAATAGCTAGAAAAGTGAATAAAGTATATATTCCAAGAAAAAAGTGTGAGGAAAATTGAATTTCCTTGTTCGTCATTGAGAAGCATTAGGGCGGAAGCCGTGGTTCTCATTCGATAATAATAATATTAATTTAATATATATCATCAATTACTAATGTAATAAATACGTAAGGTACAACACATTAAATAGATATATATTTCCTTAATTCGTATAAACAGTCTTTACGTAATATTCTTAATTGAACAATATCTTGCGTTGTCTCGGGTTATCATGTTTAATAAACCCCGGTCTTTATCGTAGCATATTTTCAGTAACCAATAATAAAGTTTGGTCAACGTAATTGAATTACCGCATTATGTGTAACTATTAAATAATTTTTATCAATTTCGGCTGTAGGTTAAATGGTTTTCAAAACTTCAGTCATCTGGTACTGAATTATATTCGGATGTTTTCTTTGCAGAAAATAATTGTTGTATATGACTAGTGAATTTCAGTTGAAACCCATTGTATGTTATTTACAGGCATAAAACGAGCTGTGTGAAAGGTTCCGGTTCGTTACTTGGCCTTGTTACAGTTTCTCTATAACTTACAACATTCTACGTTATTTCCCAATTAATAATCACTGATACCAGATTCAGAGTTGCGTGGTTTCAAAATAAAATGTGGATTTGAATGAAGAATTAGATATTAATTTATACAACTAGTTAATTACTTATGATATAGCAATGTATCTACATTAGAAAGAAAAATTGCATGCGAAAATATTACCTACTTAACACTAAACCTACCAGAGCGGTCAAATGACCGCTTTTGAGACTTTAATAATTCAGACTATGCTAAATTCTGTATTAATTACAATCAACTGGAAAAGACTATAATGCTTATTTCAAAAGCGGTCATTTGACCGCCATCGGTAGAAATAGGTATATATAATATGTCGGTAGGTTTAGTGTTAATATTTCAGTAGAAGCGTCTGTCGTTCATTGCATTATGGGAAGGCCGTAAATATTTTCGAAAATTAAAATACTTTCTAAATCTGAATTAATTACGATAATTAGTATCAATAGTTGAGGAAGAACGCCTCGAATTACTAAGAATTGTTGTTAAAGGAATGGATGAGTAAGAGGAATTAATATCTGGGAATCCCTAATAATTAAAATAAAAGTAAAAACAATTTAAAAGTGTCCTCTGCTATGAAACCGTCAATAATTTTTCGTTAAATGGTCATCACATACTTGCTGTTGACTTTAAGTAAATTCTTGCGAGTATTTGTCTTAAATAAGATGTGAATTTCCAGTTAAATATTGTTGTAACAAGTTTTGGGTGGATTCAACAAGTAGCAAAATTTACCGGGGCTATAAATGTCAAGTGCGATGTCGTTATTCATCACGTCAATGACCAGTAGCTTCATTAAGTAGATTAAAATAGTTTAGCTTTTCTGATTCTTTTTTTATTAAAACTAGATTTCGCTTACCCAGTTATGCGATTTAAATTGGGAAACGCAAACGGAGCCGAGGGCCCCCTTGCCACCGTACACGAAAACACGTCCTAGAACGGCGGCCATTGTTCGATAAATGACGCGTTTCGCGAGATTGAGTACGAATGTTAGCGATTATATACGGAAGCAACCGAATATATCCGAATAATCTTCGACAGTTTTCGTTAGAAGCAAACATCGTTGCCAGTTTCTGGCATAAACTATGGAAAGAGAGACACTGCATTTATAAAAAGCATAAACTAGACTATGTCATGATTATGTTCGTCGGAAGATTGCCATGTAATTAAATTTTTACTTAAAATTTTGTAATTAATTTTTCCTAAGTCATAGAAGAGAAATTCTTTAGTTCTTAAGTTATTTTTAGGGCAATTTAGTATACAAGTTCTTAGCCAGGCTTATGTACAGGTAAATTCTGTTTTGCCTCAATAGGAATTTGTACTGGGACCTATAGTAATGTACGTTTTCACCCATGTCGTAATTTATACTAGTTTAAACAAATAAAGAAATAAATAAAAATTATATTAGGATTAATTTTGTGAATAATTTGAAACCATATCTTTCTAAGATTGTATTGAACGACTTGCGACAATTGGAGTTATCTGTCACTCGGTATAATATTAAATTAAAATTACTTTATGATTTACGGTTCTTACATTAATTATAGCTTATACATATAAGTATAAAGCAAGGTTCTAAAATATTTAGACCTCTGTTTATAATTTTAAGATATTTATCTTCAAGTTATACAAATTTAAATATTCCGCGTTTTCGTATTTTAAATTGGCAACATCGCGCGCTCACACAGCTTCTGCCTGCATCGCACTCCGTGAGCGTAGGTCTAGCGTGACGTCACGGTAGCCTAGTTGGGTTAGGTTTTACGGTGGAATTTGTAACGAGAAATTTTTTGTTTGACGATTAATGTTTTCCCCGTCGCATCTGCCGAAGTGACCGCCGTCGAGAGTCCGCACAGCCGTAACCAGCCCTCGTGTTGCGTGGACCGTGTGACCGCGAGGCCCCGCGTTTCGGCGTATATGAAATTCTAAACGGAAAATGAGTCGACATGAAGGTACGTACGTGTGCGCTGACTACGGGCAGCAAGTTCTCTACGCTAGCCATAAAACCCGACAGGAACTTTTAAGTCACCTGAACGGCATATTCGACAGCGAGAACATTTGTGACGATTTTGTGGGGATTTGTCGATGAGGTTACGGAATACATGCCCGGGCTTCCTGGCTGAAACGTCTATCTGAGCCCTGTGCCCAGGGCCCTAATGTCACAGACCAGATGGCAGCACCGAAATCGAAAATCTGCCTGTATTTTCTGTAACTTTAAATGATTCTTTACACATGGGCGTGAATAACGTTTTTCTAAAGAACCCAGGGAGATGATGTAGTATGCCCATTGTCATTCAAATGTATACCAATGTATTTTGGGTAATGAATGATTTTCATTGCACTTTGGAGCATTCCACTTCTTCGATTAAGGTTCCTTTTGTCTACGAAACATATTGCAGCTTTGTCCATTCAAAATCTTAGGTGTCTCAAGTTTCTTGGATTTATCGTTTAAAGTGAAGTGTGGACCGAAGCTTATGATATTTTAACTCTATTGTTTGGAATTATACTGATCCTTGATTAAATGTATATCGGTTATTTGAATGATACTTTGGCTTAGTGGAGCTGTACTATTGAATTTTGAGGAAGAATTACTTATCAACAGGTGATAGTTATTGACGACAATATTGAAACACATTTACAAAACATCATCTTGTACCTATCTGTAGCATTCACTATTCACTAGGTAAAATGTCCAACTGAAATGTTTCCTGGATTGTCTGAAATTTTGTTCTTGTCATGCAGTTACTGTCAGATATTTTGAAAAATATCTACCTTTCTATCATAAAGATTTGAGTCGTCTCCTATGCACTTTTAAGTATTTCGAAGCATTACTGATCAAAACTTTCAACAAAATTCTCTTCTATTCCATATATAATTATGACATGCATTAGATAGCATATCAAAGTTTACCTAATCAAAATTTAAAAACATTATCAATATTACATTATACTCCTGACTTTAAGTCACAGACTTTGATTCAGTTCTTGCATATTAGTAAACACTCCGATAATTACGACGGCAATAGACATAATAATTACAACTTTCACGACAATCATTACTACCGTTGTTGTCAATACTGTTTCTTGAATCATTGATATTTTCACACGCTCGCTCTCTCTCCCTCTATAAAAAGTACTTTTCAATAGACAATACTTTTCCGACCATTAATTTAATAGCCATTGTAACGTACTACTCGATAAATTATAGGAAGCTGCATCCATACAGCAATCTCCATTCTCACAATACACATATAGATTATTCATATTTTTATATTTATCTTACAAGATTCCAGTAGAGATCTAGATTTCATTCGTTGAACAATTAATATCTTTCATGTAGATTTATTTTCGATTATTCATTATCTCACGGGAAATTATCCGGATTCTCAGAATTGGTAAAAATCAACAAAACAGCGTTATTTAATAATTACTCAGTGAATTTCACGATTCATTGACAATGCAGATTGTTCTTGTGACTCATCAATCACATTGAAAAGTAGTGAAGCGAAATGGAAGATATACAAGGAACCACGATATATTCTGCATATCTAAAAGTCAAGTGGCATCGAGATTCCCCAGTTGATAATCATTTCTCAATGAGCGAATCTTACGGTACTTTTTAACTCTGAAACTGCACTTCTCGGGGAGGGGGGGGGGAGAGTGAAGTATATACGTGCGACAGGTATCTATATACGTATGTATATATATGCAAGCTCGCCTTCTCTGCAAATCATACCTTTCATCCATTTTCAGTAAAACTGGTTTGCTCTGTCTCATTCGAGTCGACCTTGTACTTTGGCCTGCGGGTGGTAACCCACTTTGTTGGGAGATTACTTTGCACCTCATGAACCCGTTTGTCATTGGCCATTCGTGTCCTCTCATGATCATTTGCGGAAGTGATTCACGCATAATTGGTCCCAGGAGCTATTAGTGAGGTTAGGATCCCAAGGAACGGCCAGTACATGTAACGATTTCTCAGCGTATCTGCCGAGGAATGGGGCTGATTAACAAAAATAAACGTAACTGGGGAAAATGTTCCTGGCCTTTAGCCAGCATCCACCCAGTTGCGTCTCGACTCACGATGGCCGTGGGCTGTTTACCAACAACCAGGATGAACAGAGGAACTTCGAATTTTTATTCACCCCTTTATAGTATTATAATATTTTCAGTTGACAGTTTCGCGTGATTTCAATTATTCGATTGAACAATGGTTGGTCGAATTGTCTAATTCTCAGTATGATTCCTCTATGGGCATTATGCCGAGGTTAAGTAATGGTCGATAAAAGTGCGCACCGCTTAAAGTTATCCAACGCGAACGATTGTGTCTCCGTTCGCGTACAGCTCGCTTCAAAAGTCCTCCATCATCCCTTGACCAGGTTCTGTATCGGTGTCTGTCCGCCATATACATCGTGTACGCTGTATTAATAGACAGGATGACACAGTAATCTCGACCCAGAAACAAGAAGGTGCATGTTACGTTCTATTTCGAACACCCAGTACCAAGAGTAACCAATGACTTTACAGATTCGCCGTTCCTTCCTTCTGTTTACAGACTGCGACCGTTCGACACACTGGATCGACATGAAATTTAAATAGGAGGACAGCTCTTCTACTTTTAATCCATTTTTTTAACCTTCAATTATACAATATACTGGGTGCAATATACTGGGTTGACATACAAGACGTCATCCTGGAAGCTGACGTCTATTGATCAAACATTCTAAATGTTCGGTAGCATCGGCTCAAGTTACTTCCTCGTGCACGTGGTTAAGATTCTCATGGGGAACGTGTTGGAAACAGGTTTCAATTATTTGGGTATCATGTGGAACAATATTGCAACGGCATGAAAGAGAACGAGTTGACCGATAAGTTTGATAATAATCACATTATCAATTTTACGTTGTATTGAATCTGAGAACAGGAACTTTGGTTATATAGAAACATAGTTTCCATGTCAGATTTTTATTTAACTGGAATATCGTTATATCATAATATTATTAGGCTTGTTATTTTTTTTTCACTCATAGCTACCATCTCGTCACGTGATAACGTCATTGATAATATTCATCCAAAAGACAATTTTTCGTCACCCATAGCCAAACACCTGGTACATCTTCGCGACGATAAAGATCGTCTGCATTTTCATTATAATGTGGTATTTACCTATGGAGACCATAAACGAAGAATTAAAGTGCTCGTACGTATTGAGTTTCAAAGTCTTTAGCACAGCTTCTAGTATTCTGGATTACGCCAGTAAGGAAGCTCACGTTTTTATGGCTTTCCTATGTTTAATCCCGATACTTTTAGAGTAACCTGGCTACGTGAGTGAGCTTTTCAAGGGCTTTCACGTTACTCCGATAGGGTCAGTGGACAATGGATTACCTATTGGTTAAATTTTTAGTGTAAAATTTAGTCTATAATATTTTGGAGCAGCACTGTGAATCTGAGCAGCACTTATCCTTGTATTTCTATTAGTGCTTTAATTGTATCTCTTTATTTTTTAGGGGTAAGCTGTGACTCCTGCTTAAAAGGAAATTTTCGAGGTCGCAGATACAAGTGCCTGGTGTGCTACGATTATGACTTGTGTGCCAGCTGCTATGAGGCCGGCGCCAGTACTACACGCCACCTCACCGATCATCCTATGCAATGCATACTCACTAGATCTGACTTCGGTAATTAGCTGTATACTGATTTTTATCTCATTAGTCGACTTAATAAGTCAACCGAGATGATACGGTGCTTGGGGAACGGCGTGTTTTCCTTTGTACGTAATTTTATATTTAATTGATATATTATTTTCCTACACAGAATTGTATTACGGAGGAGAAGGAGTGAGCGTAGAGCAACCCCAATCGCTAACCTGCCCTTACTGTACGAGAATGGGTTTTACAGAGGCTACGTTGCAGGAGCACGTGGCTGCTGATCATCTGGACACTAACTTTGAAGTGGTGCGTACATTGAGACGGTTGAACAATATTTTAAAATATAGTTACACACAAGGATTCTTATTTTATATTATTTTAATATCGTTCTCTAGGTGTGTCCAGTATGCGCCTCTCTACCAGGAGGGGATCCAAATCACGTGACGGACGACTTTGCTGGTCACTTGACTCTTGAGCATCGCAGTGGACCTAGGGACCTGATTTCATTTCTGGATGAGCCCGTTTCTAGCCGACATGGTGTACGGCGAATACCACATCCATCTAGGGGTGTTGGTGGGTCCAGACCCCGAAGGTATAGCAAAATCATGGTTAAGAGCGTGCAAAGGAATTTATTGTATAAAGCTCGTAGAAGGGGACGAATTAGGAAAGATATTCGTAACTAGCAATTTTCTTAATCATCGACGTGTGAGAATTTTTTAAACTCGAGGTTTTCTTTCCTAATCTTTTATTCGATATACTGGTGACGGTGCTGTTCTTCGGTATTGATAAAGAGATTTTAATCAACTGTATTAATCATTTGTATAAATATTCAATGTTCTATCATATTAGTCGCTCAGATCACTCATTCATATTCATTAGTATCATTTCATTGGAATCCCGGTGATGCGTCCTGGTCTCGAATACGAGTTCATTGTCACCTCATCTTAGATAATGTTCATCGGAGTGACATTGGACCTGCAGGTCCAACATGCATTTCAGTTCCTCGGGGGGATTAAGTCCCAGCAGTCGAGAAGGTATAGACCCTATCGCGGAGTTACTCTCCCAGCTATCCGGGGTACGCAGGACCGGTGGTGGTACTGGACAGGTGTCTTCGGCGCCATCGCAACTGCAACAGCTGCAGATGCAGCTACAACTAGAACGTCAGCAAGTTAGGGTAGGTTGAAATCTCCTTTTATTTTCCCTCTTTTACGAGGAGAAAATGGTAATTGCGAACGGTAATGGAATGGTAATTACATGGAAGCTACGAGGTTCTTGGGGTTTTCCAAGAGACAAGCGTTGCTATATGGATTACCCGTTTTTCAGGCTGCCAGGCAACAGTTGGAACGGTTGCCCAGGAGGCAGACTCAAGTCATCGGTTCCGTGGGTGGTGGCGGAGGTGGAGGTGGTGGAGGTGGTGCGAGCGGAGGGCACTCGACTACCATGGCCAGTGTCGTGGCCAATAGTACAGCTAGTAACAATAATGCAGCCAACGCGATCAACCCGTCCGGCGTTTCGCCCGCCAACTCTCAGAACTCCATGTTTCTGTTGCCGAGGTGAGTCCAGTAACCTGGATATATTGCCCTTTGCCTAATCGCGTAAATCCTACTGTTAATGTACTTGTGAAGTGTCACGACTCTACTATAAATATCCATAACCCCTCCTTCTCCTTTGTTCTTTACCTTCAAGTGGATTCGAGAGATTTATTGCCGAGCATTTACGCTTTATCCTCGCACTGGTAACTACGTCGCGAACGAAGTGCTGACCCGTTCTCGACAAGCCGCGAATCTTTAATAGCCCGCTCCATATATAAATGCAGAATTGCGTGTCATGGCCAGCACGCTTCGTTGCCAAAAAGCACATTCCAAAAGATTCGTCGCCCGTTCAAAGTACCGTTGTAGAGTCAGTCGTACGAATACACGTCAGTCGATGCTGATACAATCTTGTCTTTTGCCATTCATAAACAATATTTTTTTTTGTACTCACTAACGTCTTCACGCAGTGTCAATAGTTCTCGCAATTCAAAATGACGGTCGGCACTTCGAGACAGCCGTCGGAACAGTCCGACTTGGAGGTAAACGAATCAGTAAAGTTCACAGCAATAATCGCACCACCTCGTCTTCGCAGATGCATCGCGACCACGCTCTCGGATTCGCAGCTGCAGAGCATCGAGCGCGAGAGTGCGAATCGAAGTCTCTTCGCTCGGGAACTCGTCGTGGGCACGCTCTCGCAGACTCTCCCGGAGTTGACACAGCAGCAATCGAGCGCGCAGACGCCAGCCTCGAGTGCGACCACTGCGACGACCAGTCCGGAGACACCGAACGCGAGTCCGTCGGTGGTCTCCACGAAGAAGCTGAGCTCCAGCCAGGAGCTCAAAAGGGAACAAACGAACCCGAATAAATCCGTACTGCAATCGAATTCGCAGCAGCAGCAGCAGCACGTTTTTCAGGCTGCTACGGGAAGCGTCGGGCCAGGATTGCCTCCTAACCCCAACGGCATCACTGCCCAGAGTGCACCAATGGTTCAGACGCTGATGCACAGCGTGTTACCGCAGCCGTTGGTGAGTGGACGTGTATTTCTTTAGGCGGCACAGCTCTCACGAGTAGAATCGCAGAAAAGAAAGTTGCGCTCTACGCTTGAGAAATGTTTAACGTTACTGGGCGAGGTTGAGATCGCTCCTCGGCGCTCTTGGCCTTCTCGTTAGCTTTTTCCTTAGCTTGCCGTCCTGTGCAAGAACTTGAGAAGAAATGAAAATGTAACACTACAAAGTACAAGGCGAGCAAAAGCGTCGAGGAAACCGATGAGTCCTTCCCTCGCAATAGAGTCAGGTGACTACGGTCTCCCTATGCCTTAGCTTAGCGTTCTGTCTACTCGGAACGAGTTTGAATATTTTTCCGTGCTCGGTATTACGAAAGGTAGAGCATCCGCCAAGTGTCTTTCCTCGAAGATGGAAGTCTGGATGCGAAGGGAGTTCCACGAATGTTCCGGAAGATATGCACGACGATACGCCAAGCGACTAACAAGGAAACCCCCCCAATCCGACCTCATCGATTTCAATCATTTTTTGATATGTTGTAGTACTCGACAAAATAAGAGACACGTATTTTTTTTTTGTGCTGACATCCACTTTAAAGGGGTGAAAACGACCCTTGAAATTCACCCCCGAAAATCAATTTTTTATCATATATCGACTTCTAATTAATATTTTTTAATAAAACCAAGTGGAAAATATTTGTCATAAGAAGTCGAAGATATGAGGTGTGTTTATGACCCAATTCTTTATTATTTTGAGCCCATACCCCGGTTTTTATGCGGAAAAAAGCATAAAAAATATAGTTTTTTCAAAATATAAAATAAGGGTTGCAACCCCTTGGGTCATAGACACATCTCATATCTTCGACTTCTTATGACGAATATTTTCCACTTGGTTTTATTAAAAAATATTAATTAGAAGTCGATATATGATAAAAAATTGATTTTCGGGGGTGAATTTCAAGGGTCGTTTTCACCCCTTTAAAGTGGATGTCAGCACAAAAAAAAAAATATACGTGTCTCTTATTTTGTCGAGTACTACAACATATCAAAAAATTATTGAAATCGATGAGGTCGGATTGGGGGGGTTTCCTTGTTAGTCGCTTGGCGTATCGTCGTGCATATCTTCCGGAACATTCGTGGAACTCCCTTCGCATCCAGACTTCCATCTTCGAGGAAAGACACTTGGCGGATGCTCTACCTTTCGTAATACCGAGCACGGAAAAATATTCAAACTCGTTCCGAGTAGACAGAACGCTAAGCTAAGGCATAGGGAGACCGTAGTCACCTGACTCTATTGCGAGGGAAGGACTCTATGCAACGTTCAATAAAATATCATCTGTTTCACAGTTTCGTGCATCAGTACTAATCGTCACGATGACAATCGTCAACTATCGGTTTTTCTCCCTATGTTGTCGGGGTAGCTCATCACTCTAAATTGAAATACATAGGAAAATCCCCATTGCTTGTGAATACACGTAATTTACCATATTATATCGATTAAGTCCCAAACCCTATTCAATAATAATAAAATTCTACGTATCACTGAAAAAAACTTATCCCAACGATGCCTCGATTCAGAGGATCGAATAACCAATAAATGATTCTTAAGGGCGAAGGTACCATTATTGAATTGTGATCGCGCATCCGAAAGCACCTTGGAACCGGTGAACGAGAAGTGTTATATTGTCCGACAGGTGTTGCAGCAGCCACTGCCGCCACCGCCGATGAGGAACACGGGAACGGGTACCATTCGGGAGCCGATGACAGCTCCTCCGCCGTCCGCTTACCTCAGGGGCGGCGTGGGCCCCGTCGGAGTGACGGGCCCTTCGCGCAGGAAGCCAGTCAGGGCCGTAGACGGAAGAAACCAGTCGACGGAACCTCCGCCTCCGCACTAACCCCTCCGCTATCCTTATATATATATACACATACAGACACAAAAATGAATTCCCCATTTTTCCCTCCCCCTTTTACCTACTCCTCCAAGACCCCCCCTCCCCCTCCCGAGAGAGATTCCCCGTTTATTGTTATTATTATAATATTATATATTGATAATTATTTCGAACATCCCTAGGCCATCCCTCAAAAATCTTTGACGTCCCTTCTTCGACATCCTCTGTCTATTACCAAACACATCTGTTATCCGTAATCGCCTAACTGATAGCTGCTCTCACTTATGCCGATGTTATCCAAATAATACGCAAGGGCTGATTCGCCGGTTTATGCCATTTTCTTTATTCGTTCTTATTTCGACTTCCATTCTTCCCCTCCTGCACCCTCCCACACCCCCCGCCGTTCCCTCTCCTAAACACTCAATCGATAAACCGCTTCTTTGTACAATTAATATTGTCTTTTAGCGGATCTCGAAACGTTCTTGCTTTCCTATATTCTTTTTCACACGTGCTTGGCACGCGGTGACAGATGGCTTATTATGATGTGTCGATTCGTAAATTGTGTACGGAAATTTGTATTTTGATTCAATCGAGGAACCATACGGAAAGTGCGCGCTGGCGCAACAATCCTTTTGACGCCGTCAGTCGGGACTCGTTGTGCAGTCTATTCGAAAATACTCATTAGATGAAGCGCGTGGAGCATCGGGTACGCGTATACATGCAATCCGATATAGGTCGGGTGTACACTCCGTAAAGATACTGATAGGTGATAACGGGTGGACGAGGGTATGTTCCTGTAATATTTTGTTGTTGCTTTTGTTTTTTTTTTTTTTGTAGAACGTGAATCACATGCATAGCAAAATCATTTTGTTGTGTTCTTTTTTGAAAATTTTTTTTATTTACATATCAGACAGAGGCACGCGGTACGGTCTCGAGGCACGCTTCGAACGACGTTTGTACACGCTTGTTGGACTTTTGGATGATGCGAATTGTTATCGCGAGTCGGACGCGAATTTACGGTGCCGGTTGGATGGATCGTTAACGGAGGAAAACGAAAGAAGAGGATTTGATTTTTCCTTTTGTCCCGACACGATCCTGCGTTGATCTTTGCACGGGAACAGAATAGACGTACAAGATGAACAAAGCTCCTGCTAATCGTCCCTACTCTATTATTATTATTATTACTACTGTTATGTATTACAGATGTCAATTGTTGAGGTCGAAAATGAATTTTTCGATTTTTCTGCGATACGATGCTTTTTCTGATCTTCTATACTTAGGACTGACGTGATTTACATCTTTGTTCTTCGTGGTCCTAATTTTTTTTTTTTCTTCTGTCGCTTCATCACCCCTGTCAATTGTTTTTGCTTGTACTCCTTTCTCTCTCTATCTCTCCATCTCTCTATATTCTTTCTATCTCTGTTCGTTTCGTGAACAAAAAAAAAGTAAAAAAAAAACAACTTGTAAAGTAACTTAAGTTAAATAAAGTGATGAATGCTACATTCAGAAAGAGCACGCGTGTGGATCTTTAGGCTTGATGTGTCTAGCGCGTGAAAAGTCTCGCGACGCTGGTGCTTCTTTTTTTGATTAATTAAGAGACAAAAAGCGAAGAGGAAATAACGAAAAAGACTCGAAATCCAGGCTCGGCGCTCACGCAAGGCGACGGGATGTTTTCTATAGCGCCGAGGTCAAGCGCCTTTCTCGGGACTTTTCTCTCGGTACTCATTTTCTCGGTGTCAGGCAAATTATTATCTTGAAAGTAACATTCACCTGTTCCTGACGTAGATCGAGCGTCTACTACGTAGAGGCGCGACTGCTGTCCTGACGTTCTTAGAGCTGCAGAAATCAAATCGTACTGTCGCAAGTACAGCCGAAGACAAAAATTATGATCGGCCCTGTTAACCTGTAGACAGAACTATTCGAACCCGAGGGAATGGTAATGACGATTTAAAGAATATAATAAAGCTCGATGAGATTAGCGTCGCACAGACTGAAGACTATCGCGAGCGTTGTCTCATTTCTTTTTTTTTTTAATTGAGAATCGTCATACCCCCACTCCTATCCTATGTCAAGCTTCTGTCTTTAATATCGTAAAAGTACCGTCGTCGCAAGAAAAATCAAGTTCGCTTTGCGTATATTGGGATATGTCGGAATGCGTGAAGTGCACGAACTATAGTAAATTAGCGACGGACCATTATCTTATTTGGAAAGTTACAAAGTGCATAGGACAATTGGGCCGATGACGAAGGACGATTATTGTAATGACAACGGAAGCGCGAAAAGGACATTTTTCACATAGTCGTGAAAAATAATAAAAAATAAACTTTTCGAACGAATGATCAATGTTCAATTTGTATTTACTCTATTTAGCGTACCGTTGTCTACCGTATACGTATAAGTCAGAAGAGAGCGAGAGAGAGCGAGAGAGAGCTGTACAATGTATAGGTATATACAGGAGGTAGTGCGTACGCCTAAAAATGTACGCCGGCTACGTAGATAGGCGTAGGCGCTGCACCGAATTGGCGGAGAGTGCAGTAAATATGCAATCGAGTGAATGGGGGCGAGAGAGAGAGAGAGAGAGAGAGAGAGAGACAGACGTTGTGTTATATTAGATAAAGTGTGTTGAGATTGAAAGAGGAAGATGGAGAAAGTGACTGTGCGCACCTGTATGATGAATATGTTTTGCGACAGACGTTGTGTTATATTAGATAGGCGCTGCACCGAATTGGCGGAGAGTGCAGTAAATATGCAATCGAGTGAATGGGGGCGAGAGAGAGAGAGAGAGAGAGAGAGAGACAGACGTTGTGTTATATTAGATAAAGTGTGTTGAGATTGAAAGAGGAAGATGGAGAAAGTGACTGTGCGCACCTGTATGATGAATATGTTTTGCGTATGGGATACTTAAGAACAAGGAGATCTATTGTATCTATACTTGTGTAGAATATATTTGGAGCTCGATCGGATAATGTGAAAAGGTAGACGTGAATTTAATTGATACTTCATGATTTATTATAATTACCGTCGTTCTTATGATTACGAATACGATTACGGTTATCATTAATACTACTAATGCACGTTAAGGCTTGTATCTAGATAGAGGGCTGCGCCGTGAGACCGGGGCCTCGTTGTAATATATAATTATTAATTGTAACAGATGAATTAAAGTTAACGCTAAAGTATCTTCGTCGTTGTTGACGATTACCGGCTGCGTGCCGGGATTCTTATTCGATTTTTCAATACTTTAAAACACTCTGCCAAACGCATTTCAATTAATTGTCTACACGAGCGGCCAGCAGAATCGCTTGGTAATACAGCGTCGAGTCAATTCGAGACTCGTGAAGTCGTTACCGCGTGGGACCGCCTGGTAAATTCGAGTCAGAGCACCACGGCGACCGATATGCTCAATTATGAGGGGAAAAGTATTTTTTTTTTTCCAAATTGCAACGAAGAGTAAAATTTAAATAAAACAGAGTGAATATCGCCGTAGCGGATCTCTACTCACTAGAGAAGGAAGCACTTCGTAAGGCGACGCGTTAGTCTATTGTATTATGTCATTATATTGATTATTATTACTATTATAAATTATTATCGTCTAAGAACGTCCGTCGCGCCGTCGCGCTACGCGGCAGCCAAAATGCGACTGTACGTTTTGGCTTGCTTTTATTTTCTCCTTCTTTCTTTTCTCCATCTACCTTCTCTCTTGTCTTTCGTATTTCTTGGAAATTCGGGAGGCTGCTGTCACGTGGTAATAAGATATGGCGAGTCTGCGAGGAGAGCAATAGGACAGTCGTAGACGGTAGACAGATGAGGCACTGTGGACGCGAAATGTGTAGATAGAGGAAGAGTGGTCGAGTGTTCGCCCGAAGCGAATCGCGAGAATTTCAATGTTATTTACAAACAAAATTTCAGTTCGGATTAGTGTCGGTGTCACTGTTTGCGATCTTCGTAGGCGTTAGTATTGTGGACCCAGCGTTTTCTTTATTGATCCTCATTTGGACGAACTTCTAACCTCTTAAAGAGTATCGTATTTCTTTACCTTTTTTTTTTCTTTTTTTAGAAACGTTGGGATGCGGTTAATATTAGACATTATGTATAGGAGCTACGCGAAATCGGTGGTAGGTGATAGGTTCTCGACAAATTGTAGGATAATATGTAATACATAAGTCGCGCCCGTACTCCAGCCCGACACTCTGCTATCTGCGGAAGGAATTAATTTTTAAACATTTCTAATAAAAAAATTAATTGGTTTCTTTAGATATAGAATACGCGGCTGTGCTCGGGTTTTTAATGGCCGGTCGAGGATGTGTGATTGTGAAACAGACGGGGTGCGAGCGAATGTTCGATAAATTAATGGGGATGATTGTTGTCCATTAGGACGGAGAAAACGATTATTGGATGACGGAGGTGAGATTCCACGAAGGAGGCGACGGTAGGACGTCGACGAAGACGTGCTGTATTGAGGGACCTGGGGATGGATGGTGAATCGAGAAACATTATTTACTAATAAAGGATTCAAGTGAAATCTTATACATAATAATTAACGAAATGTAAATTGTGTTTGGTTGTATTTTGTGTTATACGCCTCTGATGCTGAATATAATGGAAATTCAATGAATAATCTTTGCTCGCTCGTTACCTGCGTCAATAACGTGTTACTGCTTTGTGTCATCGACTGTTAACTTTGTTTGAATTTACCGCCGCGTTTTGTAAAGCAGTAGAGGGCGCTTGGCGACCATTCACTCCTCTCGCTGATTGGTCCAATGAGCAACAGCTGACAGATGATGATTTTGAAAACACTACTGGATACTGGTACGCGTTTGGATATTATCTCTGTGAGAAGATTTAATAAGATTTTTCGGGAATACTCGGGAACAATGGGGCCACTTGAAAGTGCCAAGAAAGCTGCTGCGTACAAGGCGATCGATGAATATGTGAAGGTAAGGTTCCTATTGAAATATTTGTATTAGAATATTGTTTGGAGGTTATGTGGGTACCGGTGCTTTTAAAGTGCCGTTTTCGTTTTCTCATTTACAGGATAACAATGTTATCGGTATTGGCAGTGGATCTACCATTATATATGCTGTTCACAGACTCGGTAAGAAAGCTTATAATTACGATTATACTTTTTTAACTTGTAGCAGCAGTCTTTATTTGACATATTACCTGCTTTTCCTGGTGTTAACTAATCCTATGTAATACTTTTTTTTAATGATTTAATTGAGGATATTCATTTTTGGTTAATGCAGCACCGTTAATATAGCTGACGTAACAAAAAAAAATGATCCCCTGACCTTTGCTAAGATTATCCTCAGCGTTCTTGTATATTTTATCGTCAGCCGATAACGAGAATGCTAATTTTGTTTCTAGATTGCTTTAGCGCCAAGTAACTTTCTGAAACTTATTTTTCTTATACAATTCATTGGATTGGCATACTCCATTTTCATTGTTGATTACCTTCGGCGTCAGGTGTGTACTTGTCTGTGCAGAGTAACCGTGTTTTTCAATGCAATGCGATACAATGATTTAATAGTTTCGTGTTATACGTCAATTTTATCGTAATGGACAAGAGGACTACGAATATGTTTTACAGCTGAACGCGTGAAAGAAGAAAAACTAAATGTTGTATGCATTCCGACATCATTCCAATCGCGTCAGCTAATCGTCAATCATCGACTCACCTTAGGAGACTTAGAAACTCACCCGAAAGTAATTTTCATAGTTTCTTCATTTTCATTTATATTTTATCTCCGTGGCACTTTTTTATTTATTAATATAAGTGTTGACAGTTGGACTGTGCCATCGATGGGGCTGACGAGGTAGATTCTGAATTGAATCTCATCAAAGGTGGCGGCGGATGCTTGTTGCAAGAAAAGATAATCGCTTCCTGTGCTGATCACTTTATCGTTATCGCTGATTACACGTGAGCTTTGTCTTATTTTAAGGATTTTCAGAAACTGTTGAATATAGTAGTGGACTATATTTTTAATTTTAGAAAAAATTCTCAAAGACTTGGAGAACAATATAAGAAGGGTATCCCGATAGAAGTGGTGCCAATGGCGTACGTTCCTATACAACGCAGAATTGAAGATAATTATGGCGGATCTCTAGAAATCAGAATGGCCAAAGCGAAAGCGGTAAGAGAAATGTGTTTGCGGATTTGATTATTTTATTAACCTCATGATTTTATGCATATCACTTTTTCATACTTTCTGTTTTTATCTTCGTAATCTGTTATTTTAGGGTCCCGTTGTTACTGATAATGGCAATTTCATTTTGGACTGGCACTTTCCGCACGAGATCACTGATTGGAATAAGGTCAATACGGAAATTCTACTCATACCTGGAGTCGTGGAGACGGGACTTTTCATAAAGATGGCCAAAAAAGCCTTCTTTGGTATGGCGGATGGTAGCATTATGGAGCAATCTTAGAAATTATTTAAATTGATAAACTGTTTATCTTTTGAGAAGGTCTTGAATAGAAGCAACGCATCCTGAATACGTTGTATGATTGAATTATCAGTTGTCCTGAAGACTGCAGAAATACATTTTTAGCAGTTTTCTATCTTGCCATATCGCAATAAGAGTTTGTATTTTCGTATGTCTGTTTTCTATCACTTTCGTTATTGCCATCGTGCTATACGTCCCGACGTTTAGTAAAATTCTTAACAATGGTTTAGAAAACTCTACAGACCTGGGTTTCATGTATTCATAATATTTGTAATAAAGATCTAAATATGCTCATCAGTGTTTTCGTCTATTTATACCCGAACATTGATGAAAGGGAAATTACAAAATTTGTTAATCTGATAAAAGCGAGGTTCTTTGTTGTATTTATAATATCGCAAAAATAATCGCCCGAACAGGGACTCGAACCCTGGACCCTCAGATTAAAAGTCTGATGCTCTACCGACTGAGCTATCCGGGCGTATAAATGTGTCGGGTCTCAAAACGTATCGGTACAGTCCATTGTAAAAATATTTAAATAATATTAAAACTTGTTTCTGGAGCAAGTATAATGGAATTAATCTGATAGCAATAGTTGAAAACGAAGTAAATAAAATTATATATTGTTATTTATGTATTATGATATTACATCAAAAATTTGGATTCGTTCCCACTATATAATAAAATTTAAATTGCTCTAATGACGAATACAGATATAGTGTTCCGTAATCATCGTATCATCATTATAATATTTACACTATAGTTGGACTACTGAAACGTTCGTATTCATAGATTAATTAATCGCAAAGCTAAGTGATTATTACTACTTAGAAATATACATATGTATACATATACATAGAAATCATTATTGTATAATTTGTCGAATTCGTAATTTCATTACAGAAGAAAGAGCGAGGATACAGGAAGGCAGGGAATAAACAAAATGATATATTAAATTGCATAAATAGTTTTATTGAATATTGAAGACTTGATTTCGTTACATAACGATTAAGGCACTAAATCATAATTATATATAAATTACCTGACTATGCAACATTAGTAAATCTTCGCTCAGTACATTAACGCCATTACTTATAGTTCTTAATTAGTCCTTGGCGCATGCATTGACAATCTAAGTGAGCTAAGATACTTGGCGTACATAGTCAATCGATCCGTGAAGTCCAGCCGATATTATTAGTTATTACAATTAACTAATTATATGCATGATAGCATTGCATTCAGACAAGCATTAACCAAAAGGTTTAATACGGCTATCAGTGCAGTAGCGCCCACAACAACGGTCAGTAAGTTGGTGCATATAACGAGTTGAACTGTAACAACACCGATAGCAGTAAGAACGTTGACAAGAGTTACAACGGCAAGTTGAAGAATAATTAACAACTGAGTAACGACGATGGCGATCAGTCGAAGGATGGCATTGACTATGTTTACGAGTGACAATGAACAGCTAGTGCAGGTTCCAACGAAATTTCTGAAGGCAATGAAGAGCTGCAAGGATAATTGCATAGTATAATTATAGTGACAAAATAAGAGCGACAGTTGAATATGATTAAGGGATATTTCTTACCTGAACCTGTAATATTACAATTATTGCATTTCCCTTGCTACAGTTGGGTCCTGAACAATTTGAGAGTGCGGTCTGACATCTGCAAGTGGAAGCGTCCCATAGGTTATTAGTTATGGCATTATTGTATAGGCGTTTATCAAAGGAAATATTGAAACGTGGAATATTAGTAACTAAGAATTTTTTTTCAATAGCTTACCTTGAAACAGTACAGTTGTAAGCGTTTAGTATAGTAGTACTGCTTGCACCTGATGCAACCGGGCATGCAGTCACGGCTTCTGTGGAGCTGATGTAGCTGCTCAGGACGACGATGACGGTCACCAGAGAGAACTTCATGAGAGTGCTGGTAGCCATTTTTGAGATCTTTTGTTGATTTCCTTTATTTTAACTTTAGTAAAACTGCTTGTCACTCGACGGCTTGTCTGTGAATGATACTGTGACGGCTCGCTTGTCTTTTATACCAATTCCTGAAAATCTTCAATGTTTCTTCAGCTGAAAGACATGCAGTGAATTGTGCAAATAAAAAGGGGTAGTATGGAGTATAGTAATGATTAATGGCACATCTCAATTATTACCTCGTTAATCAATCTGTGATAATAATGTTGCAATTAATTTAATAGCTGTCTGCATCCAGTCCCCCACTCCTTCCCCCAAAAAAAAGCAAATCGCCAGCACTGAACTATTTGATGGAATTGAAAATTTCAATTAAACTTTGATACGGTACATCTCTTTAGTATTGCAATTTGATGTTGAAGTATTAAGAAAAAACGTTTAGTGCTAAAATTTTATTTCAAAATTTTGGACTTTTCTTCACAACTGACATAGCGCTCCATGATTATTTTTTTAACATTATTTTTTTAACATTACTCTTATATACGTGGATTCAAGGTTACTTAATCGTTTGGAATAGAATAGTTATTCGCGCTGCATTTACCTCTCCAGACAACACGCATGTCCAAAAGTCATCTTTGAGACTCTTAGAGACAACTTCTGTGCCATTAGATGCCTTAGACACGACGTTTGGACGTTACGTGTTTTCTGTGTCATTGATGATTGTTTTACTGTACGTGAGTATTCTTATTTTCTCAAAGGTGTTTCAATTCATATGATTTCTTAAGGATTTATCGCTCTAAAAACATTGAAGTAAAAAATAAACAGAGCAACCTGTATAATTAAACGTCGTTGGTGTATCTATAGAAATTACGTGCATTTTTTAAATACACTATTACCTCAATGTCAGTTATTCGATATTGTCGAGCATATGCGAAATCTTGGCACGCGGGTAACGAATTTCTAGTTTCTTATTATCTACTCGGCGAGTAGCACGAGTCCCAACAAAAATTTATGATCTTAATCGCTGCTGGGTAAAAACTTGGCTTTTGTCTTTGCGCGACGTAAATTCAATAATTTATGGCGCTGCGATGAAGTCCCACATAATAAGAATAAAATTGTGTACGAAAGACTTTAAAGCAATTCCCCTATTTTATACCACGGGGGATCAGTAAAGCATTTTCGAGATACAGGCTGCATCTCTTATTCATAAATTTTAGTGCGGCCATTTATTTCGTAAGAGCCTGTAAAATAATGGAAAAATATTTCTCTCATTTTATTGCCTGTCGTTTGAAAACGGTCACGAGTTTAAATTGAGAAATATCAATTAAAAAGTATCGCATACTTGGCTACGTACACTGGCTACCACTTGTATCTTGTATCTTACAACAGAGGAAAATTTATCGGACAAGAAATCACGCGGTACTAAGAATATTTCTCTGTTTCTCTTATATCACATTTTTAAAGGAGACGATTAGCCAGCCTTGTTTGCCTCGAATTACGATCCTTGGAATATAAACTCGAGACAGAAGGAGACTGCACTCCGAGAAGAGATGTTTACACCCTCTATTTCTTGTTATCCGAAGATTGCAAAAGTTTTTGATGGATTCTCGTGCGAAATTAAGAAAAGCTTTTTTAGTCGCGTCCTTGTTAAGCGTTACTCGGGACTCCCAAAAACAGTATCACGAAACCAGTTCTGCCAACCTATGTACTTTCGAATGTTATTCTTTACAAAGTTTCACGAGTGAAAAGTATCCCTTCGGCATAGCAAAATTTCAGAGGTTGGTTAACGTGTTATCTAAGAACACCTTTCTTAATTAGCCAAGATAACAAAGTATCGTTCGTACTATATTTTATTATGACAACTATAGTGCCGTTAATCGAATAAACTTTCAGACTGCCTTTTCTTTTCTTCGACGTACGTGGTGACTCTGAAAAATGTATTAAAAGAAATGTTTTACCACCTTTAACAAGTAACTCTATCGACTCTAAGATACAAAGGTGTCTCGTTTTGCTCGATAAGATTCTACGTTTGCGATTTCAAATGAATTTAAAAATAGCTTCTCAAAGGGATACACATTCTTACGAGCTTGAATGGCCTTATCGAGACACAGCAGGCTCTGATGCGCGAACGCTGTAAGTACTTAACCCCAACAGTTTTTCTATGATTTATACAGACGGTTACAGGTTCGGTCGTCCCACGTTACTTCCGGGAGTTACTTTTTTTCTTCAGATGACAAGTAAGCGATCAGCATTTTGACTGGATATTTCATCGGTTTTGGGTTTTACACAAGCACTCATAATCTCACTACGACTTGGTCCGATAAAAATACAGTTTTGGCGGTCCATGAGAAAAAGGTGGTTATAACTAAAAGTAAGGTGTGAATTAACATTTTTCATTTTTATATATCAAGGAATTATTTTCATTTAAAAAATTGATTTTTAGTAAGAGTAATTTAAATGCATGTATCTAATAGGTATATTTTATTATCGACATTATGATAATTCATTCCCTCCTTGAATTTTCTCTAATATTCCTCAATTTCCTGAAAAGTCACATATGCATACGTCCTAGTTTAAGTTTACATATTAATGTTCCTTGAGTTCATACTTTCCGTCCTAGTCTTCCAGATGCAATGTGTATACGTATCGCGTGTATTTTCCGGTGCTATGAATTTCCATGTTTCCAGGGATAAGGCTGACTTTTCGTGAGGTTATATATTGTTATGGAAAACCACAGAGGAAATCATGAGCACGAGGGTGGCAGTTAAGACGAATATGTCATGGTGATTCGCAGACGTCACGCATTCGCGAAGCTGCGCATGTATTTAAACCCCCGTGCCAGCATGGAGGGGGATGTATTTCAAGAGTGTGAGCGCGCTATTTCAGCCCCAAACACAACCCTTAGCTTGGAGCGCGCGTGCTTCGATCACGACGTCTTCCTGAGAGAGTGTTGAGAAACTTTTCTTCCCTTGACAAATCTCCCAACTGGTTGAGAAGCTTCGACCCTTGTCCAAAAATCCATCATGAAGGTACGTCATTGGTGTTTTGATACTGGAAAACTTGATTTATCACATTCTCTGCTATCGAGTACTTTCTTTATTAATTATGAAAATCTCGTATCTTCATAAAACACCCGTGTAACGTATAATTCATATAATTCTTTGGTTTTAATATCGAAACGAAGAAATAGAGTTTTGAACAAAAATTTGTTGGCAATAAAAAACAATTTTCCAATATCGCTTCTGAATGTTTTTTGGAATTATTATTTTTTACTGAAAAAGTTGGAATCCCTCTCTGAGAACCTAGGACCACATTCCACAGGTTGTTATCGGGTAAATTCAAGATTCGACGTTCCTTAGTGGACGACTAATGAATTTTAAATAGGAAGATAATGCATTGTCCGAGTTGGATAAATTAATTGTAAAAATCGATTGGCTCACGTTATAAATTGAACATTTTCAAAAATACACAATAAGTATCCTTTCGATTCAGACAATTATTCCTAGACGTATATAAATGGTCATTGACACAGTGCCAGATTTGAATTCAGTAGTCTACCCTTTTGACAATAGGAATATCTTCGAGACGTAGACAGCTGAATGCACCGAGCGCAGCACAGTCAATGCAGATTCTAATATACACGTACTTTTCATTGGACAGTCATAAACTTCGTAAAGATACGTCGTAAATCTAAATAAACTTGAGCGGGACATGTGAATTGGCATAGAAAATTAATATAGGGAATTATATGTAATTTTGCAATAAATTCTTGAGCGTGATAATATTTTTATAAAATTACACAAGAAAAAATGCACCTGGCTGTACGAAGACAGTTTTATCCTGACGTATGAAAATACTAGCACCTGAAATGACAAAAAGGCTCAGAGTGAATTTTATTTATATCCTGAAAGAAAAGAAAGAAAATATTTAACCAACTCATGTAATTTTCAAAAATTATTCGATAGTGATAACGATTCAATTTTTTATAATCTCTGTATTATTCACCTTATAACCGTTTTCACACGAGGAAAGTCACCCCAGCTATGATTACTTTTCTCTTCTTTTTTTTTCTGTCATCTTTACAAAGAGCTGTACATAACCTCTATAGGAAAACAGGCATATCTTTTGTAAATCCTTATTCACGTATCTTCGTAGGGATAAACGATAAACGTCTATTCGATTGACGGGAGTGAATTTTGACGTCTCTCGTATTACCACTCGCTGCCGTCCTACGCAGATTGTCATCTCACTGTAAAACAAATAAAGAAAATCAATATCCTTTACATTCAAGGGTGTGATCAATTCTTCGATATCAATATCTTGAAATATATTTTTCACAAGACTGCCATTTACTGTGTATCGGCTTTATGTCATACATTGTGCTTTGACACAGAAAATATAGCCGGTTGTTCGATTCTGCATATCCTGTCGAACTTTGTAACAGTCCCCTAAGACATAATAGAAATGTGTATCCTGAAAGAGACAATGATAAAATTATATTAAGCGCCTGAAGAGATCAAATCTGTAATAAAAACGTATTATGCCCATATCTATATTTCACCTCTCATTTATTAAAAAAGCTCACTCGAAAAGCTTCTTGAACAATATATAGTCTCTGGTATGTACATAATGTATGTACGAATGAGAGCCTGATGTTGTATATATGCATATACATATTAATGTCCATAAAGAATACAATAGGCACCAAAGTACGTACGAAAATTTTTTGACGACACGTCCGTTCCTCTTATTGTCTGGGGCACTGATATAGTAGAGAAAAGGGGGACCCATTGTTTTATTGCTGCATCAGTACTTTTTGTAAATTTTGCAATTCGCATAGTTTCCTTTGAATTCTTTTACTCAAGTCTACAGCACGATTCGATGTCGCGAATGGGAAAGTATGAAAAGAAATCAGATATTTTATACGATACGGAAAAAGTTTTAAGGTTAGTTTTTCGTTTCTTATTCGAGTCTGTATATACGTAAGGTTTTACTGGATGAAATTAATCTCGTCTTTGTAATGAGACGACAGACTCCAAGAATGGAGTTATTATATTTTCACTTATGAAGTCAATTGATTCATTTCGAAGTTCATGTGATTTTCTGCTAACGGTTACTTGACAGGGTAATTATTTGAAAAAGAAAATGTATCGATAAAACGTGGAGCATGACGGGACGATTGGAAATACATTAATGCGAACTATAAACGATGTATATTGATTGAAGAAAAATAATGAGCGTTTGATATTATTCTTTCTTGTGCTACGTAACGTGCCAGACTTTATTATGTAAATTGTAATCACGAAGATGTTGCATTTGCTAAATTTTGAGAAACGAGTTTGACTGACGAGAAGATTAATTGTTACTTAACAGGGATGGAAAACTAATAGTTTGTATAACCGGATTATAGTCGTTACTGTAATTACTGAGACATTCTGTCATATCTGTGTTTGATGTATAGAATTTTCGTTGGTGGTGATAATGATCCTGACGATCATTATCTGATCCTGTAACATGAGAGAGTGGTCAGATAATACGTTTGATTTTTAATATTTTTATTAATTTTATAAATTCTAACTGAAATCGTATAGTAAATATAATTTTTTAATGATTTGCTTTCAGGTTACCAGATATCTATGCTGTGTCTTGGCATTTACTTGTATAATTTTCTTGGCAGACTGCACGGCAGTGCAAGACAGGGTAATATATATATTTTTTAATTATTCAACGATAAGTACAGAAATAAAAAATGCTCAATGAGTAATTAACGTTATAGACGATTGACGTAAAGTCTATCTGATTGGATAGAATTTATTTATAAAATCATATTCAGCACACTCTTATTACTTTCAACGTATGTTATATTAAGCGCGATACCAGTGTTCGTGGGTCACTCTACAGAGTCAATTGAATTATGAAAATAAATTTTTGTCTAATTTTTTTACTTAGTGTTTCACCCGTCAGACAATGACGTTAACTATTTTCAGATCGATCAGCAGTTTCTGGACGCTTTGGTAGCGGATGGATCGATCAAGTCAAAACGACCATTTTGCAACGCGTTTACTGGTAATAAAAGAATAACTATCGAGTGATTTGATAGTTGAGGTAAAAATAGTAAATAACAATAATTATAAGATCCTATCATTGTCTGTACTCTATTACAAAATTGTCCAAATCTTAGATGTAATTTAAATGCACAATAGTATTTAGTTTTCTTGTAACCACAGGTTGCGGCCGCAAGAGAAGCTTCACCGGAAATCAGTTGGTACCACAGTTTGAGGATTCCAAGAATGTTCGGCTTCCGGCTCCGTTGTACAGAGCCCTGCTCCGCGCTGCTTCCCAAGAGATTCAAGAATCAATGGATCGAGAAACAAACTGGCCGGAAATCTCTCAGGATTACTCAGCATTTCCACCACGAAAGAATACGCTTCATGAATCATACGAGAGTTAATCATCTTCCTCTTAGACCGGATTAATTGCTATTTATCAAAATTCAAAATACCAATTATAAATTCTGAAAAATGGTTTTCTCTAATATCAAACTAAATGATGCATAATATTTTTAGTTTATGAAATTAATTTAAAAATTGTTTCTTTTCTACTTCACATACACATACTGTACCAATGTTGCTTGGCAATCTAGTGTAATTCAATTACGTAAGAAATTTGATTTATGTGAAATTTATTATTTTTAACTTTGTAACTTTTATATTTGTTCGTAACGACGTTTTTCTGTAGGCTGATTAAGTAATCTCGAAGTAATTCAATATTTACTTCTATCTACGACAGTAGTACTGTTAAAGCCTACGATAAATATAGATGTTTCAATTATAATTTCAATTTCGTGATGCGTAATAATAAAAGTGCTAAATAGTACTTGCTTACTTGCGATTATACATTGTTCCTTGTTACAGCTACGTTTATTATCCTTATATATATCTTATATATCAATTTTATAAGAATACCGTTAGTTTAACTAGAATACTGTCATTCCATACGTATCTGTTGACTGATTTTTCAACGTGAGATGGATTTGAAGGCCATGGTGATAACAATGGTGTTGAGAGGATCATGCGTTTGGGTATAACCAGTCCAATGTATTCAGGATTATCTGATTCCTCAGTGATTTTTGGCCTTGTCCAATGTGTTTCAGAAGAGATTGCTGAAGGATCCCAAAGTTGAGAGACTCTGTCCGCGCGCCATCCCTCCACAGAGTGATCGAGTATCTTTGACATAATATAATGTATTTAGAAAAAATTGACTTTTGTAAGAGAAATGCTTTTCTATCTGTGAAAAGGAAACGCTGACTGTCGAAATTCACGTTTTCGCAATGGGAAAGTCATGAGGCCCGAGAAGATACGATGAACATGGCTACGTTTAAGGGGATTGCTAAGAGATCTACAATTTCTGATAGGGAATAAGGGTTTCGCTTTATTTTAGGATTGTCCATTCTCTTCTAGGTATTTTCCCAGACCCGTCTTTGTATCTTTAGACTTTCATAGAAAAGGGGGGAAAGCCTCATTGATACACTGAAGAATATATAAGTTTCTTTTTTTTTTTTTAAATAAAGAAAAAAGGAGGAGGAAACGTTCAATTTAATCGAATAATCTATTTCGTGAACTTTTGTCAGATCTTACTATAATAATAGGATAATAAAAAAGATACCTCGATACGTGTCTTCAGAGGAAATGGCCATTTGAGAATTGAATCAAATCGACCACGGGTCACGCCGAAACCGAAGTAAACTGAATCGTCTGGGAAATGTCTTGGAGTTATCCTGAGAAACATTGCGTAACCACCCTGGCTGATATGGAAAGTCGAGCTACGTAGAGACTGATTGGATTTCCATTGAGTTAATTTTTCCATAATATCGGTCACTCGCCAATAATAAGTGAAGACTCTTGCCGGACCTTTGACGTAAGTGAGATTTAGTATTCCATATAGATGATTACTGGTATATTTAAAAAAGAATTAAAAGAATTAAAACCATTTTGTGTTGAAATTTGATGGACAGTGATATTAAATTTATTTATTTCATCCTGCCTAGGAGATGATCTTTCTGTCTTGGTAGCAACAGGCTGATGATCATTTCTGATTGTTTCTTGAATTCTTTTCCGATTCATCGAATTGTCATTGTCTTTATGAAAACCGTTTATTTCTCTTAAAATAGTTTTGAGAGTAATTTTTATCTCTTCCAAACGAAACCTTACGTCTTTTTCTAATTTATCAAATCGGTCGTTCATTGTTTCTGCAATTTCAATAATTTGCCAAAAATTGTACATTTAAAACAAGCGCACTATATCAAACTGTGGTCTGATTTTATTATTGTTTGTCACTGAGATAGAACTGTAGACCTGAGAAAAGTCAATTCATTATTCAAATACACGGCTTTTATTTCACATGGATATTGCCAAGTGAATTTTTTTTCGCCAAAGGAAATTGAATGCTGTTCAAAGTCCATTCATAATTCTGGACATGGAAAACTAAAGAATGAACTAGTCCTATCTTCTTACTTGCATTACAAACTCCAGTAAGAACTCTAGTGACAGTAGCTTGTGCATTGGCGACCAACTCCTCGGTAATAATTTTACATGTTGCATGCTGCACTTCCGTTACTTCACTACTGTTACTACTCATTTCCGATTCAGCTAAAAAGGAACAGGAATTAAAATAATCTATGTATGACAAACTTTTATAAAGTACTGTACAATTTTTTGTCTCCTTATATGAAAGATATAATATAAGAATATACTCACAGATTTCTAAAATGGGTTCAGTGACGTCATTTTCTGCACGGCTTATTGCGATGAGAATAATGACGAAAGGAATATGTCGAATAGCGTACATTCTTGACGCGTGGGGCTACCAGAAATTGTTAACGTCTAATGAGAAATGATGGCGATAAACGACTTTGTTTAGTAGGGGACCTAGATGATTCTCAAAATAGATTTTATTACTGGACCGCCATGTCTAATGTCGAAGACTTAGGAATCTCCGTTGGGTGAATGCGGGTCATCTTTTTGTGAGTTTTTTATTTGCTCATATATTTTACAATAATTATTATTTATAATCTGAACGACAGAAATAAGCAGGCATATTGATTGTTTGAATTAAATAGTCGAAGGATTTATATATACTGAGAGTTATAATTACTATATATAGATCAACGCAGAGCTATCTTTTATAAATTAAACTATGTTGGAAAATTCAATTAAAAATATATTTTGTACAATCATTAAATATGTCCGTTCTCTGTTTTCATTTAATAAATTATAAGAACGATTTAAACTCAAGCTATAAATGACTCATATGAAGATGAAATTCAATTATATATTTAACAAAAATAATTAATTCTATACTTGTACATACTGTATTGAGGAGACTTTGAAGTACATTGCCGTGATGTGTTTTGCTTGTGACATGTTTTGATACACTTATTTTTTTGTACGTTCAATATATTTATATGTTACGATCAGAAAAAAACAATAAAGCTATACTATACAGTATCAATGAAAAATTACTCATAGTAGCTATCAATAAAGATGCACCAAAATGGTTTGCAAAAATTGATTTGGAATTCATAACGGTAGATTATATCAAGATCTTTATACATTTTTTATTATGCTTGATGTTTGTACCTTTATAACATAGTAATCATGATATAGTGAGAAGTGTTGGATAACTAATCACATATAAATATATGACTATTCTTACTCTTGATCTAATCCATGACATAAATACATGCCTGAATATATATTTATAATATTACTATAGAAGGAATACATAGCAAATTCAAGAACCAGGTACGCGTGCTACATATATCTGGACAACTAATTGAGATTAAATTCTCAAGTCCTAAGTATTTTATACATATAGCTCAATTAGCTGTCCCAGGACTATTAATCATCAACTACCGTTTTAACGAGTGGTTCTATTCCCATTGTCCATATTGTAGCTGTATCTGTGGTTACTGTTACCTCAGGATATCCGTTGTATGTATTTGATGAACTTATAAGCCCACCAAATTCCATAGTTGAATTTTCTGAAGAGAATTATCATAAATTTACCTCATGTACGATTTACACAAATGATACCTAATTCTTATGATCCTAATACCGACCTAAGTCCCATTTTAAACCTCTTGTACTTATACAGTTGACAGGAGTACCAAACGGTAGAAGACTGCACCAACTGCTATGCTCGACCAAGTCATTAGGAATAATTATTTTGTGCTTTCCAGGTTGTAACAGCCATGTTAATGAATTGCTAGCCACATTTATTACCTACATGATGTAAACATAAGTTAATGTTTCAAATCTACATATACTTTGTAGCACATATTTACCTTAATATTGCCTAATAAGTGATTACTTTTGTACAGTGTGTTGATGTTTGCAACTATATGATCAATTCTTCCAGATGTGTCAGCAAATACATACACACCATCAAGCTATTAATAGTACAAATTATTATATTATGTTGTTAGATTTCTGTACTATCGGTGATTCAAAGATAAATTACTTGTATATTTTGGTTCTTGCTGTAAGCTCCAAGCTGCATAAGAGCTTTAGTGTAATCAGTATCATTTTGATCCGGGGTATTAATAACCATAGCACCATTACTTTTAAGTTTTTCCAATATTTGAGGACAAATGCTGTCAAAATCACCAGTTATGATATCTGGCATATATTCTTTACACTTTCCACTCAATACACTTTCACCCTGTTGTCCAAGGAATGTGATCCATCTGTTGGTACCTCCATCTACTGTAACTCTTATCTTCGCTACAAGTATAAAATATGATTGCATATACAATAAACATTAGAAATAACATTAGAATTTTTAATTCTAAAAACGCACCATTTTTCCATATCTGTAATAACAATTCCTGTTTCCACCGTATAGGACGATTTAGTATAACAACAGCATATTTGTGATCCGCAGAACAGTGGAATATATTGGATGGGTCCCATGTCGTTTGACTGGATTCCGTCTTTTGGCCAGTAAATACATTTGTGTTGCTACTCTTTTGAGCTAAGAGCAAATATTAATTGAAATAAGGTTAGGTAGGACGTGAGCGCACGTGCTGCTGAAATTCCTCCATTAATAAAAATATTCTGTTATCACATACACTGTAAGTCATTGATGCTATTTACAAAATTCATCTTAAGTTTGATTAACTTGCTATGATACTTGATATACTTTATGTATGCTGTTTAGTGAAGCTACCTGGTCTCTGATTACTATATTTCTTCTTGACAGAATATCCTGTCAAGCTGTTTATAGTTCTGAAGTATTGTAACATTGTCCTCATATCACTTAGCTAACCCACTGTGTTATGTAACTGTCTCAAGCAAATTCCTGTTCAATATTACAGGAGGCAATATACAAATTGGCATTAATTCTAAGAAATATTAAGATTATTCAAACTATTGAAACGGTTTCCTACCTTTTTCTCTTATCACGTAACTGATTGTGCGTAGTATCCATATAAGCAATCAAGATTTTTTTTATATATAGATGTATATCATATACATATATTTGTGTAACTCATGCATGAAAAACACTATTTTTCGTGCCTCCGAAGTGTGGCGAAAGTGGCGCTTTATATCTATGGATACGATAAAAATGCTGCCTATGCGCAAATCGGCCCAATTTTACATTATCGCACTTGTGCTTTCTTCTCGTCCTAGTGCGATAAAGTAAACTTTGTTCTCGCGCGCTATCATGAAATGCATTTTCGGCGATACCAAAATCGTCGTGCTAAATCATAGCGGCGAGTCTGGAAGTAGGATATTGTGATCATCGCCTCCGTCGACAATACGAATCCCTTCGTAGCCGAGCTAAACAGGAACACGAACGCGTAGCTTGGCGGACAGAGGTTCTCCGCTAGTCACCGCTGGTTTCCAAAGCAACCTTTAGAAAAAGACGGAACTATAGAACCTCTCAAGAACTATTGTTGAAACATTTTTAAGAAAGTGCAGTTCCAACTTGACACCTGTGTAGCACCTCGATTATACTAAATATTATTGGATCTTGATTTACTTTCAAAATTTATTCGCAATATAAAATTGAGACTAAATCAAAATCTCGCAGAATATACGAAGTAGATAAAAATTAAATTGAAATTGTAGAATATCGAAAGTAAATTACGTTCAGATTGAAATATGAATAAATTCGGTGTTTGGAACATTAAAGTAATTAATTAAATCAATAAAGTAAAATATGAACATTTAGAAATCGGAAATTCTGGCCAAGCATATTTAGAAGTACTGGAAGCTGCCCAAAACTGTGTGCGCGCAAATTCGTCGCGCAGAACTCGGAGAGCGGGAGCAAGCGAAGAGTGGGAGCAGTCGGACAGTAGGGGGGCGCTCGGGCAGTACCCGGATTCCGAGCGCTCATTCTTCCTCGAGCCGGTCTCCTATACTGGTCTCTTGGAAGCACCCCTCTCATTCATTTCCAACCTTCTTGATTTTCTATATTTATTTCTTAATCCTTCATCCTTCACTTTCTTACTTATCACTGTCCTTATTTTTTCTCTGCTTTTATAACTCTATTCCTTACTTTTCTTCTCCTTCACTTTTTTATTTCTATCTTCATTTCTTT